AACCCGCGTAGAAGAGAGAGAGACGCTGCATCAAATTTTCAAAAATTGAAATGACTGGTCCCAATGGAACGGCACCGAACACTCATACCGCCGGATTAATGTCGACTTTTTTACATCACAGGAACGGACGGTTCAATGGTTCTTGTGGTGCGCATTTATTATTTTCCACACGGAAAAAAAGATGAAGGAGTTCCGGATGGTGGGTCCATTCAGGCTGATGAGGAAATTCCAAATATTAACCAAATCCTCTAGACGCCGAAAAAAGCCTGAATTAATTCGAAGTTTGGAGCTAGATGGGGCGGCAATTTTGAGAGCGGTAAGCTTCAACCGTGTATAAGTTCGGTTCGATTTATATGTTGAAATGAACCTCCCGCCTCAAAAACACCTCACTCATCGCACGCATACAAGTGAAAGAAGCTGTAATCTTGAAAATGAGTCGTCTAGACGCCCACCCTCCACCCTTGAAAGCCATCAAAGATTCTGCTCACAATGACCGGCACACTCTTCGAAATCACTCTTCAACTCTCCTAAAATGGGCTACTGCTCCACCTCGTTCTCATCCTCGTGCCGGTAATAAGGCCATTGCCGGGGTCTCATGGGATAATTTTGTCTGCCATGGCATTTCCACTTCTTTTCATCGTTGGGTGCCCAGAGAAAATGGGTTTGTTTAGAGGTAAAACGGCAGACAATTCCCGGCATTCGGTTGGTGCTACTTTGAATGATCGTCGACTGGATATTGGCTGTATATTGGCGGATATCTAGACGCTAGACTCAATTCTAGGACAATGGTAGGTTCCATCACATGACCTTCTAATTGGATCCACAAGACATAAACCCTTTTTGGGGGTCAGACGGGGTCATGAAAACTGGGTGCCTTAGATGAAGGATCTTTTTCCGGGCACTTCCCTAAAAATTCATTGCTTCACCATGGCCAACAAGCCATCCAATGATTTTTGCGGGTGTTTGTTTATAAGGCGTTAAGCCTCGGTGGGTGGCCATGTTTTCCACCACATACACACTACTAGCTATGAACTACCAAGCCAAGCACTTTCTTTTAAAAAACAGCTTCTCCTTGTCTTCATTTTTAAAATCATAAATCATACACCTCACGCCCGTATTGTTGCCATTTTACCCCATCCCGACCGTAGTTATGGTAAATGAACGAGACCCATTTCATTAGCTAGAATGGGTCCTCCGACTTTTCCGCCAACCAACTCACAGCTCAAGAAATTGTAGCCTCCCAGGGTTTTCGATAAAACCGACCACAAAATTGGGCTCTCAACCTTCCCGAAGCCCACTTTTTTAAAAATTTCCGGCTCGTATTTGGAAAAGCCTGCCCTCAAATTCAGTTCCCCTTGAAAACAAGTTTTGCTTTTCCTGCTCTTAAGAATATAAGATGCGTTGTTTTTCAATAGCTGCTGATGGCGTGCAAGTTTAAGAAATCCCGGGGTGTTCGCGAATATGTTATTAATTATGTGCTCTAGGATAACTGGGTTTTAGAGTTAGCAAAAGTCTACTTTTGGTCCTTGGATTTTTGAAAACACGTTCCAACGAGGCTTAGAGTAGTCTTACTATGCAGGGGCAAGTAGCTGATGTCATTTTTGGGGATTTCACGGTTGCATCCATTCGGGGACCTCCTTCGCATGCCCTCTGGCCTATTAGCAGCGCGTCGCCTCCAAAAATTAGGCATCCGAAATCGGATGGGAGCAGTCGATTTGGTGGGCCTCGCTGCTTCTTCTTCCAGTTCTTTTTGCTTTATACCGGCTATTCGGGAAAAATCAATGGATGGTTTCATCATTTGTTGGAGACATTTCTAGAAATATCATTAACCCGTTTGAATGAATTCTTGACGTTCCCCTAAAACCACTGCTATCTCCAGGGATCCGGAAAAGATATTTTGCAGTCCTTCAACCTTTCAATTTCTGCGCATAAAAATCGCCAATTTTTGAAGCAAGATATACTGCAATAAAAAAGTTGCGGCATAATCAACGTTATTCTGGCAGTTCCGTTAACGGTATGATTTGACTTTGAGCCTTCAAATGATTGGCAATAGGTAAAGGAAATTTTTCCAGCTGGCAAATTATCTACATTGCAAAATTATCGCCTAGGTCGAAGCTGTTTTTTTAAGATTAGCTTTTTAAGATGAAAATCGGCAGCAGAAGGAGACCAGGGATCCCCATGTTTCGCAAATTATAGAAAATCGCATGTTAATTGCATCAAGATAGCCAGAAAAGCCATCTTTTTCCAAAAAAACCCCAGGTTTTAACGATAATCTTTGGATTTTACGCCATGCTGCTTTGAAATTTTTCACGATCGGAAGTTTGAAGCTTTTATGCCGCCGACCTCTACGTGGTAAAAGCCTGAGAGCTATTTCCCCGCTAAGATTTCCATTTTACTTACCGCTCAAAAATCCGAAGATATCCCGGGGGTCTTATCCACCATCACTTACTCGACCTTCCCCCCACCTCCCCCGGTAAGCAACACACCATCCCTGTCGGTAGCAACAATAATGAATTTTTCCGAAATGAAATGGGTGTGGGACTTCGGGCCACCCATTACTAAACGCTGGGGGCGAACCCGGTGTGGAACAGCGCTACCTCACAATTACCAGCATTTCCATTTGGATACTCGCTTCAAGAAGTGCCCCCCCCCTGGCTTTTTGCGGCTTTTCCTCCTCCCCCGCCCAATCCATTAATTAGCGCCAAAAATGAGGCGGTTGTTGCAAACGGGTCGGAAATGGCTCGCATGGCCGAATCGACTTTTGAATGTTATTCGCTAATAAAAGTTCCTTTTCAGCTGCTAGAGTGATATGCACGGCTTTGTTCGTTGAATTTGCTGTGAGCTGAATTGTTTGCCGGGTGCAGCTGTTGGTTATTTGCTGTTGTTAAGCTTTAACCTGACTTTTGAAAAGTGGTTAATAGCTCATAAACGAATATAAATTGCCATTTCTTTTGAAACCGCTTAAAACTTGATCGTATAAGCACTTTACAAATCTATATTTATGGTAAAAGCATCATTTGGAATCAAAACTTGCACAAAAACTTTATAAACCGAGACCCCGATTTCCAAATTTTACGAATAGTCACATCGAAATTTTTCTCTAATATTAACAATACATTTTTCACTGCTTCCACCACGCATCCCAGATCAGGGCTTTTTCTATTCATTTCTTTCACTACTAGCTTCTATCTATTTTCCACAACGACAATCCTCCAGAAATTAGTCGTGCGCTGCCCTTCCTGATTGTCACAAGTCAGCCAGCCAACTGCCGTTTCACACGCAACTGGCCCTCAAATAATAAAATCAAACCTAAAAATCCGCTCTTTTTGTGGTGTCCACTGCCCAAGCGCCCGGATTCCCACGCTGTTTCTTGGAATGCAATTTTTTCGCTAAAAAAACCGCGCTGCTCGACGGTGGTCCCTGGTTACAAGGTGGGGGGATGCGTCTCCATGTTGTTGTCATAATTTCATAAATTTATTTGTGTACGTCAGTAGGGGGTGGTTTTAATTTTGATGGAATACACCGGGATTGCAGATATATATAATATCATCATATTGCTATGGCTGGCTGAGAGTGGGGGTGGGTGGGGGGATTTAGGTGGAGGGGGCAGTTGTTAGTCCACCGGAGCAAACAAATCTTTCTGATTTTCATCCCGCCAAGTAAAGAAGCTTTTCGATGGCGTCGCGGTGGAGGGTAGGGGACGGAGGGGGTCTATTTTTGAAAGGTCGTCTGGAATATATTGTCATATAGAAAACAATATGGGGTGATTAATATTTGGGGGCGTTGCGGGTAGGTTGGCCCATGGGAAGGTGAAGGAAGGTTTCTGTTGAATAAGAGCTAAAATTGAATGGCGGCGAATTGTAATTTTATGCTTTGGGATGGTCACGTTTTAGGTAGGCAAGGATATAGGTTCGACTAGGTCGCGATTTTTTCTATGGATTTGGAAATTCATTAGTAATGTTTTTAGAAAAATGTTCGATTTTTCTTAAAGGCAGTGAGCAGTTTTCCTTAAACAGCACGTTCAGGGAGTTGAACGCCTACACTTATGGGCATCTGCGTCTCTCTATCTCGCTTTACCTCAGTCCCTCTGCGTCAATAGGTGTATACGTCCAACCCCCTCAACGCGTGCTTTAAAGTGTACCTTTAGGCATCACCTCTATTTTACTACGTATACACCTAGCGACGCTTAGAGACCAGGACAACGGGAGAGACACAAGCGCTGTTAGGGGTATACTACGCTTTAGAGTTGGGTTCTTCCAGACCATCCCCACAAGAAAAAATCAACTAAATGGACCCATGATTACAAAAAGTGCAGGTGCAACTTTAGCGTAGGCACCCACCACTCCCAACAAACAAATGGTCTCCCCCATTACCCCTACATCTCCATCTGATTGAAACCTAAAGTACCCTCCCCCTGCCCAACATCGAACGTGCCGTAGACAAAATGCACACCACCGATGACTCTGATTTTCCCGGCACCCATCTCCTCCCCACCGGCCACAGGATGGCTGACAATCCGCTTTGTGACGGATTTATACATTTGCGCGCTGGGAATAGATTAAGCAAATGGTGGTTGCTCCCCCCTAACCCTCCTCCTCCCCCCTTTGCCTCCTTGCCCCCCGGACAATTCCATTTCATCATTACAATTCGCATTCGCTATTCCAAGGTTCCCCGGAAATCAAGATGGTGGGTACAGTAGGTCCATTATGGCAATTTGCGAGGGTATTTCATACGCAAAAGCGGCCTCCACAGACGGTAGCCTCGCTGCTGGCCCCCCTTTCCACTAGCGACCATCGTTTGCGTCAATCTTATTTATAGCCAGTCTTGGTCAAAAGTCGCCATTCCGCAATATAGACAACCAAAGCCGCACTTTTCTAGCCTCTGCGTGCTTTGTTGCTTTTCACCTGCTAGATTTATGAAAGCTCTGATCCCTTCAACGACAATAAATATGGCCCTCTAACCGTTCTACTTCATTTCAATCTCCATATCTTTCCTTTCAGATGTTCCTAATCGCAAAAATCGTGCGCGGTCGCCGTCTGCTCCACGAGCTCGAGCAGGTATAATTGTTGAAGGGGTTGTTGAAGGGTGTAACTCGTCTTTGTCAGGAAGAGAAAGAAGAAGAAGAGGCTCTGTCGACGGCTCGACGAGGAGGGCCTGGCGCCGCTCGGAATCGGAACAGCACTTCCGCTGCATCCGGACATGAGCCCGGTGATGAGGTATTGAGTTTGAATTTTTTTGGGACGCTTATTTTGTTTTTGGGGGATCGGGGTTAGGATTGATTTAGGCGGTTATAGAACAAGTCTACTTATATTCACCGGGACAACTGATATATTTTCTTTTTGAAATTGGATCCTTAACATCATAGCTAAATTTCAATCAATAGCGCATTGAATATCGGTAGATTTAAATGTTGGTGTGATCAGATTTTTCTGTGATTTTCTGCCCTGTTTGTGTAGAAGGAATTTTTGCCACAGCGCTAGTAAAATTATAAAATTAAAATCAAAATTGACCGTATTAAATTGTGAGCTCTCTTGAATTATTTATCTGTTTATTATTTTCAATAACCAAGGAAGTTTTCTAATAGCTGCATAAATTTAAGTATAAGATAATCTAGGTCCGCTCTAACCAAAAATCAGCCCGACTTATTTCATCTGGTGCGTCAGATCCAAAAAATTTGAGATGAGATATCAACTTTGTCAAAAGAAGCGCCCGGGGGGACACGGAACTTGAGAAAATAGCCCGAGGGAATAGGTTTATCCCGTTCGCCTCCTAAAAAGTGCCGTATTTTCGTAGAAGTCATTGGCCACTACAAGCTTTCCGATTCGGATTTGTATTCTACATACAACATTTATGTCTTCAGACAACCGCTTCTTCAGCTGAACCATCAGCATTGAGACCGCAGTCTTCACGGCGGAGGTAAATTTTGGTTTGGATTAGCCTTCTTTAAGGGCGTTTGGAAGTGGTAGCTTCTAAAAGATGCTTTGGGCTTGTTTCCTTCAAAAATTTTCTTAAATATCTGTATCCTTCCAAGCTTCTTTTCTAGGTCATTACGTTTGTAGGTATAGAATTGATACCGGTTGAATGGGTGATGTTAGAGGAGATAACTAATTTTATTGCGTTCCTTTGCGATGGTTTCAGAGTGTACGTGTTTGCATCCATATTCGGTGCTTATTTTGGGCTTACCTAAGATGTGCATGCACCGCCAATTCATCCAAAGGCATTTTCGTGTGGCCCGCTAGAAAATTGGCTTTCTATGAAAAAATACTTTTGGGTGGTGGACATTTGTAAAAAAAAACTTTTGTGGAAGATCCCTGGAGGCAGGAGTTGGCGGCAAGGATAGAAATATTTTTTGGATTAAGAAGATAAATGGATCAATGGCAATTAATCTAAATTAGCATCATTTTGTTTGTGAGTTTCGGCAAATTCCATTTTCGCCATCTGCTTGCACGCTACAAGCACAGCAACTTTCCGCTATTCTTTCCCCCTACTATCGCACTCTGTGCGCACGGCTCGGTTTCTGGCATCGTTACAGGAGTCCCCTCAGCCCGACAACTGTCCGACTTCGCCGTGGATCTGCAGCCGTCGGCGAGCTGTTCATGATGGGAAGGGGTGAGTGCAACAAAATGCGATCTCCAGATAGGAATTGCTCGATTGTATGCTTCTTCTACCGCTGACCTGTAAGGCGAAATTTATTCACCGCACTACCATGTCCGTGTCTTGTTTGAAAATTTGCCTAAAAGGTATTATCGTAAAATTGGGATGAATTTTCGAACAATAGGAACGGACGGAGCAAGGTTGATTTTGTTGGCTATGGATTCTCTATGGATTTAATTCGGCGGATTGTTTTGATAGGAAAAATAGTCTATTATGTGTCGTAACGGGCGTCCGGGCTGCGTGTAAAATGCGTAAAATGCTGTTAAAATGCGTAAGATAAAACATAGAAAATAAAATCCATAACACCGACTTGCCCATTGCCTTTATTCCAAAGGGAATAAGTATACGGAATTATCTTTTCCTTTAGTACTAAACAAACTAAGCCCCAAGCTAAGCCTAAGCTGCCAAGAGCTGGTTCATTTTGATTACCTTTATTACACGAGCCCAGTTACCGTTTGACACCCGAGAACGACAAAAACTCCACTCATTTTGAACTACCACATTAATGTTCAGATCTCTGCCGTGCAAACCCACTGCCCAGCAGATTTCAACCAAATCACCCAAATCTTACCAATCTATAATTTTTCAGGCCAGACCCCAAATTTTTTACGAGTTAACCCATTTTTTTTCGGCTTCGTTATGCAAGCCGCGCCAGGATTCCCTCAAAAGCTTTGTGGGGGCAAAACAACCATCGTCAGTGATCGTTTTTTCCACCCGCTCCATCCCTTTTGGCGGGCAGATGTCCGTCCTACGCACTTACCGACGTCCAAATCCCTGATTTCTTCAAACCTTTGTCGAGCCGTGTCCTCGCCCTCCGTTGGACTTTGCCAAAAATTTAAGTGCCGACCGGAGGGCCAAAATCGAATTTCCCCTCGAACAAAGCTCCCAGTGCTAGAGCGCGCTCGTTTTTCTGCGTCCCTGTTTTTTTTGCGAAATGCTTTAAAAAGGGTATCATGGTGTTTGTTGGGGAGAGATGGAGCTCTCACCTTGAAAGGGCCCTTTTGATATCGATGCTCGGGGGGCTGGGATAGAAGCACTTATCGCGCTGCGCTGGCTCTTTTCCAGGAGGCGTCAACAAAAAATTTGATTTCTATTGGCGGATAGGCAACCGTAAGCGCATTGTTAAAGGCTGGCACTGGCGTGTGAATATTCTGAGTTCAGGTTCTACCTCTTAAGGATTTTTGCTCAAATCTTTCATGTTTTTGACAGCTAGGCAGTATCGCGAAAAACTTCTCAGCGATCCTTTCAAAGCTGTAACCAAAATTCTCTTATGTAATATATATTATATATATATATATATATATGTATGTATATCAATATATTACTCAAAACATCAGCTTCAATGTCCAAAAACACTCTTCGGGAATTCGAATTATGGAACCCGTTTTCCTTCCTCTCTTCTTCTAATGATGATGCGTAGCGTGTTAGACCAAAATTTACCATGGAAGCAGGGATATCCCCATGTAGACCACGCAAATCCAAATGACAGTCTTAAGCGGATACATGACGTCCAGTCTCTCGGTGGTTTTGGTACAGCTGAGCCACATGATGCTGAATGTAAAAAGCGCCGGATCTCCGGGAGATGGATCGCAATTTACAATTCTTTTATGCCTTTTCCGGAGGTTATGCCGGCCATTCCTTCCGCGTCAAATGTGCTAATTTCGGTGCCTCGGGCATTGAAGGGTTGAGGCCATTAGCCAATATATGAGGGGCGAACGTCGTCTTTCCTCAAATCGAAAAAGCACACAAGCGTTATTAGATCCTGCCCTTTTTGAACTCATCCCAATTTAGGAATTCGCAAAATTCTGTGTGACCTCCACAATGCGTGTGATATTTTAGCCATAAAAAACAAAAGTTAAAACACGAGAGCAATTCGGTGAAGTCGAAATCCGCTGGCAGAAATCCAATTAGTTTCCCAGATTTTGGCAGGGATTCCGCCCGTCATTTACCATTTTTTGAAACCCGTTTCCGTCCCTGAACTGCCTAGGGTTTCCCCTCAAAAAACCTCTCCATTCATGAGCCAAAATTCGAATTCGTGCCAAAGTCATTTCCTCGACCTAAAAACTTTACTCATCTTTCTAGAATTTTTCTTTGTTTTTAAAAATGTGGAAAGTATGGAAACGGAGGTCAGTGTTCAGGTTGCTTGCTGCTTTCCCCTTTTATTGTGTTGGACGTTCCTTCTATATAGCTACATTCCATCCCTGAATGTGCAAATTATCCAACCCCTAGATGTCGTTGTCAGCTTCGGACCTTTGCTTTATTCCAAATCCTTCATGGACATTTTCACTATGGGAATGTCAGTGGTTTTGTTGAATTAGTAAAAAAATGCACTACTTAAAAATGCTCTTTTAAGAATTTAGTAGATTTTAATATGTACAAATTAGTATATATTTATAGCACGATACAAATTAAATCCCATCGAAATCTGATTTACAATTTAAGCAAAAGATGTGTGTTTTCATTCAACCAAAATTGAGTTTGCTGTGCTTTGATTTGGAAGACTAAAAATTTATGGATTTTTAAATAGACGACTATCGAGATTTCTAGACCATTCTTGATGCCTAGACTTGTTTGCACTTGACGACCGAAACCCGTAAATCGCCAAAAATCACAACCCCCCAACACGTGATGATGCCCTCAACTCGGCCTCAAATAGCGTCTACCCCGTGTTTTTCAAGGCGCCAAGCACCCTTAGAGGCAATATGAATATGGCGGCGAACTCTCGTTGAAATCGGAATCCATCCCGGCTGAAGAACGGACAAGTGGATCGGGTGGCTTCAACTGCCTCCCACCCCTTCCCGCTTTCATACAACTTCAAACCCAGTAATCTATCCCCCGTTTGATTTTCTATCCCTATCATGCCAAACCAATATTGTATTGATCCCCGGAAACCGATGGCTATTAGAAAATTATTGGCTAGCAAAAATTCAACTAGTGTTGATGGGTATCGTAGATGTTCAGAGGGAATCACAGGGTAAAATCATATACCTAGCGATTCTTACGTGATTTTTGGTTTAGAAAAACAGTGCGACAGAAGACGGATGGTTCTTTGGGAGAGGATACGGTCGATCGTACACAGATGCGCCGAACTTCGAGTATGCCAAGTGTTTGTGAGCCAGGTTGGAACTCTTTTAGAAGTTAATTTGGGGTTTTAAGGCGTCGCCACTTCATCCGGACCGCCACTACGCTATTATGATTATGATAGGAAGCTGAACAAGCTACAAAGAGGCATTGCGTTTCACTTGGCATCGTTTGCAAACCAGAAATGGTGGGAAACGAGTGGAACAAGTTTTTGAAGAGGTAAACCCCGTGTCAATGGCTAACCTTTAGGCATATTCAGGTATTCGATCGTCTTGTCCGGCAAATGCCACAAGTCCGTGACATGTTCACAACCAGAATGTTTCTTTGTGCCATGCAATCGCCATGAAACGGCTTCGCTGCATGATCATTCCAGGGTGAGCTGCAACAGAAATACATATCAAAAATTGTTCACAGTCAAAAATCAAATATCAATATTTTAGGCTATCGTCCGGATGATTGAGAGCGTAATAAAAAACCTGGAAACCGAGCGGGCAAAACGTACAGACACCGGCTCCGAGCTGGACCCTCGTCTTATTGGTGATTCACTGTAAATCTGTTTTTTTTAAAAATCAGGTCGTCTCCATGGCACGCTACGTCCGTACGGGCTTACCGGAAATTATTAGGAGAAGCTGGGAGGGTGATGATTGATATCGTCCTCGCCCGGGAGGCTGTACGCGATCTTCTGGGGCCGGCCGGGCATGGGTCGTGCCACAGCTTGTCTTGTTGATCAGGTATTCATTAGGTATAATGGAGCCAAACTGCTATTTTCCAGCTGCGCGCCGGCCTCGAAGAGACCCGTTTCAACCACAACCTTGGGGTGCTGAACAAGCAGGGAACAGTGCTACATCATGCCACCCAACATCTCCTCACCATGCCCATTCTGTTGATCATGGTGATGTTGAAGAGAGCCCCGTGGAACATCGCAGGTATGGATTTTCAAGCGCAGCTTGATGCTACAGTAGATATTTATTTACTCCGATAAAAAAGGGAAATGATGCATTTAGGTGTTTTGCATGTCGTATTTAAATTTAGGCAGAAATCAGCGGCAAAAACCAAAATCTGATACGACATATCTAAATACCATTTTGCATATCAAAATTAGCATAAACCAACTTTTTATGTATCACAACAGAGCAGAAGACTTGCCATTTTGAGGTCGAACCTTGTTTTCCATCCATTTTGCACTCCAGCGATCTTCATAACTCACCTTATCCGAACTTTTGAATTTTTTGGATAAGAGCAACCCAAAGAACACCCAAATATTTCAGCAGCGCTCACCGACAAAAATGGAATGCCGCCGTCATTCGAGGGCCACAAGGGTCGAAGAAGCGAGTGCCTAATCATATAAATATCATTATGGTTTCCTGTTAACTTCTTATCGCTCGTCTTGCTTCGCTTGGTTACCCCAAAAAAATGTCGGAGATTTTTATGTTTATGATTATCATATGTGTGCTTTATTTGGAGGTTGGGAAGGGATTGAATTGATCTTCCAAATTGCCTAGCTCGGTTATGCGGCGTGTGGAAGCCGGTTTTTTGTCATCCCGTCACCCCCAGCCCTAATCCGGCCCCGTTCGTCTAATTATGGCTATCGATCCAATACCTTCCTACATTCTTTTTCTTCAAAACCTTCTTTCGTTACTTACCTTTTCCCCTTGAAATGACCCTATCGCGTCGCCGCAAAAAACTGTCAGGTAACCGGAAAAGTCTCTCTTTTGTATCCCCCAAAATTATCCTCTTTCTTTCCGCGCATTTTGCTTGCTTCTAAAGGAAATAAAGAATTGACGGCTCGTTTTTGTTCGCAGCGCCCACCAAAAAAAACACACGATCACCCCCAACACAACCACGGCAAAATCAATTTTGTGCCCATTTCGACACCGCCGACGCATATTTGATTCAGCAGCTAGCGCTGGGGCGAAAAAATGCATTGAATTTTGTTAGTGGATGCCGAAGACCCCCGGTGCCCTCAATGTTATTATTTTCAGAGATGATTCAGCCTATTTGTACATGGAAGCCTTTCTCCTTAAAGCCACACGATTCGATTCCCAGTCCCATAATGCTTCATAGTGCCCTCATTTTCTTTGGAAATTTTTGTACGGTGCTATTCCGGCCGTTTTAGAATTCAGCTGTTTAGGGCTGCATTGAGAAAGTCGGCAATCGTTTCTGGATATTGAATTAGGAATGAGGGGATAGCGGGGTTGCGCCGTTTTTTTCGGGGAGAAGGATTGTTGTCCGGGGCTTTTTGGACGGCGCTTGTTCGATGTGAGCAAATTAGCGGGTCGGGGGACTTTTCCAATTTCTTTTTCCCCTCATCTATTACCATGAGTAGCGTGCCCGGCTCCTATAGTAACCTACACACACATGAAGCCCTGATGAAATTGGAGCCCTGGGTTGACGCAGGCGAGAAGCCACTTAACTAAATGTCAATTTTGAACTAAAGGTGATAACAGAAACGATTTCGAAAGAAATCAATCTGAATTCCCTATTGACGTCGTCAGCGATGACAAAATCTTTTCATGACAATTTAAAGGGCCCCTCTCCACCCCCGTGTTTTCTCTAGCCATAATAATTTGAGAGGAATTTCTAAGCCCTTCAAACCCCGTTCTTTCATTGCCTCACATTTCTTCTCAAACAATCCCGTTTTTCATTAATTTTTCAGATGGCCCTTACCTGCAGTGATATTCCAAAATTCCTCTGCGCCCTACTATTGCCGGTAGGTGGGCTGAGAATTTGTTATGCCCTGTAGCTAAAATCGACAGATACAAAAACGATGCATGATATTTAGCCGATTGGTGTGTGGCTGGAAAAGGGATGCACCTATCATCTTGCGATCAACATCTTGCTGACGATTCTCGGCTACATCCCCGGCATTATCCATGCTCTCTACGTCATTTTGGCTTATTAAGTGCCGATATTTATTTGAAGCTTATATTTATCAATTTGCGTGTGTGATTTGTCAATAACCACTTGTCATATCGGATTAAAGTAATAAAGTGCTGAAACCAAGAGTCTGCCCTGACAATCGTTTCAAACACGTAATCTTATTTTTCAAATCGAATTCCAGACAGCCATTGTTCTTGGAAAGTATTTTCATTGAATCATTCTGCCCGAATTCTGAACTCTCAGCGCCGGAAATACACATGTTATCGTTGGAAAAGAATAGATTAAGGACATTTATGGTCAACAAGCTTCACGTGGAGGGGGGGGTGGGAATCCATGGATTCAATACAAAAATAAAATGTGTCTGTTCTGAGAGCCGCCGAAATTAAAGAATTTTACGTGCTATTGTAACTATTATGTATAGATAATTAGGTACGGGGTTTTTAGCGAGGGGGAGGGGTTAGCAGGAGGAATAAAATTTTTCCCAGCACTCCTGCACAGCCGAAAAAAAGTTTGCCCATTGCGAATTTTCCAAGCATTGTAAATATTTTTTAAACTTTCTAGCTATCCAAAAACTATTAAAAACATTATAAAATAATCTTATCACCAGGTGAATTATAGATTTATTTATAAGTCTATAGTTATTTTATAATTATGAACTGGCAAAAAAAGAGCTTTTCCCTGCTAAAAGGCCCCCAGTTCCGACGCCCATCAAAGTCGAAGGTTAATACTAAAGCCTTGACACAAATAAGGCTTAGTGCTAACTTACTTTAAAATTTAAAACCTACTTTCCCACGGTAGATACCGGAACTAAAACCTCATAGTTCAAACCACCCCCTTGTAGCCAACTAACACCAATAGCCAATATTTTCCGCCCGCACGCCCAATCGCACCAGAATTTCGGCCTCGTTTTTTTTGGAGAGTCGGTCTCGGGGTGAGTTTTTGCCGACACAGAAGCATCAGGGGGAGACACCACCCACCCCGGGGACGTCAACAAGAGTACATGCACTTTGGCGGACACCCGTAAACAACGCACCACCACACAAATACCCGGCCCGCGTCTAGGCTCAATCCACTTCTACCACCAGCAGCGTCTGGTCGATACGCGGCACCAGCCTTTGAAAATACCATTTTCTACGATTGAAAACTATTTGGTATTTAATGTTCAAGAAGGCGAATCCTTCTGAATCTATTATGCTAACTATACTATTTAAAATCGATTCAATGTGGTTTCGGGAGAAACTTCAAATTTTGGAGCTTTTAAAAAGTTATCCTAAAAACCGACCTCACGCTCACGTAAAATTATTTTTGACTTCTAAGAAAAGTGGTTTCTTTTTAATTTGTTTCCTTATTAGCCTGCTTAGACCATATTCAATTTTCATTCCGAAAACGCTAAAACCATCCTTCTTGGAAAGATAAATCCAGCAAGCTTTTTTGGCTTTTTAAGATTAGACATTACTGAGTTTGTAACAATGATTAAAGCTTTAAAGCTCAATGACTTGGTTCACTAATCCCCAAAAAAGCCCGGCAATCGTCGAAAATCAACTTTTTGTTCCAAACCAGGTTATAATTGCCCCGATTTAGCGAAACACCCGCCCCAAAACAGAGTCCCGCTCTTTGCCCGTATTTCAAAACCTATGCATTTTTAATAGGCTTTACGACATGAAATGGGGTTGGCCTTGACGAGCCAGCGAGCGAGGTTCGCACCATATTGGCAGCACCATGGATTTGTAATTATCCGGGTGGGCCCCTGGTAGTCCACTCTCCCCTCCACACCCCGCTTCTGATTGCATTCCAGCTAGAAACGTAATCCGTAGTCGCCTAGAGGCGCGGAGAACAAATATTCTTGGGTTTTCCTGCCTTTCTCTTGAACCAATAGCTGAAGTATCGCTCTTTTTATATATTTTTGGGCACGAGCATCTACCTGAAAAATTCCTTATCTTAAGATTTTGCGCCAATAAAATAATGACCCTAGTTTTTGTCAGCTTCCGCCAATCCTGTTTATAGTGCAAAATCCAGATGCAGACTTTGCTCGCAATAGCGTCAGCACCAATAATCAAAAATTTCACCAACTTGGCATCCATCCCAAATGAACCCTGACTCACTATGCCCTTTCGCCTGACCGACTCTTTTGAAAAGCGATCGTTTCAGCCAAAATAAGTCACACAAACAAGCTCGCGACATGAGGGCAAAAAGGGGCGGAAAGCAGGGTTTGGGGTATGTGTGAGGGGAGGGTCGGGCCTCCAGACGGGCGGCGGACACTGGCGTAGTTTTTTTGCGAAAACAACAACAACCCACAAACGGACAAACATCCCATGGGGGAGGGGAAAGGGTTATAAGCCGTGTCTGCCCCTTGGAGATATCAGTCGACAGCGGCGGTCTCCCGGACAACAATGGCTCTCTTATTTTAAGTAGCTCACTTTGGGTTTAGTGTGGATATTGAAAGATGAGGCTGGTTTTAGACTAATAATATTTATACTTAATTAAGTTTATTGTTTGTCCTAAGTTTATACCTTCAATTCCTAATTTACACCTTTTAAAAAATTTCTTGACGCTATCAAACCCGATTTCACCATTGAAACCAAATAGCATCTTGATTACTTCTGACTAATATTATCTTTCAACATTTCCCTAACTTCCCATTGCTCAATATTGGTTTTACAACAATTTTGTTGAGTCACCCCCATCAAGCTCCCGTAGAAATAGCATGAGTTTACGCCCCATCCTCTACTGCAGTTTTGCGTGTGCATTCCGAATTTTCTCTCTCCCCGTTGGTCGACTCAACAAACAACCCGCCCTCAACCCATGCGATCGCGGCGGAGAAGCCAATTCAACTATTTCACTCCTCGCTCCCGTCCTACCCCTCCCCTCCTCATTTTTGGCCTTCAAAAGACAAGCCTCAAATTCTTAGGAATCTCTGAAAATGGGCTTGTAACCTTACAACCATTTTCATTAAAAAAACTATAGTCAAGCAACGCGATCACTTCGTCTGAGCCACATTCAAAAAGCCACTGTTTGCACATACACTCGATCCACCGCCACACCCAACCACGAGAATTTTGTTTGCGCCTGGCTATGCCAGTTTTTTAGCTAAAGACCTTTGGCCATTTGGCCCGGGCCTGCCTGCCCGCCCGCCCGCCTGCGCAGCCCCAAAAATAAAATGAAAAATGGTTTTTCTCGTCTCATATTTTCCGTTTTTGACAGGGTTGTGGATGGGGTGGGACGGCAATTTGAGAGGGGCATAAATGCTCACTGTTGGCCAGGCAATATGCGCGCGTGTCGTTCATTTTCATATAAATCAGGCAATTCGGGTGGCTGGGGGTCTTTCCGGTAGCTCTCCGTTCCTTAGCTATACACCTTGACTACCCGATTTGAATTGTTGTGGATGTTTCGTTTTCGTCAAAGTTCCATTTGTTTCGTCGATCTAAGGAGGTCTGAGCTAAGGAATTTATTTTCAGAAAACAAATCCTACACGATGGCTGTTACCTGCTCTGATCTGCCCAAGCTTATCTGCGCCGTTCTCTTGCCGGTAAGTGAATTGTTTAAAAGCATCCAAAAAACACTTTTTAAACTTTCAAATTCAGTTTTAATAATTAATTTTCAGCCGATTGGTGTCTTCCTCGAGAAGGGCTGCACCTACCATCTTGCTATCAACATCTTGTTGACAATCCTCGGATACATTCCCGGCATCATCCATGCCCTCTACATCATCCTCGCCTACTAGACACCAAGCCATCAACAAACATAGCCCGATACCACGATGAGCTTTCTCCATCTCAGCTTCATAATTTGCATCCCAGCCAAATATGGCCCAGCTGCAGGCAACGGCTTTGTAGCCTAAAAGGTAACCTAGTCCACCCCAATATCACACCTTGCCAGCTCACTTATACTTAAATTCTATATAAATCCCCCAATATATCCACAATTTCACCTCCTCCTCTTCTCCTCTTCCTTTGCTTTAACACCATTCCGCATATGTATTTATTTCATGCAGCATTTCTGAACAAGACAACATATAATAACACCACAATGAGATATGTTCCCCTTTCCCCGACTTTGGCCCGCAATCTGAATTCTGTGAATAAACTTTCTTTCTTTTTACGATGCGTATAACACCGATATTCCCCGAACACACTCGGCTCCACGCGATCGATGAGGATTTGAAGTTGTTGTCGCTGTTTTTGGCGCGTCGACTAGAGCATTTTTGGGGTGGATAATTTTTGCTACTTACCGAGAATTTCAAGGGTGCTGGGGTTGTGCTGCCATTGACCGAGCATGAGAACGTATCTTTTGGGTCGTGTAGTCCCAGACGAAGCACCACAGATTGATGGCTGATTAGCTCGATGACGTCTCCGTTGTTGACTTGGATGCCAAGGTAGTCTGGTATCACTAAAACAAGGAGGGATTTTGTGCTCACCAGACTGATACCATAGATGAGTCGTGTCCCATAACAGACATTTCCCAGAGATTCCCGGATACAGCATTCATACAAGCCAGCGTATTTCGAAAGTTGATCTTCGGGGATGTTTGCCAAACTGTAGAAGGTCACGGTAAGGAAACAATACGCACTCTAGATGGTCCCGTCTGGTATAAACGTTCTGTGGTAATACAGAACTCCCATCAAAACGCCAGTGAAATCTGCCATTGAAACTTTTGTCAATATTTCCGCAGAATATTCGTCGAACTCCAGTGGGAGAGAGTGTTAATTGTTCGATCGGAAGAGATGCTATCTAAATAATGTGAGAGTTAAGGTTCTGGACTATTAGCGGGGGGGGGGGGGTTTAGCGTGAGGAAAACTAAATTTTTCCCTGTGTTTCTCTATCCTCTCCGCAATTCTCTAATTCTCTTCGAAAATTTTTGAATGTATGAAAAATGACCAAAAAAAAAGTCGACATTTTCAAATTTTCCAAATCAAAAATTTTTTATAACTTTTTAAGAATCAAAAACTACTAAAAACAGCATAAAAGGACATTATATATAATGAACAGGTAGGTCTAGGTAGAAAAATAAAAAGTGGGTCCCCCCGCGTAACGGTCCAGAACCAAAATGAATGGGAAAGGTTAACTTTAGCCACGCCCGAAGGTTCCTAGTTTTTTTCGATATAGCCACTATTTTAACGGATTTTTCTAAATTCAGATCGATTTCTAACCTCACGGCTGGGGGGGGGGGGGGGGGACATGAAAACATACCGTAATCTTTGTCCATGGCTCATTAGCTGATGCTAGCAAGGATAATTCAAAAAGCAACAGCAATACAAGTATCGTTTGATAGTGACGGTGAGTGGAGCGAGGAGTCATAATCTGGGCTAGACATCACCCACACCCCCACCTAGCGGGTGGACCCACTCGCTTCGGGCCCTCCAGGTGGCTGTTGACCAAGCCACCGGTGGGCCACCGGGCAGACCGGCAAATAAAGCCCTCGAGCAATTAGACGATTCACAGCTGCGCGCAAACTATCCCAACCTCAAATACTATCAAACAATTGTGGTTGTAAACGAGGGAAAAGTCACCACAGGCCTGAAGCTCCCCAATTTATTTGAGCCTTGCGCTATTTTTCAAGATACTTTCAAAGTCATGTTCTGGAGTCTTTAAAAATATAAAAATTTTAATTACAGCTCGAAGGTATGTATTACAAAATTATTATAATAAAAACAAAAAATAGAGCAGATTGAATTGGGAAAATTGTTTTTATTTTTTGCCTTTTTCGATTATAATTTATTATTTATTTTATTTTCGTTATTTTAAAAATCCTTTAAAGCCATTCGATGGAATGTCAAAAAATATACTCAGGCTTTTAATTTCAGCCCAAAACAACACAAAAGAAAATAGTTATGATAAAAACCGTTGGCTAAATTAAACGCTTATCCAAAAAGGAAAACAAAAAAATTCAAAAGTTATCAACCTCCCTTTCTAGTTCGCTTCACTGCCTTTAACTAAACGGGAAAGACCCAAGGACCTCCGGTTTTAGCATAAATTCCAATTACCATCGCAAATCATCCCCCGCAGCCGGTGCCTTGAAGACACGATCTGCAGCTAATTATTCAAATTTTCCAGACGGAGACAACTAGCTAGTATTACCGGAATGAGCCCCACTTTTGCCACTATAACAATCCCCCTTCTGCTCTCATGAAAATGGCCCAGAATCGCCGGCTCCTTGAAAATAAGGAATTTGAAAATTTGGCTGACGGATTGCCCCTTTCTAAAAATATTTCGTCTGAACATATCGACAAGGTAAGAAAGGATTTAGGGTTGTTCTTTTAATTTCAGACTACCATGGTGCGCCTCGCTGTCTCTTATATAAAACTTCATTCCGCTGTTCCTTTTCAAATGCAAAATAGAGAGTTATTGCCGCAGTTTATCGACCTATTGGATGTAAGTATAAAAGGGGAAATTGTTCAGCATCTTGCAGCTGTTGGATGGGTTCATCATGGTTTTGGGGGCAGATGGAGATATATTGTATGTCAGCGAGACGATCAGTGTTTATATGGGGTTATCACAGGTGTGGGCATCTATTAATGAGTTGAGATTTATTTTAAAGGTCGAGTTAACCGGGATGCCATTTAAAGATTATGTCCATCCGGACGATTATGCACTTTATCAATGGGTAAAAAATAGCTTGAAGCAGTATAATATGGTTTAAAGGCCTTGGCAGCTTCAAAATTGGATTATCAGCCGACTGGGTTGAGTCTACGAGTTGTAAGTTCTTTAACGAAACGAGCGAATAGAGAAATGGCAAGAGCATCGCCGGGTTTTAAGGTTAGTATAACCCACATTCACTAACAAATTAATGATATTTTCTAAGGTTCTAATTCTAGGTTGTTCGAATGGAACTGCGTGCTACCAAGAATTGTGTATTTGTACACCTATTCCCTATTCCACAACTTGTACTCTCCACAGTCACATTCCCGTCTTATTCAATGTATCTATGCTTGCAAGTCGACTTCCGGATACTACACATTTCTACGGTGTACGCTTTCAGTGGATACAAGCCGTAATTTTCTGCTTTAGCCTCGAACAACTTATCGTACCAAGTATGCTTGCGGAAATCGGCGTGAAAGATACTACCTTTTACAACTATGTACATCCTGACGACCTGGAAATTATAAAAAGAATCCACTATGACGGTAAGATATTCCTTTTTTTTTATAGAATTTCCATTCTGAATGTTTCTCAGCTTTCCACCTTCGATCTCACAAGACGCCATACTTTCGATTGATTCAAAATGGCACCAGTGATATCATTTATGCGCAGGTAATCTTTTAAATGGCGCATATTAAAGTCACTTTTGCGGAATTTCAGGCAATCGCCTATCGGTATACATCACAGACCCTAAAATATAATGTCGACTCGATCTCGTTGATTATTCAAACCTTGTGAGCCGCCGACATCTCCATTCCCACCCATAAATCTTATTGTTCGTATAAATACTTTGCTGAACATTTCACGGCATGAAATGGGGTTCAAACCTTTTATATGCTTTACGGTCTTGTTCTACTATGGAATGGGTGATGACCCGGTTTGCACAGTCGGACAAGTAAAGGTATCTAAATAAATTTTACAAAGTCTGTTATGTCAAAAAACGCTAGCTGCTTTATTACTTGAAAATGCCTATCGATTCAATTCATAAGGAACTTAATCCAGAATACCTTATCACAATGGCTCCAATGCAAAGAAGTCGCCGTAAATGGTACAACGTCAGTTGCATGGGTCAACCAAGGTTTTTTTCAGCCTTAGCCTCAAAAACTATGAGACTATTTAGGATGTGTGCACCCGATCCCCGCCGCTAAAACGTATATCCGTCTGGCTGAATCGGAAACGTTCGATGAGGTTCATTCAGAGAAATTTTGAAATCTGACATCATTTTCAGCTTGGTGACAAAGGCCCGCGATTCCATTTTCGGGCGCAATGTCTAAAATTTGGAAGCGTCTATAAGATGAAATTTGTTAGTAGGTTTTCAGCAAATTGCATTGATCTAACCATTTCTTTAGAATGTCTAGTGGGGCTCAATAAAGTACCACTCGATCCAGGCGCCTCTACGACCCTGCAAGTAGGTCGGAAAGCAAGAAATATCGTGATTTCCAGGAAACTGATGGTAAAAAGAAAGTCCGCCGAGCTTATAAATGCACCACGGCTAAGTTAAACCGTTTGACTATCGATGAAGTGACGAAGAACCTGTGAATGTTGATCAATAAAATTGCAATTGTTCCCAAGGGACTTTTCAGGGTCAACACGCAAAGGTTCAGCCTCTTTTTGGGTCTCACTAGGGATAGGTCCCAAATGGCGGCCGGATTATTCCTAAAATGATATGAGGAATAGTGGTGTAACACCCCGATTCTATAGAATTTATTTATTTCTTAGCGTTTAAGCTTAGCATATTCTTCCGCAATATACGCGATATAATGTGTTATGTTTTCAATCAAATTTGGGCATGGAATGCCTCTAAAACCTCGTGTGCAATTTTCAGACAATTTGGTGACCAATACGAATGACAGCCAGGATATGCTTTTGATAAAAACATTTAAAATTTTGGAAATAGTCTAAATGTTATCGAAAATTCAAATGAAAATGGCAACATGTCATCCCTGAACGGGCATATTTGCATTCAAAATTCGAAAAACGAATCACACCAATTTACGGAATTAATGAACGGTAAGCCTAAGTCAAATTTTCACTTGAAAGTATACGCGAGGGAGTGTACTCGGTTTTTGGGGTATCTACGCCAAAAGTGCATCCAAATAATTCCCCCCACAACCTGCGTACAAATTATCGATGTCGCTATTCTAGCCAGCTGCCCATTGTAACACAAACTCCCGCCAGACATCTCTTCGATCCGCCACCCCGATAAGCCTTTTGCCCGCCTAACATAACCCCTTTGCCGCAACGCCTCAATCCTATCGACGGTTTCCTTCCGTCTCCCGCGTCACGTGTATTTCATTAGACCACAAAGTCCTCGCCAAAATTCGAAATCCAAACGCGATTTTGCTTGTAAATTTGTATATTTATCTGTTATGTTTTACAATCCGTTATTATTCATCACCTGACGTTTCCAGGTGATGGCCGAGGGCTCAGACGCTTATGGCGACCAGTATAGCCGCTATTTGGTTGGAAGTGGTTAGTCGTCGTTTGTGGTACAAATAATGCTTTATTTTCTAGAATCGACTGAAAACTACATCCCTGGTGAAGACAGCGACTATCAGTCCTTCAGAACCGGTTTCTTGAAAAGGCGAAGCAGCTTGGACAAGCCGGCTGGCATTATGTATGTTTGAGATTTAGTCATTAATTTTTTTCTTTTTGGTATTGACTATTTACCTGCTTAGCCTGAGCTTGTGAACTAGGAATTGGCTATCTTTATTTTGATTTTCGACAAGTTGTTTTCTGAGAATGCGAAATTACATCATGCTTGGAAAGGGCCTGACCTTTAGTCAACTTCCTATTGCTTATTGAAGTTTTGGGCTCTGCCTTGTTCCAATGCAAGCACGCTAAGATACGCTCAAGTTATCTACACATAACTTTTATTATTTTACTTATTTAGAACACAAGAACTTCACTCGCTAAAAGCGTTCAGCAACGGATACGCCTCAGCCAATGTGCCGACTGGACTTCTGTATTTGGGTCTCCAAAATGGATTTGGTGATAGCTCCGGGTATAATATTCCTATTAGTCATATAATCTTACTCTAGAAATTACACAAATGGTCATTCGAACGGTCGTGCCGCGGCTCCCACTTGTCCGGATACCAAGTGCTTCAAGATGAAACCGCTTATCAAACGATCTGATCGAAGAAGGTAGCAATTGATCCGCTTCCTCAAATTCATTATTTTTAGGCGGGCAGGAGTTGGCGATCTCCTTCAATATCTCCGCGATCCTGCTCAGGCAATGATTGACGAGTACAAGGAGAGTGTATGCGTGAAGTATAACCCGACCAGAATCACCTCGAGCTACGACTTGCCAGTTTGCCGCATCGGTATGAAACCAATTTCGGCGAGAAATGTCTTTATAGGACAAGTTGAGCAGACTGTAGCTTTGGCCGATGCTATACAAGACATGCCTTTCGATCTTCCGCCACCGCCTCCCACCCGGTTGATAGGGACCAGGTATGTTTTTCGATTTTGGTATTTACCTTTTTTCAGGTTCGAAGCTTGATGCGTTCTAAGATGATACGCTGTAAGCGATGTAAGAATCGTTTTATTGAGAAGAATCTTTATGAGCGCCATCTGCGAGATCGGTTAGTAGTCACTTTTTTTGCTATTTTACTTTGAAAACTATCGGTGAGATCCATTTTTCTTTGTTTAGGCATCCTGAAGACTATGAAGTGTTCATCGCTGAACAAGAAGCTGAAATGGAACTGCAACGGCAGGAAGAAATGGAGGCGAACCGCATCGAGGAGTTGACTTCTGGTGGCTTTATTCCTCCCGCCGAGGATATTGCTGCCGATGGATATGAATACGATGTGGACGAGTCGGTTTCCTAATACCGTTCCTTATTATCTTTTTTAAGAATTCCCCTTCCCGGTGAGAACAATGGTGGTGTCGTTCCTCATTTCGATTCGTTTGGCGGATTGAGATATATTCGTCGGCCGTTCAAGAAGAAGGTATTGGAGGGAGAAATTCTTATTAATTAAAATTCTTTTAGGTCTCCCCACAATGCCCCTTCTGCGACAAACGTTATCGAAACGAATTCTCTCTGAAGAAGCATTTTGTCAAGAAACATCCCGAATGCTCAAACTTCGTCCAATGTTTCCGTTGCTTCAAGTGTTTGACTGACAAGAAGGAGCTGGAGATCCACGAATGTGAATTGGTAATTCTTAAGCTGCCGTCGCAATTACGATGATTTAGACCTACGTGTGCTTTGAATGTACACCAGTCCGCAATCTGGTCACCGACGCTCGTTTATTGAACCACAGGAAGAAGTTCCATCGCGGTGCCAATTCGGGCTTCAAGTGTAACCAGTGCAATTTGAAGTAAGATTCGGCCTAAATCGGCATTTTTGTCTTTTTAGGTTCCTGACCCCACGAAAGTTGCGAAAGCATAAGAAAATGGCTCATGTTTTCACAAAGACATTCCAATGCCATTTCTGCGAGGAAATCTTCATCAGCGAAGTTTCGGTACGTGTCTCTTGCGGGAAACGTTTATTCTTTTTGCAGGTTATGACTCACGAACGAATTCATACCGGAATCATTAAATTCGAATGCAAAATCTGCGATTTCAAATGTAATCGTTTTTTGAAGATGGAAGAACACACGAAGGAGGAACATGGGTATTCAATTTTCAGTCTACTGAGATGATTATTCCTTCAGATACATCTGCCCTATCTGTCAAGAGAAGTTCACGGAATGGTCTGAATTGAAAAATCACACGCTGTCGGATCACGGCGGATACCTTTCTAGTGATTCAACTTCCGGTAAAAAAATTTTCCCCACAATCTATGGTTTATTTCAGGCTACATTGAATCGCCGCGCGTTTGGGTGTTGTTCAAAGGAGAATGAAATCGTGATCGATCCCAAACTTGTCATCTGTCTCAATTCACCTTTTTGTGCCTCATATAATCAATCTCTTACCCGATCTTTTCCATTACGAGTACATTTTTTTCGAGGATGCTTTATTATTTTTAGCCTTAGACGCTTCTCTCTGCGAAGATCTTTGCCGGCTTCGGGCCCTAATCCAGCTAAACTTTGATATCACATATTTAGTCCCTCTGTCAGCTAGTTGTTGTTAAAATTTCCATCCTACCCTAAAGCCTTCCCATGTCGTTACCTCATTTACCAGCGTTGTTCAAATTGTTGTTTTCTTTGTTATCTAGAAGTTGTGCATTTTTTTACCCTGCTTGTTTTCCTGGGCGTATAAAAACTACACGCTTTTTGAGTGATTTATAATGTACCGACCATCCAAGAGAAACCTTATGTTTCTTATACCTTTGATTAAAACGGGTCAAGTATTCGGATCATTAATTAGGAATTCCATTCTGTGTTTTCAATAATTTTGGGCTAATATATCTAGCTAGTATTCCAAATGATCGGGTTTAATTGAACTCCGAAATTTCAGGTATGCACACGTGGAGGTGGGACGATCGAGAGCTGGCTGCAAATGGTTGTGATAGGTTATTCCAATAAATATTATTGAAATAGTTTTTCTTTACAAGGCATGAATCTAACCCGGGGAAAATGCGGCTGCTACTCAGGTTCAGGGGATTTCTCTGTGCACGCGCGTAGCTTCGCATAGTAACGACTTGGGTCAGGTTTTAAATTGGCTTGATTATTAGGCTTAGCCTATGAATTAAGTTACATTATCTCTAGTTTAGTTTAAATGATGCTTAGCTTTGTCATAGCTGCGATGACTTTGTCTTTTACCGAGATTGTTTTACGGTTGTTTTGGGCTTATGAGTGGGTCTCGCGCGGGAAATGACCATCTAAGATTTTTGCCCCCTCCCCTAACTTGTAAGTTACTAATTGGAAAATAATGAGCGAGGATATCTACTTTCCTGATATTTTTTGTGTGCTCTTAGTCAGTTCTACTTCAATACATAAGTTTAGATTCCCGAGGAGATAGCGTTCGCTAATCTCCACTTGAATTCAACTGAATGATATCAGCTTCATCGGATGATCGGCGCTAGCTCTAGGCAATAAAAGCAACTTTTTTGGTACTCGATAGCTTGCTCATACTGTAAACAGGGGCAGAGCCCTGGCGGCCTACCCTGCAGGTTTGCAAGCCATAATTTTTGTCTGTAAAGCGAGGAGACGTTCCCCCGCCACCCATCAGCTCGGTATGCGAATCTGGAAGATCTCGCCCCGTCGATCATAAACAATAAAATGCATCGATCGACGGGAGCTAATGGCTCTTAACCACCGCTTTCTTCCCCGCCATCGACTTTCGATTCACTCGTTGTCCCCCGTTCTCTTCGCCACAGCTCTTCAACAATGATCCGGATTGGGAACTTCCTTTTCTGGTGGACGGATCGATGGTACGTTTTGCATGATGATCCCTGAAAAACCCCAAACTTTTTTTTGCGCCTGTGGTTGACGTGTGGGTCGTTGAAGGGCAAAATACTACCCCATTCACGGGATACCGTAGCCCATTGTTGCTTGGGTCGGTGCTTAATATGGGCGCAGGCCCGTGTCGTCTCGTGGCGTCAAAATTAAAGGTTAGTAGCTAAAAAATTGTCGCCCAAAAAGGAACAAAGTGCAACTCGTCTGTAGTTACGAGGGTTTTTATAATTTTTGACTTTATAATTTTTGACGCATTTTAAAGTTATGTTCACAAACTTTAAAGGCTTTGCCATTTAATAGTCATTGGGTGTGTGGCTGCCAAAGCGATTGCATGTTTATAAAACACCGGGCTAGCTAGACCATTCAGGGTTTCACGTTTCACGGAACTAAATTATAAACTGCCCGAAAATGAAGAAAGCCATTACTTAGGTTGCCAGAGATTGCGTTATTTTGGTTGATAACTTGTCGGGGCATAGCTATGGATAGAGGACACAGCAATAAATGAGCAGGACCCAACGCTCTGGGAGGGCCTCAATAGGTCTTTCATCTGCCACTCAATGCGAGGGTATGTACCCAGGAAGTGGCAGGTGTAAAATGTACCCGATCCCTCCAATGAAACATGCAACCGGAACATTTTTTCGCAATTCAACCGCCTTAGTCAATCATGGTTTTTAAAGTTCGATGTTTTTAAAATCCGCTACCCAAGATCTTGATTGAAATTTTGTAATGCATATTTCAGAATCTTTATTACCAGCCGTTTCATAAGAAAAACCTAAGTTCTAAGCAAATCCGACGACGAGCCAACCACATCCAGCGACCAGCTGATCTTAAATATCAATCTCAGACAATAATCCCCGCTTTGATCCGCATACTAAGGAGCAATCTAGGGCTGTTTGTCAGCAAATTCCTTTAGACTTGCTTTCGAAGATCACGCATATAAGTGCGAAACGCAGACGACCGGCTTAGGGTCTTCTTGTTATGAAAGCAGGGTTCAAAAATCCAGAGAATATCGGGGATTTTGTTTGGAAAATATTTTCTTGCGCCAGGTTTTTGGGTGCACTATTTTCTTGGATAACTGCTGGATATCAAACGGTTGCTTTAGCATCGAACGTTATACTTATATTTTATGTGCATATTAGGTTTTCTTTGTTTTGGCTTATATCAAAAAGTAAAGAAATGGAGGCGAGTCGGTACTGTTCTATTTCGTCGGGCCAGATGCGCCTTCAGATTATTTTTTTCCTTGACTATGTTATATGAATTTTTGGGCGGAAATTAGGGATATTGAATCGAATCTTTATTTGAAGCGAATATTTATTGTGGCCTTTCTGGGGTTGTTAAAAAAAATTGAAAATTTCGAAAACTACCTTCCATAACTGCATTTCCTAGAGTTTTTTGTGCTATGAATATTTTGTATTAGATTATTTTCAGCTGTAACCGAAACTTCTAGTATGCTTTTTATGCTATATAGAATGGGTAGCCAGCCAAATAGGACAGTATTGGCAACTAAATTGGCGGGGATTTCCATTGGGTAACGGTAGCGCTTCGGGAGTAGGGGAGCCTGCCGTTCCAACATGATAAGTTAGTGGTTGCGATGTTGGGATGCGGTCGTTGTCGGGCCATAAAGGGCATTAGCCCACCACTCCACCGCCTCCCCTAGGGGCATAAGGGGGGCCGTTTGAAGCCCCAAAGCCGACGGGCTAGTGTGGGCTCTAAAAAAGCGCGCGCCAGTGACGTGCATTCCCGGTGGTTGGGTGGCGCCGCGGCGCAGCCGCAGTGTGTTTGTGGCGCGTGCTCGTGTTCTCTCGCCTCCCAATCGGTGGGTGGTCTCTCAGCCCGTCGTCTCGTTGAGACCCCCCTATTTCCATGAGACAGCCCTTTTCTATCCTCCGTTTTCTGTTCTCTGCCCTCCACACACCCATTTCCCCTCACATACACACAGACCAAAAGCGACCCCCCTCTTCCCCTCTCCATCACCCATCTTTTCACCCCGCAGTCTTTCTTTCCCTTTCCCTATCGTTTATTTCATCGCCCCTCGCCCCAATCTTTTCCCTCCACCCGTACCACATCTCCGCCGTCTTCTCCCTGCTTTTCTTTTGCTTCTTCTTCCTTTTTCCTCGCAGCACCTTTTGCGCATTGCGAGAAAACGGCAATGAGAAAAGCTCCCCCCTGCTCGACCCGAACCCGGCGGGATAATGCACCATCTCGGCTCGCCCGCCCACCCCGGCAGCCGAGGATCGGCCCCGAGATCCCCAGGATTCGCGCTCACCTATCTCATTTTGTAGACCCGTGGACATTCCAGTAATCCCAAGGCTATCTGCTAGCATCAATCCAAACTTTTGTCTTCAAACTTTTCTGACAATAGCAGCTTATTAGGTTTTTTGATCAAGCATTTGATCAGAAGTCGATTTTCAATTGTGTTTTTCGATAAAATTTGCACTTGGTTAAGTTTGTCCGTAGCGGTTTAGCACTGATGTTTTTAGTTTTTGAACCTGGCAAGCAATCGGCCCCGTGATATTCAGAAAGTTTGAAAAGTCACCTAGCAAGCGCCTACTTTTCATCAGGCATTGGCCAGGAAAGCCGTAAACGCAATTCACTTACCGATAGCTATCGTCTCTAAAAGATGTAAACTAACATGTGAGATGATCGTATTTGGCTTTTGGAAGTTTTATGGAATCCGGTGCGCCCTAACTACAGTACCGCCACCCGCGCTCCTTGAAGCACACACTGCGAATCACGTTTCTAATGACAAGCGCGCCATTTTTCTATTTCTCAATTCTCGTTCATAAATTCCGCCCATTTCCAGTCTATTGTGTCTTTCTGTTCCCCAAACTTTTTGCGCCGTTTTTGCCCCCGACCAGCCGCCGCACAAGCATTTCTTATGAAGCCATGGCTACAAATTTGCTGGCTGGTGTCAGCACAGGCCAAAAGAACACCGTTTTCTAATCTCTGGATTGGAATTCCGCGATTTTTGGTTAGTTTTTGCATATGTGCCGTAATTTGTGCAGAAAGCTATATGCGCCCGATGTTTTGATTTATGAGGCGAGCGCGGGCTAATTAGGCGGCAGCATAGAGCGTGCCAGACGGGAAATTCGAGAGAGGGGGACTGATTTCCGGCAGAATGATTCACGGCCGTGATAGTGACCGGGATCAATTCTTATCAAAAATTGTGAGCGTCTGACCATTGATCCCCTTTTATTCCATTCTAGATAGGTCATGTTTTTGCCTCTATTTGAACCTTTTTTAACTGGACACCCGGCCTCGTTAATCCGGAGATAATTGGGGTGGAAGCCATACTGTTTGGGCGGTGAGATCAGGTTTTTGTCATCTCTAATTCTCGCAAAAAACTTCCCCCTAGGGAAAACTGTTTGACGAGGGATTGGGTGAACTCCCCGAAAAGAGGCTGGACTTCTGTGAATTAATCCGGATATGGCGATAGTTTTTTGAAAAAAGTAGCGCCCAGCCGCACTAACTCCATATTTCCGCAGTCCGATATTCGGCTTTATGGCCGAAGCTGGTGCGTGTTTATTGCGGCCAACCTCGTATTCGAGGATGTCTAAAAGGTATGGGTGTTTTATTTAGGCGAATGGTAAACCGCGGTACATTCCCACGGTTTTTACAAATTCGTTATATCCGTTGTTCAGTACCGGAGTATTAGTGAAGTTCAGGGGAAACGTAGACTTATAGCCATAACCCGATCTTTGTGAGTTTAGAAATGAATTTTTGCATTGACATACCGTTACTTGCTTGCTTTAAACAGTTTAGTTTTACTTTGCCTTATCCTCCACAGGTCTTTGTGACCGCCCATGATAGCTCGTCCTCAAGCTCCCCAATTATTCACTCTGACTGTAATCTGTCTTTCCTTTTTCTATATTTTTATTTGTCTTACGAATTACACTTTTTAGGCATTGCGCCCCGCTTATGGACAGCACATGGCCGGGGGAGCAGCGGGCCTCGACTAGCTCTGCCCCGGGGCCATGGTCCATCGAGAGTCGGAATAAATTGAATCGGGTACGAACCAGTCGTTTTGCTATACCCCCCAAATCGTTTAGGTCGGCAATTATCATCTGCTCAAATCTATCGGCCGCGGCAACTTTTGCAACCGTAAAACTGGCCAAGCATGATATTGCGAAAACGAAGGTACAGACTTTTTTGGGGTTTTTTTAAGGTGCAAAGCTGATGCATTTTTCGTAATTGGTGGCAAAAATTAAACGAGATTTAACCATGAAGTAATTTCTTTTTAGGTCGCTGTCAAGATGGTTGACAAAACCAAGATCGAGCCAGAGAACCTCATCAAAATCGAGCGTGAAATTGAGATCCTGAAGCAACTCGATCATCCCTATGTCGTCAAGCTCTATGAGGTACATACCCGTTATTCATCACAATATTTTTGTACCTAGGTGATGCGCACCGACCGATTTATTTACATTGTAACCGAATACTGCTCGGGCGGCGAAATGTTTGGTGAGCCTGATTTTTTCAAGTGTTATTCAATCTGCCCTTGGGGACACGTTCATTATAATTGCCTCTTCATATTTGCCTACCCTGGCCTACATCGAGGGGGGGGGGGAGCGAACAAAAAAAGCCTGCTTGTATCTTTTACTTTGTTGAGCCTCATAATTAACGCCTTTGATCGCCAAATCCCCCTCTCCAGCGGTCGAATTGCCAGCCTGAATGACGCACAGAAATGGTTTTTCACTGCTGGATTTGTGCCCTGGGCGGATAATCCGAATATCCGGGATCCGAAGCTTACGCGAGTGCGGGCGGGTGGGGGATAAGGAATGGCTCTCTTTACAGCGCAAATTATTCTTGGTTTTTTTTCGCTGTTATTCCATTTGAAAACGGATGGGAAGGAGCGGGGAATCTTGGAATTTCGAGGAACTTGCCGTCCCGGGGTATAATCCTCGAAAATATGGGGGTCCTTTAGAGGAGGGGCTTTCGATGATGGAATGGCTAGACATGATCATTTTTTAGGATTAGGGACAGGAAATATTGTCTTTTATTTTTAACAACGCCTTTGCTTTATGCTCTCGAACAGAAATTTGGGCCCTGAACCCGATGCCATTTATTGTAGCCACCATTTTTTATATAACGGGCAGGTGCGAACCCATCAATTAGACGACGAGCAGCGTCTCGACTGTGTCACGGTGGACCCAATTAGAGTATTTGTTGCCGTCAGAAACAAAATGGCCTTTAGAAATCCCAGGAAGCTTTAGGTGCTTGGATAAGATGCCTTTGCCCCTTTGGCACGTTATTTGCCCTGATGATGTCCTGAGGATTCTATTTTTAGTTGTTGGCTATCTGGAATTCGGGAATTGCAACCTTTTCGAGTATCGTCTGCCAGGCGAGCATGATGAATTGGTGCCCAAATTGGCTTTGACAACGACCCCAAGGGCGGCCCCTGGTGCGTTAGTTGTTGGAATAATCTGATATCACGCTTCCTATTGCTATTTGTGTCGGGGGATGATGGTACGTCGATATTTTTGTGCGGCAAAGAGTAACGGATGGCATTGGGAATTCTCACATGTTCCTCGGATGCACAGTCGGCCGACTGACGAGTTTGATGAATGGGTTGGGATTGCGATTCCCAGATCGGCCGCATCCCTCGCCGAAAAATCGACCCCCGCGCACGTTTTGGCTCTCACGGTTCTTCGAGCGACAAGAGGAGGGTCTGAGATGCAAAAGAACGGGTGCTATTTATTTGAATGAAATTTAAACAGGGATGTCAGCGTAGAATTGTTGGTTACCAATTAGTACACTGCTGAAAGCTGACAAATTGGATCCAAAACTGACGCGACACCATCCTTTTATTTAGTTTTTTTGAAATGGACCACTGCAGCTTCACTTCAAACACCTCTAGGGATTTCCGGCAGCTTTGCATATATTGCTCACCGTTACTCCCAACCCTCGTCCTACCTGACTTACAGAAAAGTGAATGATAACCCTTTGCGGAAATAAGCAATTTACATAAATCTTCGTTAGCGGCGGATTACCGTATCCGATACGATGTGCGGGAGAAGAGAGGGGTATTTGTGCTGTGACATTTTGTGTACATTCGCTTCATTACCCGATGATGATGTATGGGCGCGCGAATGGGGGCTTTGCACCCCTTACGTGAAGGGCTCAATATTTCAAATAGGGTTGAAATAGATGAGCCGACGGCGTAATTAAACCAACCGGAATGTGGGCAACCATGAGAGCCACTTTTGGGGAAGGAGGCTTTGAGTGGCTGGCGATTAAAATTTAAGAGGTTGAAAAGGCAAAATTATCTTAAAAATCTTGAAAATTGGCGAGATAAGGTTTAATAAAGAGTCTTTTTTTTTCAGAAATTCTCGTGGAAAAAGGACGGATCTGCGAAACAGATGCAAGGAAATGGTTCAATCAAATCGTCGCTGCCCTCACTTATTGCCACGAAAACGGCGTAGTGCACCGAGATTTGAAAGCCGAAAATTTACTCGTCGACAAGAACAATGATATCCGAATTATTGGTGGGTTTCCTTTCGTTTTAACTCTACAAGCAAATTGGCTGCGAAACTTAATCTTCTATTCAGATTTTGGTTTCTCCAACTTCCAGCCGCCAAATCACATGCTCAAAACTTCATGCGGATCGCCGCCTTATGCTGCCCCTGAGCTTTTGCTAGCCAATGATTATGATGGAACAAAGGTATATCCGTGTATTTTTCAATTCTAAAATTTTTGTTTCAGGCTGACATTTGGAGTCTTGGCGTCCTGCTGTATATAATGGTTACGGGTGGCTTCCCATTCCCCGGCGATTCTATTGACAAACTTAAACGCGCCATACTCTCAGGGCCTTTCAAAATTCCTTACTTCGTGTCGGTTGGTAAGTGATTTTTCCGAAAAGCAACGGAATATTTTTTTCTTAGAATGCTCGGATTTGCTCAGAAAAATGCTAGTCCTCAATCCAGTGAAACGGTTCAGCATTCAGCAAGTGGGACAACATAGGTATGCTAGAATTGTCGAGGAAACTGGAGTATTTTTAGGTGGCTGAATCCTCCGAAGACCGAAGAAATGGCCATGTCTGCGTCGAGCCTTGCTCTACAAAGTGATCAATTCTTGAGTGCCCGCCTTTCGGAAAAGCGAAAACTCAACCCAACTGTGCTCGTTTTTCTTCAACAACATTCAAAATGGTCGGAGGAGAGTATTATGGAGGTAACAAACGGTTCTTCTTGCAAATCTATTGTTTTCTAGGACGTTGAAAAGCGTAACTATGATGCTCCGATCTATGCTGCGTACGAGCTACTCTGTGAAAAGCTGCGAGCAGCCTCGGAAGATACCACGGTAGATCAGCCGAGGAGAGGGAGCAGAGGCAGCATTCTATCAGGTTTCCCTAATAGAATTGCGTGAAATTACTTATTTAGGAAAAGCTAATGTGGATCCTGAACCTGCGGCACCAACTATTTCGGCTCACCACTTGGCCCAGCTCAGCTTGTTGTCGAGTGCTGAATATGTAATCGATCTTTACCTTTTGTAATTACCCGTTCAATTCAGGAATCTGACGACTCATCTGCTTCGGAAATGTGTGAGGACTCGCCTTGTTCATCGTCACGACGAAAAGATAGCAAGTAAGGAGATATTGAAATTGTGCAAGTTATTTCGTGTTCGTTTCAGGCATCGGATCGAGGAGACAATGCCTTATCAATCGAGGGAACAACGTCGGCATACACTTTGCGCAACCGAACCGCTTTTGCCGCCGGAATTGTTGCAACAGCTAGGCGGAGGCAAGTAGCATGGGATTTTTGTATGCCGACAAATTCTTCTAACCAGTGTACAACGTGTTGGCTCTTACTCGCCTTGTCAATTAAACGATTTGGTTATTTCCCCAATTTTAGTCGAAGGCCTCCATGCTGCCGCTGCTCTTCAATTTCAACAAACTGGCTTGCAAATGCTTCTTGGTGGCCAGGCCCCAGAGCTGATGACTGCCTACGGTGGATTGCTAAACGGAATGTCGCCAATTCCTCTTCACGAGAACCCAACCCTTCACATCCCATTCAGTAAGATCTCCTTTCCCCATTTGCACTTTCAATTAAAATTGCAGTGGGCGAGCGACGTGCCAGCGCCTCCGAAGCTCTATTTGGGGCTCATCTGAAGGGGGCTGCCAATAGTCTGCCAGCTGGCAGCGAAAGTCCTACGGCGTCTGGCAGCGGAACCAACATGAATATCGAGGAAGAGGGCAAAAAGTCAGTCGATATTGGGTAGTGTTATTCTATGAAAAACTTAGGTATCTGAGCCAACAAGGCTCGTCGAAAAGGAATACGGTGCACGCGTTGACTGGGACACCGGCGTCAGCTTTGGGCAAAGAGAAGGAAAGGCATTTGAGGTAGAGTTAATTTTAATTGGGTTTTTGCTGTTTAGAAACGCTAAGATAAACGTATTTGGTTTTCAGGAGTCCTTATTCGAAAACACCGAATGGCGAAAGAAGAAGCTCATGGGCACCTAGTCCAGTATCCACCACTCAGCAAAGCCAGCTCGAAAAGCTCTACATGCAACACCTACAAAAGGGCGGCCGGCATATGTCAGCTGGTAAGGAATCTCTCGACTAATAACTAATCTCTTGTGTTTAGGCTCCGACCTGTTCCAAATCAAACAACTTCAACGAGAGTTCCAAAAGCTTGGCAAGCTGGCTGCTGGCAGCGGTTGCTCACCAACGTAAGTCCAACAACTCCTCTGGCACTAAAAATCGTTCTAGAACATCATTGGCTATGGATACCTCGTCGATGTCGCTCAAAAACACCCCTCGCATCTCTATCACCGATGAAAATAACAAGTTGCTGCCGCCGGGATGTGCTTCCGCCAACTTCAACCCGATCGCCCTGTTTGAGCAGAAGGTACAACCTTGTTTCCCATCCAAAGGTTGCTTGTATTTTCAGGCAAGCGAAGTTATCTACGGAGAACAAGTACGCCCTGCAACCGTCATTGGTTTCGCGCCGAATCCGAATATTCATAGCGGTGCCTCCACGCCGGAACATCCCGGTTTCCGCCCGGAAAGCCGGGGAACGGTATTGTTTTTTAAAAATCCTTTACCCTGGTTTTTAGGTGCTGGTTTGTGCTGCTGAGCCGATAGAAGTTGTTCACGAAGCGAAGACTTTCTTTGATGCTAAGCAGTTACAACACGAGGAGGTCCCCGATGAGGAGCGAGGTGGGCAGTAGTTTTGCATCAAATATGTACTTCTTCCAGGTGGCTGTTGGATAAACAGTCATTTCATCCGTTTGTACATACGCCCCATGGACGACCGTGCTCACGTGGAATTGATGTTAATGCAGGTCAGTCGTTAAAATATTTTGGAAGGGTTTTATTTTGATATTCTGAATGTTTGATGAAAGCCTCTTTTAGGAATACGCTGAGCCGATCGCCGAAGAACTTGCGAATATCCTTCGCGCCATGGATTGCCTTTAATAATGTGTGTCATGTGTGTTTTTTTTGTGAATTTGAGCCCCGGTGTGATTTTCTCCGATGTGATTCTGAATTTGCTTGCTAGTCAACTTCCAAAATTCTAGTTATATACGAAGCTCCTTGGTTGCTATAATTTTTTTGCCTAGATGCCCACATCTAGTAGGGTGATATAATTCGTTGCTTTGCATTTTTCATTCTGACCAAGATTGGCTTGCCTAGGTGTACAAGCGTTGCTCTCTCACTAAAAACTTCGTCAATATAAAATGGCCTTGTTGTGCTAGCGGCATGCCACCCGCCATTCCAGTTTCCCCCTCAACCTAAAACGTTTGCGTTGATGTGTATCTAGTAGCTTTGTACTTAGTTTGTAGAGAATAGAGATACAAAAAGTAGTGCTTCTGATTTTTTTCCTCCCCCATACAGAATCTATATTGCCCTGATTGTGATATGAAACCAATACGGTAGCTTCCGGTATGCATGATATGTATTGTAGAAGTGCATGCACCTTAAACTTTTTCAAATTGTAGCTAATATGCCAAACTTCCCCGTTGCTGGTTGAGCTTTTGAAATCTTGCCAGTATAAAGATATATTAAAAGCGGCTGCTAATGCAAATACGTTGCGATTTGCCGGAAGTGAGGGGTTTTTGCCATTCTGGCGTGCCTGAGTTTTTGACTAAGGAAGCGTAATTATTTTCGTATCGTACTGACCCGTTGAGAGAACGTATCAAGAGTTACAGAGGTGTTAATGGAGAGAGGAAAAGATGCAGCAGTCTGTGAAGATTGTGCCTCTTTTTGAAAATGGCCGGTCGACTTTGGATATTCAGAAACATCGCGAGCGGCTGCACAACATCGGTAAGTTATAATGTTATGTAATATAACGGTAGGCTTTTGTTGTTCGTAATCTTAAACCTTTCATATGTTAGTCAGTCTGGCTGAACGAATCTTGGCGATGAACCTGCAATATGAAGAAGCGAATGGCACTTTATTCAAGGTTTGAAACTTAATGCATTAGAAGCTCTGCTCAGTATACGATTGAGCGATCATATTTTGCCGACGAGTTCGATTTACCGCAACCCGATGATACGAATTTGGCCGAATTCTACAAAGCAGCTTCACAGAAGATAATGTTCACATCGCATGATGGATACATTTTATTCTTTGTTGCTCCGCGGTATGATTATCATAAAGGAAAGTAAAATAATTTTATTCTTTTGTAGGCGTTACTGTGTGACATATCAAAACATGTCCATCATAGCCATGCCTTGGCTCAATGATCTTAGTGTAATTCCATTGTCCGAATTGCTTCAAAGTGACTGCACCAAGCGGCCGCTTCCGGGATTTAGGAGTTTGTCTATCACTGTACTTGCCACTCTACACGAAATTATGCACATGGTAAACGTTAACTTAATCATATTTGAAAATAACATACTGTTTGACTTTAGTTTCTGATACCACACTCAAACTCTGGGCTAATGAGCGCGGGTTGCGTCTGTGATTCTATCCGGAATTATTTTTGTCGCCGACCAGCTTGTGGTTGCTACACTGATAGTAACAGGTTCGGGGTAATGGCTTAAATAAAATCAACGATGCTTTTTGTAGACTCGACCCTCTGAGCCTTGAGCTCGTCAAACGATCGTCGTTCCTGACGAAAAAAGATTCGACCGTTGATGTCAGGCAGAATCCGGACAAAACTTATGAAATATCATCGAATGATAAAATCGACTACCTAGTTACTGTTACGCTGTAAGTCACGAAATTTGAAGGAAATAACTAGATGTGAAAGCCAGCTAAACAGAATTTTTTTAGCGATAATTCTATGATACGAGACGTTGTCCAACCCAACAGCAACCGGTATATTCTGAAAAAGAAGCCGGACAAATGTTCTCTTATTGTCGCAACAACTGTTTGTTTGAAACAGATTCGGTTCTGACTGAAGACCGCAAAATTAACCTTTCCAAGTCACACTTTTGAAATTATTCTATTTTTCCTCGTATTACTTAAATGGAGTTTATCTGCTTTTATTTCGGAGATCCTGCTTTTTTGGCGATATTAGCTGTTTATCAAATTGTATTTAATTAAGTTATGGGTTTCATGATCCGGGCTCTATAAACAATGACGGGTTGAATCTTGTTCGTTCAAAATGTATTAAATAAGTGAATAAATTTTTTTCAGTTCGTCTATCTATAAGTGCAAATTTCTATTATATTGACAAGTCTAAAAACCAACCAATTGATCGCTTTTAAGCATCGTTTCGTTACACAGATGCGGCTGTGTTGTGAACGTCACCGAACAAGTTTATTAACAGTTTTATGGTGATCGGGTTATGTTGTCAGGTTAAAAAGCAACAGCTAAATTTCGACCAAAAATTTATGACCACTAGCTCATCGTCATTATTTTAGCTTTTAAAGATATGCATCTGAGCACCGATCTCATCTTTTGGAAGTCCACTCACTTCGCTGTTGAGCATCAGCACCTCCCCTGGAATGTTCAATATTTATTTCCAGAGATTTTATCGCTGATTTATCGTTAACATAAATCCTTCAAACAAATTTATTTTTTTTGCCTCACCTTTTCCCTCGCATCCAACTAGAAAAATTTGGAATGCGATAGACTTCTGAATCATCTCTTTTGCCGAATGATGCTCGCCATAAGATCGGATTTACCTGGGTTTATTCTACTTGGAGGATAGGTAGCGAATCTCACCTCTCGCTGTCTGTTTACTATTTCATATTCACCTTCGTCAAAATAGGCATAGGAGACAGGGAGCAAGACAGCAAACACGATGAATACCCAAAGAGTTTTCATCTAAATTATGGATAATAGGTAAATTAAATATGTCAGCTAATGAAAGCGAAATTGACAAACGAATCGAACAAATTGATGAATTATGGACGTGTGCGAGTAATTCATTGTAGAAGAATGTTTTTCTATGGCTTCCGGCATGAGCACCATGAAACCATAGTAGCTGCTAGCGTCGCTCTCTGTCATTTTCTTAGAAAATAATTGATAGCACTTCACAATGATGGAGTGGGGATTAAAGGAGGCGAGAAGATGAACGAATCTCGGCCACCCATCCGTCATTAGGCACCACTCGGAAAAAGCAAATCATGGCCCGCGGAGCTGGGCCAAGCTCGTAAATTATTTTACGTGACGTTAAAAATTTTCAAAAATTTGCACCAATTTTTAAATCGGTGGTGGGGAAAACGAAGTGTGTTATGGTGAGAAATTGGGACGGAGTGGACAAGGAACATACGTGGGTCGCATTTATATGTATGGCCAAGTGGGTAAGGGTTTTCGGGCACGCGACCATTGACATAGGCACAAGCATGGACGCGAAAAATGATGAGAAATATTAGTCTAGACGAGCAGATTTCAAAACAGATATATACAATATATTTATGCTTAAAAATGGTTTCTATAAAAATTCAGACACATAAGGCACCCGATGAGCACTAAATATTTATGATATTTTTCATTCCTATGGGATTTTGCAAATGTTTCCAGATGGCGCGTCCAAAAATATACTACGCGGCTTAACAGTTATCCTCAATTATTTAATAAAGTTTTTAAATTACATAAACAAGATATTTCATTGAACATTTTTTATTACTTAATGGTAAGATCGTCAAAAAAGGGTATGTGTGCACATAGAGTATAGCGCAACAAAAGTATTTTTAAAAATGGTAATTTCGTTTAAAATACCAATCGATAGGGCATCAAGACTATGTTAGTTGACCTCCAGTTCAGAAAACGTAGTCTAAAACTTTGATTATGCTATAGCCTGGGGCGAAAAAGATAGGTACGACGACCGATTTTATGTATTTTTGCTGATCTCGATATTTTGAAGATGTCATTCGGTGATCCCAACGTATTAAAAGTTTTTTAAAGCCAAAAAAGCAAAAACATGCTTAAGCTATGTTTATTATCAAAACTTTTAAGTGGCCGATTATTTTACCCAATAGCATTGTTGTAAAAAAGAAAAATGCAATATGTTTAGGGTATATTTTGCATCGACTAATCGAAAAGCCCGTTCTCTGAGTCGAGGCCATCCATTCCGACCCACCAAATCAGATAGCAGCGGCCCGTGGGCCAAAGAAAAATTCGCCAGAATGACGCTGCGATGCCCAGAGTTCAATTTCCCCATCGAAACAATTACCAACCATGGCCCGACATGTCCCAAAAACCCATCGGACCTCCGCCAAACCCCAAAATTCTTTAGGTAAGCCCGGCCTACGAGATTCGCCGCACACGCAAAGTTCGTGGGCCCCAGAATTCCAGATGCGCACTACGTCGAGCCGGTGAAATATTTTCGCTTCCGGGCGCCGTGCCATAAAATATATATCCCGGGCAGGTTTAGGGGCCCTGAGGTGTAAAAAAGCTTGAAAGAGACTATTTTCGGGCCTATGGAATTCTATAAAAGGCGCGAAAACAGGAGGCTTTCCAAGGAATCTCTGTTTCATAATTTCTTTGGAGCCGTTTTTGACGTATTTTTGGCCAGCTCGGAAGGGGGGCTCATCGACGCTTCAATAAACATGCAGGAAGTAGGTGCCGGTCTGAGAGTAATTTACAGTCTATTTTTAAGCTTGGTCGAAGCTTCTATGCTTTGAAACACCATATTAGTCCTTAAATTTCATGCTAAAATAGAAATTCCAGTTGAATAGCGCTAGTGTCCACTTCACATCCGGGTAGATCGCGCTAGCAACTGCACTTCCGGTGACATATTCGGTATCGGCTTCAAAATGAAACAACATATAAGAAGAAGAGAAGGCAAACAAGTCTTGGTAGATTTTAAATTTCGGACACCTTCATCGGGCGATTCACACCGAAAATTAATAGTCTGATCTTACATTTTCAGATGAGAATCGCCAGAAACCCGTCTATCCATCTCGATTAGCTTGATGGCGTATATATCGGAGCCCGTCCTTGAAAATGCGTTGATAAAAAAAATACACACGAAATCTAATTCTAATCTACCCAGGTGTTTTGGAATTTTGTCTTTGTGTTCATATCGTCAGTTTCTTTGATGCGAGTTATACCTTTAAAACTAAAAATTCTTTCTGTATGTGTTTTTAAATGTGATGATGATATCTTCAAGATATTCTTCGGGTAAAATTTTGGCTAAGGGTTTTGATATGAATCTACTTCTCCAGATTGAGAAGATGTTCATCTGGATGTAGAGACAGTCACCAAGGCGACAGGCCTTATCCCTGACGTCCTTTCCTCTCGGTAGTGCCAGGGCAACCCAACTACCGGCTCACCTCAATCTCGACGCCTTCATTTTTTATTGCTTATCAGCGGCGTAAAGCTTCGACCAACTTAATCGGTCCTAATCCCTCATTTGCCCATCATCCATAGCCGCCTTTAGAATATCTTGAATATCAGCCCCTCGTCTATTAATGGGCCCATTTTTACACCTGGCCCTAAGGCTTTGGCCTACCCAGATGCGCCCCCTTGGTAATTTCCGGAAACACCCGCAAATACCGTATCTCGGAGGATTAGTGCTGAGTGTAACCCATGGTTTCATAATCCGGCTCGCGCAACTGCTGGGTATCCCGGGTTGTGAACACTTGAATTCATGGAAGAAGCCTTAGTTTTAGTTCCAGTCACTTGGGTGTGCAGATGTTTTTTTATAGAATAAATTTTTTGTAACCCTAATAACCTTCGTGTCCACTCCTGCTAATTTACTTCCATCAAAATTGAAACGTTCTAAAACTAGCGCAATTTCCATATTCCGCAAAAATTTCTTCACACATTCGAACCGAACCCTCTTCTCTTCTCCCCCCCTTCCACACATCCACAGTATCCACCACACAACTGAAAAACGGAAGAGGGTGATATTGGCCGGCCCAGGGGCTGCGGACCCACCACGAGGCCAGAGAAGCAGAGGAAGAGGCGCCATTTCGAATGACATTGTGTGTGGGCGAGTGGAGGACAAGCAGAGAGCAGGGTTAGAAGGGGAGAGACCAGACATCTTAGAGGCATTGATTGGCCCAGGTCTGCGCGTGGAGGCCCAGGATGGTGAGTCGGTTGTATCGAGAGAAGGAGTATTGGAGAGGGGGAAGAGAGTTGTAGAATGAAAGATCGGGGCGAGGAGAGAAGCTGAAAAGAGAGAGATCACTTGGATGGAAGAGAGGTTAGAGGGAGAGGAGAGACAGACCGGTCCCGTTGTCTCGTTTCTTTTCTGTCTCCTCCCTATATTCTTCTATACATTCCCCTTCTCCCCCTTTCCACCATTCCTTCCCTTCCTTTCCCAAATCGCAAGGACCCAATTTGTAGTCGTCCACTCTGCTGTTATAACCGTTACTTGATCCACTTACAGACTGTCTTTCAATGGGAATTTGCTTTGGGTAATAATGTCTTTTCACGTGAGATTTTTGGCTCTCTTTAGAGGAAAGGAAATTCGATTTCCTATGATTACTTTGCAAATGATATTTCTTTTATTTTTATTTTTTCCAAAGGCGTCTTTTCTAGTATGAAATTTAGCCTTAGCCTAACATTTTGAGGCAACGAGATCTCCGCGCTTCACATAAGCGACATCGAAGCAGTTGGTTTGCGACGAGTTCTGAGAACTAACTAGATATAGTCATTTACTTCCAATCGAGATTTCTTTGCACGATCCCTTTAAAAACTGGCTACTGTATGTTCAAGACAAAAACTCTCGGGTTTCAGGCCATCAGATGGCCTTGAAATTTTTAAGTGACACGCAGCGTGAGCAGCAAGATCTCGCGCTCAGATATCGTGGGCGGGTTGAAATCCGAGTTATTGTGCGCTGTAATTGAGTTACAATTTTTTATTAATGTTTTTTTCTCAACCGCTTTAACGAGCTTTAACGGGTCTAGAAATCTAGAGGGGAGGTTAAAGTTAACATTTTTTGTTTTTGCTCTTGAGCCGTATATCTTATTGCGTTCCCATTGAACCGAATAGGTCTTGTGAAATGCCAACTTGTGGAAAGTTATCCCCCATCTATCTCTTTTATACTTTTATCTTTCGTAGGCTGGCTGGAATGCTTTTCCTTCCAGCCGGGAAAGAGGGGTGTGGGGGTAGTGAGCCGTCGCTGAAATGCGGGCTCTCTGCGAGAGAGCAAGGGCTAACAAGATAGGAGGAGAAAAAAAGTGGGATGCTGAGGTGAGATATTCTCCGCAGAGGGAATAGAGCAAGAAAGAAATGGGATATCGCGCTTCCGGTAAAATCTTAATGGCTATACTTTGTTATTACCCTATCAGTGAAGTGCTTGGGGATATCTTCGTTAGGTCAGGATGAGGTTTAAAAATTTTTTAGTAATGACTCTCTGGTCTTTTTCTATGCCGAACAACATTTTCTAAACTTCATAACACCTTCACGTCTAATCTGAAACCATGCTTCTTCCTTTCCTCTCCTTCTTCACCACGGCCCATCCAGTCGAATGGAGATGCAAAAAAACATCGATCTTGCTCCACCATCTCTTCACCTACCCACATTCGCCCCCCTTCTCCTCTGTCCTTCTTTCCAATACTCCACCCCAACATACAGTGCTTCTCAATTTCATATCGATCTTCGATCGACTTTCCCCTTTTCTCCTTTTTTCGACCACCTTTTCTCACAAACTCTCACGGGATCACCTGGCCTGCCTCGATTAGATTCTGATCGCCCATTTTTGCAGCGACTACTTGTGTTGGGAAAATTCTCCCAAGAACGCTTCCAAAATGAATTTTTTTTTTGGGAATACGGTAGCAAGTTTAAAAGTGATGATTTTGCAGCCACCACCTAATCCTTGACGGCGTTTGTATTCATAGGCTAGATTTTTTTGTGCTAAATTTAATGTTTGCAAAAATCAGGCGCAAGTTTGATTCTCCACTTAACTTATCCATCCAACATCCACAAAAATCCTTGACAAGCTGATATGAGACCGGTTTTCTTGTATCATTGCCAACCCATTGATACCGTTAACCTTCACATCTCGCCTCTTCCGGAAACGCCTTACTTTCCAATGAAAAATTTGTTAACCAAAAGTAACCAATCGCTTTCAGATGCCCGATTAGAAATGGGAGGAAAGCGGGCGCAGAATAAGCCCCCGACCAGCCAGAAGCGGCCGAAGGCGCCCCCAAAGGTTTCTGACGACAAGAGAAAGCTTGAGCTTCTCAAGGAAGCATGGATGAAAAAGCAAGCAGCCGTGAAGAGAAAGTTCTCCGTTATCACAGAGGTGGTTGCAATTTGAAAATACAAGTACGGATGTTCACCTGATTTACCTATCTATTTTAAACAAAACCTTTTAAGGAACTCGAAACTGCTCAAGCTTTGCTGAGGAAAGCGAAAAAGATCAGTCGTTGGATCAAAAAGGCGAAGAAGGTTCTGATCTACACGGGTGCTGGGATAAGCACGGTTGGTTATTTTACAAAAATCTGCATTTCATTAATTCGCGAATTGCAATAAGGAATTTACATTGAAGGCCGCCGGAATTCCGGATTATCGTGGACCAAATGGCATCTGGACACGCGCGTTAATAAGTAAGAATCGTCCTAAATATCATAAGCTTTATCCTATCCAGTATACGAGCGCCTATTTGGGAAGGAAGTGGCACGGGCCATGGCGAATGTGGAGAGACTGAAGAAAGAATTGGCTGATTGCCCGAATATGTTGGAATGCAAGCCAACGGCGTCTCATATGATCATCCGTGAGATGTATAAACGGGACTTTGCCCATCACGTCTTGTCGCAGGTTCGTTTTTCTGTCTCCCTTGCTTTTTCTTGCTCTCACTCACTAGTTTTCTCTCTCTCTCTCTCTCTCTCTCTCTCTCTCTCTCTCTCTTTGAATAGCCAAACATTTATTTAAATTTAGAATTGCGACGGCCTCCATGTTAGATCCGGGCTGCCGCAAATTGCGCTCTCCGAAATTCATGGGAATATGTTTGTCGAAGTTTGCCAAGACTGCAGTTGCCAACATATCCGCACTTATGACTGCACCACCCGCAGCGCCCATTTGTAAGTTATTTCTATATCTGGACTTTTTTAAATTGATCCTTACTGGCTCTTTTATAGTTTTACTCGCGTATTGGCGCTTTTCAGGTTTAATACTTTTAACTATCAATTATTATTTTAGCTCCCATAATACCGGAAGGCTGTGCGATTATTGTGAAGGTCGCCTAGAAGATACCATCGTTCATTACGGAGAAAAAAGCCGCACCGAATGGCCGCAGAATTGGAATGGTACTTACCAGGAAGTGTAGCCCAAAACTTATATTTTAGGCATCCGAGAAAACCTAAAAGATGTCGACGTCATTCTCTGCGTTGGGACTTCATTGGCCGTACTCAGATCATACGAAGAATTGTGGCCGAAGCGAGCTAAGGTATTTTTAAATTGCCTAGATATTTGCAAATTAGAAACGACTTCGATATGTAATATATTATTTCCAGCTCGTCATTGTCAATCTTCAATGGACCCTGAAGGACAACGCGGCGGATATGAAGGTGGCGGCCGCATGCGATGATTTCTTCGAGGCTCTTGCACATGAACTAGGTTTCAAGGCGCCGAAATATTGCCGGTAATTTTTTAATGGAATTTGTGTAGGCCGAAAGGTCCTCAAAATTACTCCGATCAATAAACCATTTCAGAGGATGTGATCCACTTCTATTTCGGAAAGAGGTGGAGGGCGGCTTCAACCCCAATTTGCGAAATGATCTGCTATGGGAATTGTCCGAGTGTACGTGTGGCGGGGCCAACAGCGAGTAGGTTTTGAAGACATGAAGTGAAACATATATTTAAGCCTATTTTTGCTCACACATGATTTTCTATTCAGCGTCCCGCTTCCGGAGTTGCCGCCCGACGCTCCCGACCGAAGTGAGGCCCCCGGATGGTGGGTCTACGGTCAAAACCAAATCCTCTGTGGCGTTGGAGTGAAATTTGGTGACCTAACGGACCTACTGTTCGGGGCAAATGAACGACAAAGACCCAGATCTATACGGACAGCGCGTGAGTTTCATATAATGTCGACATTCAGTCACAATCATACTTTTTTTATAAAACCACATCCAACTATTTCAGCGACGCCAGAACGAGGAAAGCCAGGCCCTTGTGGGAAGCGATCCGTGAAGCGTGCTCAAGAAGATGAAACTAAAGCGCCTCCACACCCACTACCACTACCACCATTGGCACCAAGCCGCAAACCCGTCAGAGAAGCCGGCCCAAGCGAATACTATGAAGCCCCCACGGATTCTGACGATGAAACACCGGAACAGAGAAAACACCGACTCTCTGAGAAAAAGCGAATCCAAGCAGACCTGGGCAAACGATGCGCCATCCTCCAAGCCGAAGAATTGTTTGATGACAGCAGCGAAGGAGGCGATAATAGCGACGACAGTGACTTTGAAATATCAAAGGTTTTTTATTTTTTTCTGGCTCTAGTTCAACCGCATTCTAGGAGCTACTCGCCGCCACAATGCCTTCAACGTCTAGTTGTCGAGTGCAACGGGTCATTCCACCAAAGGGAGCCAAACGAGAACCAATGGTAAATCGAAAGATACCATTAATTTATCAACTAAATTTAGTACCCAGCCGCTCCACGAAAAATCAAGAAAGAAGCCCAAAAGCCAAAGATCAAAAAAGACGAGGACGATGAAGAAGATGAATCGGCTGACGATGATGATGAGTACGAAATTCCAACGAAAAGAGCCAAAAAGAAGCCTGCGCCTAAAAAGAAAGGACGTGCCCCAGTGAAAAAGAAAGCTCCAAAACGTCGAGCCGATAAGAAAGTTAAAGAAGAGGAACCGGATGATGAAGATGAGGAGGAGATGGACGATGAAGATGAAGAAGCAAATGGGAGCTTGGTTGAAGTCAAAATCGAGCCAAAAACGGAAGTGCTAGAAGAAACAACGTCAGGTGTCGTGCAACAAGGCAAGAAGAAGACAGTCCGAATCAAGCAGGAACCGTCCACATCAGCGTCTACTTCCCAGGCAGATGCTCGAGGTATGTTGATAGGCGGCCCACAAAAATTTATCGTAAATAAAAACCGAAAAATATTTTCAGGTGCCTCGTCTCCAACGCCATCAACCTCACCGAACTCACAACCGGATGGAGCAGCAGTAGCGCCTGTGGCAGCTGCTGTCGAACCAAGCCCTGTGCGTCCCGTGGTCGTCATGCAAAATAGAGTGGCACCCAGAGCTACTGCGTCGGAAAGGCCTGGGACTTCCAGACAGTACCAATCTGTACAAGTACAGCCTCGAGTGCGCATGGCAGCAACTGTGAATAACGGATCCGACGGCCCTGAGCAGAAACCGCCTAATCCATTCCCGAGGAGACACCACAGACATGATAAGATGAGCAGCAATCAATGGTGTGACTGGAATCACAATCGTCGGCTACATCTCACCCTCAATTATCGCAGCTTCAAATACATCCATCCGATGATACCAAGCCATCGCCCACCAATCAAAATTCGGCGCACCAACACTCTCACTACTGCCCAATTAATGAAAAAGCTGATGCAGAAGGATAGAGAAGCAAAGCAACGGAAACAACAACAACAACAACAACAACAACAACAGCGGCAGCGGCAGCAGCAGCAACAACAACCACAGCCATCGACAAGCTATAGTAGCCAGCCTGGCCCAAGCTATCATGTCTACCCGACAAATCGTCCTGGACCAAGCTCAAGAAAACATGATGTTTATGCTTTCACAAGTGATGATGAAGCTGAAAGCGAGTCGCGGATTGGACCGAGATCAAACGCACAAAAGTCCCTACCACTGCGACCCCCTCGTTTCCCTGGAGCAGTTATCCCTACTTTTAAAGTGGAACAAGGTGAAGAGGAGGATAGTAGGCACTTGCAAGTGGGTGGTCAGAAAATCAAGGTATCATCAAAGATGCCTCTTGGTGAAGTTCTGAAGTTGATGTCAAGCAACAAATCTCGACCCGTCACCAAAGCCGAGCGAAAAGTGCACCCAAGCCCGACGAATTTTCCTGAAATTAAATTCGCTGTGCCCGCTTTGCCGAAGCCGAATGCTCGTAGACAGAGGCCATCAGGGCCAGTGGCAGTCCCAGCATCGATCATCGATCGTCCAACGGCCACGACGCCTATGCCACCTCCGCCCTCTGTTGCTGACTCGCCTCCAAAGGAGACAATCATTCCAAAGGAACCTGTCGCTACCGACATCGAGCCTACATCCCCTCAACCCAGCACGTCACAACCAACAATGGACATTCCAATTCCGTCAGCTATTTCCTCAATTGCCGAAGTCCGACCAAATGCCCCGGTAGTGCAGGCAGCCCCGGAAATGCCACAACAGCGGATCAATCTTGACGATGCGACCGCTATGCCTGTTGCTCAAATCAAAGGGAAGAGAGCAGCGTCAAGTGAAGAAATGCCACCGCCCCTTCATACACCGCCGAAAAGAATTTCTCCTGGAATCGAGGCTCCTTGTCTGGCCTCCCCAACGCCAGTGCTGGTCCGGCCTTCAGAGACTTTGCCAACCCAACCGGCTCCGGCCGTATTGACACAAAATCGGTCTCAATCATCGGCTCCAGCGCAATCGTCGCCAAGCCCCGGAAGTGGCCAATCAGCGGTTGCCCCACCGTCCCAACCTGCGATTACACAACCTCAGCAAGTCCAACTCGGACAATTCACTTCGGCCCAGGTAGCAGCTTTGTTGCAACTAAGTGCTATGCAACAACAGCAACCGAACGCTCAAATCCTCCAACTATATAGTGAGCTACAAAGGGATATGCTGTCGTCACCAAGCACATATCAACAAGCCGCCGCAATGCAGTTGGATACGCTACAGAGGAATCTGTTGCCATCATCATCAACAACTAGCTTAAACATCCAAATTGCCCCGCAACAGCAACAGTCTCCGGTGTCGATCCCCGCTACCATGCCACCAAGAACGATAGTCCAGGGAACATATCACTTGGCCAGTCCAACGCAACCTACCTCACTACCAATGTCGAGAAATTCAACAACCACACTGTCGCTAACTATGCCCTCACAAATGCCGACAATCGCCTTGCAATATCATAGTCCAAGTGTGCAACAGCAATCACAGCCAGCAACAAACAGCTCTGCGCCGATGGATGAGCTGATGGCGGCGCTAACTCAAATATCGCGCTCGACGCAGGCTCCTCTGAACTTGTCGCCGCAGGTTCCTGCAACAAGCCCGGCTCCAATCAGGCTGCCGATGTCGCAGCCAGCGCACACCGCTCATCAACCGGCGGCTTCAAGCTATGCATATCCTGGGCCGCCGCAGGTACCACCACCGATCAATGATTTCCTTCGGGTGGCGAGTAGTAACCAGAATCCGTTCCGAGCCGCGCCGAACGCTCGTTTGGCCGGTCCATCTGCTTTGGACCCGAGATTCTGGAATGGTCCCAATCAACCACCGCCTCAGGACCCTCGCAATGGTGATCGCCGTCAATAGAAGCAGGTTAGTATGAGAAATTAAAAAGTATTGAGTAGCTACGCTACCCCAAGTTTGGTTTTTTGCCTTAGTTGAGTTGCAAATCTAGAGAATATAGAAATCTAATGAAAAAAAATAGGAAATATAGAAAATCTTCTAAAGTTTATACGCTCTACAATCTTCAAATTTCAGATACCGCGTCAAATGACCTAAAACGAACTACAACGTCCATCAAGCTCCATTTCATCCGCATTATTGTTTATTTATTATTATCATGCGTCCCAATCATTGTCGCCAGTTCCCAATGCCATTCATTGGCCAGTGTCAAGTTTGACTGACCAAGACCCGAAAATAGACTTGCCACCTATTCCTTTCTTTTCGATTTCTCGGAGAATTTTTAAACTTTTGTACTTCAAAAACCTTAGCGTCCAACGATTATTTTGCTCCAGTAGCCTTTTGTGTGCTTTTGCTGCTTGTACATAATTCTCGCTTTATAAAAATCCTAAACTCACAAAAAAACCAGCTTGCCCTTTTATAGATCAATATTTTTCACCGTTGTACTACTTATTTTGTGTCAGTTCTCCACGTGCATCGTTTCTGGATTCCAGAATTCATCGCCCCCCCCCCCTTTTTGATTTTGCGGATCTCCGTTGTGTAGTGTTGGCCAGCATTTTCAAAGATTTTTTATATGAGGCATCCGTGGAATGTTTTAATGTATAATTTAAGTGACTTGGTTTTAATAAAATTCCCTAAGGAAGGTGATTAGTATTGGCGCAAGTATTTGTACACTTCATCGTAGACAATCAGCATTATAGCACCGCCTATAAAAAAATATATATATCTAGAGATTACATAAAAAATGCATACCAGGTCCGAGTCGCATAATTTTTGGGAGGAGACCTTTATATAAAGCAAAGAAACTGAAAAAGGGGTAATTTGCACAGAGCTAAAACACGTTACCCCTCTTCTTTATAAACAAGACCCATCGATTGTAGACAACCGTGGTATTTCCGGTTAAGTGGGTCGGGTTGTGGGCCCTATATAAGTTATATTCAACTTATAGGTGGGGAAAACTACCTGAATCCGACTCTTGGCAACATCAAATGGAATATTCACTACAGAAGCCAAGGAACCTGCCAAAAATCCGAGTAATATGCGGTAGACAAGGTTCATTGATGGGCTTTCCTGAAAATATCTTTTCTCCGAGTTCGATTTCAAAGGTACCTTCGCATCTGGGAAGAATTCCTTAACGTTGTGGTATAACCCAAAGTATACCATATTCCAGGTACCATTTCGTGCAACGGTCGATGTTAATCCTGATTTAAATATCATAATTTAACTTAAGTAGGAACAAAAACCTCTGAAAATTCCCGTCGTTCCAAAACCTTCTGTTCTAATGATTTCACGAGCCATTTGCCCGGAAGTTGGGACCTAAATAAAGAACGATAAATTTTTGATTTAGGTATATAAAAGAACTTTCTTTAAATATATAATTTTATTAATTACAGACCTCTTTAGGGTTCGTATTTCGCATGGCCTGTAGTCGCACCTTGACCGTCTCAAATGGGCAAACCACTACAGCTTCAGTCATCCCAGAACATAGCCCGGCTAAGGAAAGCCCCTAAATAAACATAAAACCAAAAGCTAATGAATATTTACAAAAACGGGCGAAATCCCAGGACCGCTGAAAATGTTCTTATACTGTTCGAATGTGAAGAATTTGGTGGCTCGCTTCGGAGTTTCGGCAAGGATTGGAGGAAGGATTCCCTGGAAAGCGTATCTTATTTCATAAGTTATAAGAAATGATTTGGGTTAATTTAAAGGTTGCTGATTTTCATCATTGTTTAAGGATTTCAGGAAGTTTTATTTTTTTGCTAAAATTTGAAGTTTTGGATATTTCGCTGTTTCAAAGTATTGCCAACATAAGGAATAGAATTTTCTAAAGTTTATTTTTTTTGTATGGCGCAACTTTGTACGCTTGTAAAGACACGGAGTTTAGGAAAAAATTCGAGCTCAAAGCTTTTGTTAAGATCAAAAATTTGCGTCCTGCAGGTTTGCTTGAATGTCGTATCCACATTAAATTATTTTTATGAGATTTTTATAGAGGTTTTATGTTTGTAACGTGATTTTTCTGTATTTTTGGTACGCCGTCGGAAGTGGGGCGTGGAGGGTCGGGAGGTTTTCGGAAACTCTTTCAGGGACCACCATGAGCGTCAATGTTGGTGGCCCCCGGCCCACCCAGCCAGGAGCTCCCGGAAAATAAGAAAATGAGTCTTATACCACTTATGTTGCTAGTTATATACCTACGAATATAAAACATATGTCATTCTATAATCGCAAATGGAACGGTAAAAATGATAAAAATAGAAAAAATGGCCCGATAGCTAGAATTAGCGACAATTTTATCCGATCAAAACACGTCTAGCTTCTTAAAATTGGAAAACAAAGAGCCTAAGAATGTTCAAAGGGATTCAAGTGAAATTAGAATTGGTATCTACAAAAAAGCTGTATAATGTCACAATCCACAACTTGATATTTGAATTGTTATTTTAGAATTGTTTGAATTGTTTAATTTTGCATAAACATGGATTTTCAACGATGACAATAGTTTAAAAGAGCAGATGACCTCAATTCAATCCGATTTTCCGCAATAAATAAGATCTGACCTTATAAAATCCTCGAATCCCCTCATTTCTGAAAGTCTTTCCGACCAAATCCATCATTCCCTTATCTTCGGACCCGATTTGGAGCCTGGTCTTGATGAGATCGAGTGGATGCATTATACATACTTCCACAAGGCCTGTAATTTCAAAATAGTTCCAAAAACATGTTAAAATGTCACCTGCCGACCCGCCGGCCGCAATTTGGCGGCCTCCTTCTTTTAATCTTTCCATGGCTGAAAATAATAAAAATCTAGGGAATAGAAATAGTCGACAGGGGGTAGGGGGAGGAGAATGCGATTATAATCTCTGGATTTAAACCGGCCTCCAAAAAAATCGATAGTGCTCGGGAGGTAAAAGAGCCTTTTTCTCTCGGTTCTGCCCCGCACAAACACATGAAACGGAGTCTGGGAGTCACAGGTGGCTGCAAACAAAAACAAAATGCTTTATCGAGACGGTTCGCAACCGGATACAAACGGTGGAATGTGATTGGGAGTGGAGGGAGAATGTTTCTAAAAAAATTGAGATCATATTGGTTGGGAAAGAAAGTGAGAGATTGATAGATATATATTTAAGGGACCAGAGAGAGAGAGAGAGAGAGAGAGAGAGAGAGAGAGAGAGAGAGAGCGAGAAAACTCCGATTACGTCGATAACGATTTGTATCGTTTTTCGATGTCTCATTTTCTCATCTTCACTTTTATGGTACCCGCATTCACACTTCCAGTTGAGCATTTTGTAAGTGCCAAATCCTACTTCACGAGTGTCAAATTTGGTAATTTCCATAATGATCAAAGCATTTATTCTTTTACTTAGCGTTGGTAGGATTTTTGTGCATTGACAACGTTGATGTCACGCTTTTCAACTTTTTTCCACCGATGCAACCACCGGCCTGGCCCGTTGTATAGCTCATTAACATCCGCTTCATTAAGAATACCCTCTTTTGTTGCCATTTTTATTCCAAGCCCCGGCCCATCGGCACGATTCGTAGCGAGCAGCTGTAAATTCCAAGCTTTTTCACGTTTCCGCCGTATGTTTCACCACCAGAACACCAATCCAATTATCCACAGCCGGCGTCAGGGTTGGCTGAAAACAATGCGACCGGGCAGAGCTGGTTTGAAGGGCTTGTCGGGTGTCATGGTAACAGATTAGGCTAGGTAACGACGTGGGTGGGTGAAGCCTTACGAATAAAGAAATAAAATCAAATATACTCTCAGGGGGTGTGCCTAGACATTACGGTTATATAGAATATCACGCCTAGTCTATAATTTATATTATCGAATATGAGTTATCCCGGTTATCCTCCATATTATGGTAAGTTGTTTGAATTGATATTTTGAAAGCCGGATGGGTTTAGCTACAACAATAGAGTGTTTAATTAGGTTTTTTGAGTTTTTTAATCAAAAACTACACATTTGCCGTTTTCGAGGTGTACAGGGTGTCCCAAAAAAAACGAACCATCTGGCATTCTGCCGTGCTACATCCAATCCGCCCCAAATTTGGACCAGAGGTGTATCGGACCCTAAATAACAACAATCCTGACTTATAGCCCCGTAGCTACAGAAGATCTCGAGTTATAACAAAAATAAACTTTATTTTCCATTTTTCTTAGGGTTTCCGTGGAATTAGACCCCCAAAACATTAAGTGAAAATGGTCCGGTAGGCGTTCTTTACCTTCAGAAATTTTTCCGGATTAGAATTAATCAAATAAGCTTCGATTTAAGCGTTTTTTACAACGCAAAACTACCCCAGTTCTTAAGCGAAATTAGGGATTCGCAGCCGGAAGTCGATGCAAATCGATGCAAAGTCCAAAAAGATAGCCGAAAAAACTGTTTGGAATTCCGGTAAAAGTAGTATTTTCGTTATAACTCGAGAACGACTGTAGCTACGGGGCTGTAAGTCAGGATTGTTGTTATTTAGGGTCTGATACACCTCTGGTCCAAATTTGGGACCGATTGGATGTAACACGGCGAAATGCCAGATGGTTCGTTTTTTTTTTTGGACACCCTGTATATTTTTCCTAAGTTTCTCGATATATAGCTTTGCCCGGAAATACCCACCTATGCACATAAAGTGACCGCTTATTTGGGGGAGTATATGGGCCAACACTTCCAGTTCCCTTCCTCCACCCCTATTTTCACGGCTCCTGGAAACGAGGGCTAAGGGCCCAGTTCTTTTCGGCCTCCCCCTTTAGTATACGACTATAGTGACCAATGGTCAGCTTTGGCCAGCCCTTTTTCTAGGTGTCTAGGAATCTTCAGAATTTTCCATTTTAGCTCCTTTTACGTCTCGTCGTTCTGCATTTATTCCGTTTTTACTATATAATCCTTTACTTTTTGTGAGTATCATCTAAAAATCGAATCAATAAAAATTTACGATCTATCCTATTTAATTCTACTAATCTTGTCGTTTTTAGCAACACCATTCCCGGGCCCATACCTTCAAAACCCGAACACTCTACCATTTACTATGGCCGATCCAATTGGGTCTATCGTCGGCTTGAGAGTCGTTCAACTGGATCATGGATTGGGGTGCTCGAGAGTTTTCATACTTTAAATGCTAATTTAGTTATATCCCCGTTGAGCCGCACATCAACTATTTAATAAATCAGCAATTTGGGAGGGTATTATTAAACTTTATACAACTAATGCGAATGTTCAGGCCGCTGCAATATACCCTGTTAATAACATTCAATCGTTGGGTCGTCCGGCTGATCGACAGGATAATGGACACCAGGTAATTTTATTGCTCTTATATTAATCCATACAAAGTTTTAATTGAATCTCCGAATAATTTATATACAATTTTAGAATACAACAACAACATCAACACCTCTTTCTATGCCCCCGATCGACCCTGGCCCACATCGAGACCCACCCAGGGCCCAATCATTAGATCCACCCAGACGGCAGCAAATTAAGAACAATAATGAGGTAAGATATACCTAGAAGTAGCAAAACTATACGAATTTTGATACTCTTTAAAAAGCACATAAAAAGAGAAAAGCTCAAGTAACCCTAGCTACACCCACCCTCACGAAATTCTTATATTCAAGAAAGTAACTAGGAAGAATTCCGTCTCCACCCTTAGCAACCGAGCCAACACCAACACAGCAAGTCTAGCATAACAGCCTAGCCTACGGGAAGCCTTATTTCCTGTTTTTCCGCTCTCCTTGGACTATATTACAAATATTTGTTCGGTTTTTTATTAAGACAACAGCTTCGAGTATATAAGTGGCGCTTGTGATGTCTAGGAATCCCCCACCAAAAATGATCATTTTCAAGATGGAGGACGATTGGTTCAAGCCGACTCCGCAACCGAAATCGGGAGTTCGACGATCGGCGCATTGGAGGAATGATCCGGTTTGTGTTAAAGACTAACTTTAAAGTGTTTTTACTCAGGCTAGCGTTTTAGAATGGGACCAAGCCTATCTTGTGCAGAATTTTTCGCTGATTCAGAATCTGGTTTCCAAATTTGCTGCCGACCTTTATTTAAACAGTTATTCGACATTTAGGCTAAAAAATTGACTAAATCTGGATTTTTTTGCGTTATTTTGTAAGTTGTTCGAAACCTCCGACATTAAAACTGGCTCGGTAATGGTTTTAGAGGTCAAAGCACGATTTTATGCAAAAAATCATGTGTTTTTGTGCAAAAAGCAAAAGAAATTGTGCAGGGCGGGGATCGAACCGCCGCCCTGTGCCTGGCAAGCGAACAGCTTACCAATGCACCATGGTGCCAACCGGGAAGGGGGCTTCGGGAGGGTAGATAAGGGGCACAACAATACCAGGACCCAGACATGGAATAGTGGGCCAGCATCCGAATTTATGCCGTTTTTAAGCTTAATTTAGACCAAAAATGACTTTTCAACGCGAAGTCCGCAGCAAATTTGGAAAACGGATTCGGAATAAGCAAAAAATTCTGAACAAGATAGGCTTGGTCCCATCCTAAAACGCCAGCCTGAGTAAAAACACTTTACAGTAAGTGTTATTAATTGGATTTAATTTATCTCTCTGATATTTAAGGAAGATTACGATCCATGGGGTCGTGGGGGAGCCGGAGCCCCCGCTTCGCGACGCTTCCGGAAAAGTCATAGCCGTTAGAGGACGGCTGAGGGTCCGTAGCCCATTTGAACTTGAATTTGCATATTATTTCTTGCCCTTGCAACGCCGCACCCCAACCCCATTATAATTTAATGCAATTGGCTTGGCACAATCCCTGCATGATAATTAGTTACCGGGTTTTTAGCCGGTTTTTGTATTAAAAGCTTTCAGGCGGCATCTCTTGCAAATGTAAACATATCGGATCCTCATCAAGTCCAACCGCAACGACATGCGATGGTAAAGCTTATTTTTTATCAGATAAATAGATATTTTTCCAGGATCAGCCCCTCAGCTCGCAAGACGTACACAAAATGGAGTTGATGAAGCAGATCGAAGACAATAAGAGGAGACGCGAAATGGAACGACAGAAAGAACTTGATATTGAAAGAAAGGAGATGAGAAGGTTGGGTTCACTTCAGTCAAGCGATTCCTAAGTCTTTAGACTCGAAGAATATAATGCCAAAATCCGTCGCGAAGAGGAAGAAGAACGAAAACGTGAAAAGGATCGAGCTCTCGCCATGGAAAGAAGGGCAGCCGCTATAGCGGTATGCGACGAACCAAACTTTGGTAACATAATTTTAGCAAGAACAACAAAACCGTACTCGCCAAGTCCAGCAGAGGCCCAGCCCACCTCAACGTTTGTCAAAATCCCAAACCTAAAATTAGGTTTAGAACAAAACCCTCCTCGTGGGCGCAGGGCTTCTCTTGTAGCTCCTAGAGATGAGGAAAGAGAAGACGAACAACCACAAAGAGCTGAATGGTAATTGGGCGATAATTTTCTTATTATGATGACTATTTTAGGTGGGAACGAAAGCCAAACTACGAAGACTCAAGGAAGTCGGCCGCGATTCCGACGATGAGAAATGGGGTGAATATACGACCAGAAACACGGTAAGCTCAAAAAAATTTCGGGATCAATAGGAAATTCAGTGGACGTCATTCTTATAGTCCGGCCGAGTCCGTGCGGCAACATCAGAGCAGGGATCAGGGCCGTGAGCCAATTGAAGGTATTAGAATCTTCTGGTAAATCAAAATATTTTTAGGCTCACGAGCTCCTTCAGCAAGACCAAGACGTTCATCGATTCCGCCTAGGGCTCCGCATCCAGATGACGAACGGCCGATAAAGCCCGCAAAACAGAGTTGTAAGATTTAGCAAAAAAGATTACAGTCTTTAAGTTCCGCTTTAAGTCATTGTATATGTAACTAACGAGTTTAATTTGATTTAAAAATTTCTATTTGATTTTGAAAGGCCGTAAGCATGCATTTTTAGATGGTGATTAAGCATACGCCTGACTCCGAAAGATTTCCACTATAACTCGCCATCGATTCAAATGTCAGTTTTCTTCTAATAAACATCTCAAAACTTTTGATGTTGCATCGCATTTATTTTTGTTAACAAGGTGTTTATTGGTTCTACAAGATGTGGGATGTGGAGAAATGTACAGTAGTATGGTCTCCGTGGGGGCGGGAACTCGTCATCTATCACATGAAAGAATCGCGTGCGATGAAAGCATCTTGGGCATCGTGCCTATCTTTAGAGCACGAACTCGTGCTCGACCACCGATTTTCCGTGAGCGCCTGAAAAAAAGACGGAATAAGCGAAGCGCGTAGAAATTTAATATTAGTAAGATATGTAATCGTCTTAAAATTTACCAGCTTTGACGATCTCGCGGAACTGTAGGGGGTGATGCGACGGTAGATAGGTGCCTTGGCTCATTAGGTTAAAGAGGAAATCGGAGGCCCCCTTGTATGGTTTTTGGAACTGGTTTAGCATGTGCAGGACCTTGCGGCGGAGGATGGTGCGGTTGGTGGCCAGCTAAATTGCGTATTTTTTTACTTCACTAGGTATTTTTGCATTAAGAAAATGTCATTTTTAAGGTATTTTTTCAGCCATTGTCGACTCTGCAGGCTTAGCGAGAACCCCAGAATCGTTGATCTCGAGCTCCTTACACTTTCAGTGGAATCCGTGAGATAACTCGATGATAGACGCGATGACAAAATTAGGATAGTTGCTATACGCTTGAGATTATCTATTGGAGAAAATGACTACAAGATAGTAATCTTTATGAAAAGTGTAAAATGACATTAGATCCGCTGTAAATTGCTTAAATTCAAATTTTTCGCTGTCCTCATATATTATTATTATTTTTGTTATGTATTTAGGTTCCCCTTCAAAATGTGTTTTGCTTTATCGTAGCCTTAAAATTTTCAAATCCGATTTCCCATTCAGCCCCCATTTTTTTCTCGAGTATCCAGAATGTTATGGCCTTTTTCACACTCCCTAGAGATCGACTACGTCAACCGCCACTAATACCGCAGGGTTCTGATTACCTAGCTACGGTAGCCCTAACATACGTAACAGATCGTACTTTAGTGCCGCTTCGTTAAATTTACTACACCCAGTAGCACCAATTCGCTTTGATTAACCAGCTACCGTATCCCTAGGTACTAGGTCACGCTTCCCTGTTATTTTATTAAATTTTCTAAACCCAATTACCAGGTTGTGGAACATGCAGAAGGTCGGGTCCTCATCATCACCATCGGGGTATCGAGGTATCCATCGCAGAGTTGAAGATACTGGACACACGGGTACACGTTTGGTTGATGATGCTATTTTATTATTTTATCTTCAAATTTCATACTCAAAATTACCATCTGATGAAGACCACGGATGCATTCGGCTCCCGGGTCACAGGTATCGCAGGCTAATTCAGCAGTTGGTCATCATACAACGTGGCAACTTACTGACTGGGTTGTAGACCTTGATCATGTGGTGGCCGATCATCTGCGGCGTGTATGGTGCCTCATAGTCCGAGGCGTTCGGCTAAGGAATGTTTATAAGAAGTTGGTGAATATACCCTTACATTGGCGGTAACCACGAATGGGTTAGCCAAGCAAACCGGCACGAGGACTAATGCCACTTTAGCGAGGAAAAGCAGCATCCTGGAACACTTTAAATGTTCATAAGTGCAATTTGATTTCAATATATGAAATTGCCAAATTAAAAACAGATCGGAAAGTGATAAATTGATAAGTAATCATTGTCGTCCTAAAATATTTCAGGTACTCTTTGAGGCTAGCTCTACTAAAGTCATTAGATAAACATAAAAATTCACCAGGTATGCTTAGCTCTTGGCTACGGTATCTCGATATTGATCCCAAATTCGCGTTTTCGACACAAAAAATCTTTATGTATTTATCTGAACCTTTGAAATTCAGAAGGATAAAAAGAAAAGAAAGCTACTAACTATTTGTTAGCCTTAAGCTACGGTAGCTCGCGATTTATCCCAACGTCACCTGCATTTCAATACTACAAACTATTTCCGTCTGGAATGCCCATTACTCAACCCAGGGGCGCCATACTACTGTAGCCTCAGAGTTATACGGTAGCTCCCCTCAATAATGCACGAGTTTCCCACCTGGCCGTACCCTTATTATGACAGGATACTGTAGACGTAAAAAAAAACTTGAACCCTGGGATTAACCCTTTTTTGGTTGGAATAATTGTGGGGATATGATCGGTCCATATAGGGAAATATCAAGCTATATCCTGGGTAATATGAGGCAAACAGGATTTAGGTATGGATCAGGAAGTTTGAAAAAGTTCATAGGGACTATAGAAAAGCCCATGGTCCTTTCAGGCAGGAAAATACAGATTTTATTTATCATAGGGTCTAACGTAACCCAAAAAAGTGTTGTAGGACCACTGTAGAAATTAGAAATTTTGCTTATATATAGCAGAATTTTAGGCCTCCGCATAAAATAGGTGAATTACCAAATCAAAATAATTTTATATATTCTCTGAGGATGCCTAGGATTTGCTTCGAAACATGTTCCCATAAATTGGACCACCCGCACATGATGTCTGAGGGATTTCGGGTGCGATCGAGCGCAGAAGTGAACCCGATTTTGCGCCACCGTACTCGAATCTCTATTTTTGGGCTTCCTTCGGTCCGCCGTTCAAAGGTAGAAGAAAGCAACAATTTTTCCGATGGTTTTTCCTAACGAAATTAAAATTTAAAAGTATATACGGCCTCTAAAGCCAACATCCAAACAGTTCCTAACACTGATTTTATTCACCAGATAAAAATCGCTCCGCTATCATAGCTGCGCAACCTGAGGACAACCTCCTCAAAATTAATTGGGAAACAAAACTCCTATAGAGCACGTCCCAACTCTAGAAATTAGCTCAAAATTGGCTTCATTTAAGGGGATCCCTTTTTAGAACAGCCGGCTTTCCGGCGAAAACGCACCCACTAAAAACCTCCCCTTTCAAGCTTCCCACTTTCCCGGGGTTGTCCTTCAACAGTGTTCCTTTCCGAAACTATCGGCAAAAGGAGCTTGGCATTTCTGAGGCTCAGCAGATAGTATAAGAAAACAAAGCATTGACAAAAAAAGATGATTTTTGGGTATAGAAACTTTTGAAAATTTCGAAAAAATTCTAATTCGACGAGAGCAAGCGACGAATTAGGCTTAGAAGGTTTTAAAAATGCGAAAAAGGAATGTGAAACCAATATGCTAGAATTTAAAATTTAAAGATTCAGAATAAAGTTCCAAAAGTGGAGTAAAATAAAAAATCGGGCAAGGTGCAAATTTAGAAACGAATCAAAAACGAGGACACAAAGGTAATTGAAAAATGTTAAAAAGCTAGAGCTCAGAAAAAGTGCTAAACGTGTTAAAGACTATCCACTCAAAGTTAGGAAAAAAGCTAACTAGAACACGAATTAAAAACGCACGAAAGCAAAAAAGAATAAATACCGAATCGAAATCGATTTCGTTTAAACACCAGGCCAAATTGAATAACATCGTTTATTGTCGCTGAAGTACGGCTCGACATAGGGGCATTACACGTTTGTGCTACCATAATAAATAAAGGTTGTGATGGGTTAGCTAGAGGACAATGGAAGGAGACGCGTGGGGGATGGAAATCGTGTTCATATTTGACATGGCCAGTCAACGGGGAGTTAGTCGTACTTTTCATCATCCTCAGTGATATCGGTCCAGACGAGACCTTGTGCGTCGACGCTTTCGATTTTATCAGTAGGTCGGTGGTCATCAGCATGGCCGTGGCGAGCCTTGTACTCTTTCGGCATCTTTTCATACAGGTCTTGCATGGCCAGCTTGATTGGCTTCAGAGCCATGCGGTTCTAGAAATCGGACAGATAAATATGAATTGGCTTTTAAAAACTATCTTATATTAAGGTGGTTATATTCCAAAAACTATGAATTTACACTTAAAAAAAATTTTCGAAAATTACCAGTGTGTGGAGGAAGCAGTAGTCGGCATCCTCATCAGCGCCATTCGGGCAGTCAACCAATCCATTGCACATGTCCACCTCACGCACGCACGTTGGGTAGGTTGGCTACAAAAATTTGCATAAGTAACCACATAACACAACTTTATATCAGCATTATTGTATTGGGTTAACCTACATCGGATCCGGGGCAAGCCTCCATGTCCTCAATGTTGTAGCGATGCTTGCAATCTGAGCATCAAGATACTTTAACCCAAAATAGTCATGACTTACACCTAGGCCCTTCCGGGTTGTAATGCTGAGAGTGGGCCGATTGCTTCTAGAAATTTTTTAGGTAATATTTAAAGTATTTATAGAAGCTCGAAGGCAGTTTATAGTCTTGAACTCTTGGCAAAAGCTAGCTCCAACCCCTCTCTCTCAAACCAAGGCATACTGTAACTCAAATAGCTCTTGCCAAGAAGTCATAGACTACCTCTCTTCGTAGGCCCTTTAAACCCATTACTACGAGCAATAAAGCTACCTCAAGCCCGGCGGCGAACACCGTACCAATCAGGACCAAGGCGACAATTGTCTGCATGGCAATCCCGGTGAAAGCTACAAAAAATGACTCTCTAAGGTCTCGGTATACGGTATCGCTTTGAAAGTGGATTCCAAGGGCAAAGGGACGAGGACTGATGGGAAACGGGGATGTTGCGAAGCGATGGCTGGCCCTTTATAGCCGAATCGGAGAGGGGGCCCAGTGGAGGCTGAGGCGCCCGCCCTCCGTTCCTTTTGAGCTCTGGGCCCTCTCCGGAACACGGTACCTCTTCAAAAGGGCCGTTCGCAAAAAGGGCACCAAAGGGCCGGCCCCCATCTTGGGAACACCTCCTGGAAGAGAGGGAGGGAGAGGGGAGAGCCTGGACGGAATACGGTATCAATCTCAGCAAAAACCCGGAAGCTGGAGAGAGGGCTTCAGCCGAGAAATTGAGAGATTGTGGTCGATTCTGAGAATGGTTAGTATGAGTAATGCTAATTATAATGGAATTTGGCGGATTTGCCGTTAGCCGATCAGCCATGATACCCAGAATTAGCTTAAACACAATTAAAATCCCGTTTTATTACGCCTAGGCTAGCTTGGTTACGTGTATTCTTATAACTATTGTGCCTCTAAAAATTATTATAATAGCTAGGCTGCTCTGAATTAAATAAATTTGATTGATTAGAATCTAATGATTTTCCATTGGGTGTTTTATTGTTTCGTTTATTACCTTGCTACAGCAGCGACTTTTCAAAGCGTAATGCATTGGAAAATTGCTCAGCAAGCAAGTCCCTCTCGTCAAAAATATTGCACATAAAATTTAGGTGAAACTATAATTGTCGGCTTATGCATATGGTTGATTATGCATTTAAAGGTCACCGAACACTCAAAAATTGCCACTACTCCTCCACTAATGACCAAAAAGCAAGAATTGAGAGCACCAACGAATGCGATATCGTCGCCGTCGAACCGCTTGGAATGAAAAATTCTGCATAAATCAGAGGGCGGGCATCCACTTTTTAGTGTTATTCCAAGCGCGGGTAAATTATTATAAGTCTGGGAGAGAGACGATTAGATTTTCCTTAAATAGGTTGTCGGGATTACGGTCGGCGGGTTTAGGTTAATAAAGTTGTGCGCGCTTAAAAGGCCCCGTAAAATACATGGAATCCCTTCGAAGTCTTTGAAATAAAGTTATAAAAGGACGGGTAACTGTATAAAATGCAATCCAGAAACAAAAATTTAAATTTTAGATTGACTAAGGACAGACGATGCTACCTTAATACCGACATTTAAAACACCGACAGCGAAAATAGTGAAGACAAACTTTTATTATTCACCCTCTCTACCCTTTCCAATCAAAACCTGAACCCAATTTTTTCGCGGCCGCCTCTGCTATACAATTTCCCTGAAATAACCCTCAGTTTCGTGGACCCAGATGCATTTTTCTTCTCGTCCGCGCCGGGAACATGCCCTTCATGTGATAAAAAAAGCCGTTAATTAAGAGGTGGCCTCGCCTCAGTATGGCCACCCCTAATCCCGCCTGATTCAGCTGCAACGCCAAAAATCAGAAGCCTTAAAAATCCCATCAGCAACCGGGAAATCGTTGCCGGCTTCCCAACGTAATTGGCGTCCTGGGCAGGAGTGGAAAAATGAGAATAACAATCAGATTACGGTGGTTGCGGCGGCGCGAATTTTGAACTCTTGGTCCAAAAAGTTGAGGGAAAATGGGTCAAAAAATTAGAACAGTTTTTATGAATTCTAGCGCATCAATGGCCACGCTACCGAACGGCCGTTCGCTTGTTAGTTGCATAAATTGTTGTGGAAAAATAATTCGTTGCGTGGGAAGCGCCTTGGCTCATGACTAATTAAGGGTCCAACACACACTTTCGTACTGTAGTCCCGGTTTGGCAACATTAGGCATTTATTCAGCAATAAATAATAGATACTTATTGGAGGATTTTCAATTCGACAGAGCCGGTATTTGAAAGGATGGTGATGTTGAGGTTGACGATAATTGGTTGATTTGAGGTGCTGTAGTTGCCGATCTGGAATTTAAGCGGAGTTTAAATACTCTGTAGTTATATTTTTAGATGGGAATGTGCCTGGGGGGTCATTAAAAATTTTTGGCACGTTATGGTGCGACGAAAATGGCGTGGGTAATTTTTGGCTGATGGAAAAGTGAATAATTGGGAGGGGTTCAGAGAAAAAAAAGTCTTGCTCAGAAACGAGCTCTAAAATGTGAAATGGGAATGCGAAAATATATGAAGAACTGTTTGTATTAAATTTATGCATTTTTTACTTGACCCGAACACAACCGAATTGTGAGCTTAGGGGTATAAGTTTAATCGGCCGGTTTTCAAAGAGTCTGAGACAGCGAATCACCATGATCGAGAAATGGGTGCCCTACAAAGCTTAACGGCATGTATGTGCTCAAAAAGCCGCTTACGCCCCGAAAACATTTCGATTGTTCGCAACGAACTGAATTTTCTGGACTTGCTCACGTCAATTTTGACTTTCCAACCCCTTTAAAGGACCCACAACACCGGCAAGCACTTTCAAACTCAAAAAGTTCACCAGCCGTACCCGTCAACGACTACAGCTACCCATCTCACTTTACAATATTTTCGGATCAAGGGGCGAAAACATCTATTTTCCTCACCAGCTTCCCCAGCGATATTGGCACTTTTTGCAGGGCGACGGCGGCCGTCCCGCTCGGGGCTGTTGAGCTGTAAAAAATGGTGTAAGGGCGAATAGATTGCTTTCTAACGTGCGATTATCCCTTTTCACGCTCCTAAAAAAGAGGGCCTTGTAGCGGATTAGCCTTTGTTGCGATTCGAAACGAACCCCCCCTCTTCTCCTCGATACTTATCCGCGCCGTCCTCGCCGTCCTCGCTGTCTCTCCTGCTTTCACTCATCCTTTCACCCCCAAGGAATCCGGTCTATTTTTTTTTAGTAATCGGAAGCCTAGCAACGAACGGCGGACGAGGCCTCCTAATCGGATTCGAATGAAAAGTATTTTGGATTTGGATTAGATGGGGCCCGAGGGCAGCATACGCAGGGTGCAAATTACACCCAAAATGTACAACGGGAAGTGCTTCTTTCGCTAAAACTGGTACAGCATCGGATGCGCGCTTCCGGTACAAACATGTTATTTCCGGAAACCCTGGATTCGGGGCATTCATTCATGAGATCAAGGTTGGGATATGGTGGACCGCGGTGGTTTATAAATAAAGATGAATGGGGATCAGAAGTGAAAAATTCCGAAAATTGTACTTATAAGTTTTTTTATGTGATAGAATTTAATAAAACTTACACCGACTTGCTGATGACGAACTGCTTGGCGACTACGGCTGGTGCTGTGATTTTGGCGGTTTTCGGTTTTGGAGTTGAACGCGTTGTAAAATGAAGTGAACCTCCTGGTAGCTGCCGTTGCAACAATAACTTTTTGTCGAGGTGTCTAAGTAAATTGAATCTAATGTTACCATAAATAAGATAAAAATCACTAATTTTTAAGGCAGTCAAGAGTATATACTCAAGAAAATATACTATTTCTAAAAATAATTTAGTACGGCTATTAAATTTCTGCATTCTAGCTCTTTTTTAAAAACGAATTTTCCCCATCATCAAACTCGGCAAATCTCTGATCTACCCTTTCCCAAATGCCATCCAACCTATTTCTGGAGGCTAATGCAACCGGAGGCCCCCACTACACCGCTACAGTACACTTCCTCTCATCCCCGATTCCCAAATACCGTGCCTTGGTCTCAGTTCCTGTCTATCAACGCCCAAAATTATCTGCCCTTTCCGCTTACTCCCGATCCAGACCAATACGAATACCGGATACGAGCCCTTCCCGTTGCCCTTATTAAAAGTAAATTGGGAATGTGAGTTTTGGCTACCGTAGTCTCCTCCTCTCTGCTGTCTGCTTCCTTTGATGCCTCGCTCGAATCCATGGCAATCCCCTGAAGAACGCCGTCTCATCGAACGCAACATTTTTGCCCTACCAATTTGGGGGGCAAGTCCCCTGGATAATTGCAACCTGCCGTCGTTCCCAGCGTTGCCTGGGGGAGCAAGAAGTCGGGTTGGAGATGCACATTTTATGACTCACCACCGGGCAGGCGAAGAATTTTGAGAAATAGTCAAATTGGTGCCACGGGACCTCAGGTTTCTCCTGGCACAACAGTAATGCGGAGGCCAGGAAAAATGTTGAGCTCTTGATAATATTCCCCCGGGGATGTGATATTTTTCTAAGGCGGCGCGTGATTTGGAATCGTACTCCTCCACTGATACCTCCAAATATACCATCGATTTTTGGCGTAGTAGTGCATTCCATGCAATGTACATTGCTGCCGCATCAATCCCCAAGGATATGGTGCAATTCTGAAAGCATAATCCGGTCTCCAAAAAAAAGTTGAGATCAAATCTTTACTTCCTCCTCTGGGTTCAATAACAACACTGCTCGTTCCGGGAATACTTGGTCCAATATCTCTCGAGCCACCAAATACCCGACGGTGGCGTACTATAAAGCGGATCAAAAGACATAAAAGAGGGGTCCCTCCCCCCTGGCCATACCTTGATGGGTGCTGAGAGATTATGTTCAATAAACAAGGAGATTTTCTCCATCGTCGTGTTCCGATCCGACGGCTTAGCGGCAAAGCTAGAAAAAAGCCGCGGTGGCGTTAATCGTGTCGCGTGGTGTTTACAACAAAGTCGATCCCAGGAATCGCGTTTTTGCACGGACCAAAAAAAAACGGTCAAAAAATTGTGCTGCAGACCTGAGGACCTCGAATGGCCGGTCAATCCCCAGGGATTTCATCCGATCATGAGCACTTCGAGAAGCGTTCAGTAATAGTAGTTTTACATCGAAAAGTGAGGTAGCTCTGAAAATTTATACTGTTAAGAAAGGTGCTTTTTACGAGTTACCCGATAAACAGCTACGATACGTAGCTTATTCGCTAGAGAACTAAATTTTGTCCGAGTAGTTCGGTGGTTCATTTTGTAAAAGATAAATCCCGATTTTACAAACGTTAATAACCAGAATTTTGGATTAGCTTCTTTAAAGACCGTCAAAACGATAAAAATGTCGTTAAAAGCAAGAAATTGCGCACCCGGCGGGGGTCGAACCCGTGATGGTTCGCTCCACAGTCCGACGCGCTAGCCACTATACCAAAGGGCTGAGTGGAGAAGGGAGTCAGAGGCGCCCCAAACCACAGAGGGCCTCCTTTGCCCAGTACGGGGCGACACTAATGACGCCTATCTCTGCGCGTTCTTGGGGGGCGCACCCTCGGGGTGTCAGTGTGCGTTCAAGAGTTCTAGCAGTCTTTAAAAGCCTATAAAATTGAGAAAAGCTATTTTCCAAATATTAACTACCGATAGTTGCTTCAAATTTCATTCTTTATCAAAATATATAGGAATTGAGTCATTTTCCGGATCCGTTTCAGGCGAAAGCACTGGTTTGGATTCAACTTCCCAAAACCCACCCCTTCACAGCACCCCTCAACGCATCCAGATGATACATATTATACATCGCATTCACAAACTCGGGCGAATTATAGTATACATCATACGGTGTGAAAAAGTTCACCCGTTCTATTTCGGGAATGTAGTCGGAGCCGTTTTGGCTGAGCTTATAATAAGGTGGCCCAGCAACGTCAAGATTACCGAGACCACCGATTTGGCCGAGTCAAAAGATAGAATTCTGTAGTCGGGGTGAGTGATTCAGTAGTATTTGGCCATTTTGTAGGTAGAACGGGTCGTGTGCATTGTATAGTATGAGGTACATCTTCTGCTTGATAGGGCATGAAGCCATTTAAGAGCCTGAAACATATTGAATACCGTATGTTTCTACATGGACTTACCTGAAATTCAGATAGTGGCTGATCTTCTATAGTTTTTAATATAGTTTTGAGTAATTCACGAATTTTTGCTGGTTCTCCAGTAGTATCTGGCTCAAACTTCAGTCGCGGTTCAACATGCCGGACTAGTTCAGAATAATCGTCAAATTTGTTAGCATAGCATGTAGAATTTGATTCGCAATCCCATCTAAACAATAACATTAATTTAAAAGATATAATCAACCTGATTTTCTCAAATTCAAATTCCATCCGCTCCTCAGATTCCTTTTTTCAAAGCAGGTGTGTCATATTTTGTGGCCACTATTTTGAGATACCGCTGAAAAACAATTTTTAGATATTTTTAGCGTAAGTTTCCCACAATTATATTAGTTTCCCGATCACATTCAGGCCCAGCTGGTCCGGGTTTAGGAATACCGAATCGTTCATAAAGGGTAGCAGCTAAATCTGATCCACAGGTGTATTCCCAAAATGACGAGCAAGGGTCAGCCGATAAATTGGCATGAGCTATTAGGGAAGTTGAATACGGGGTCCAGATTGCATTTGTGGCGCTGCAAAAAATGTTTGTACGTAAAAATTTCAGGGTCGGCGTGAATGAACAATCGATAGTATTTAAAAAACACCTACCTAGTCAGTAAAAGCAATAGACAGAACATTACAAAGGATTGACAAATGTGTGGTGGGGAGAGAGAAGTTGGGAGTAACCTTTTCCCTCTCAACTCACAATCACCCTGGCATTATCATAAAGAAGGAACAGACAAAAAGAAGAGAGATAATGGATCGAAATTGTGCGCGCTTTTTTGGCTTGACCTCTGTTGTATATTTCTTGTCCATTTTCTCGTTACAAAGGTTCCTCGAAGTTAAACCGTTTATTCCAAAGTATTCTTTATAAACAAAAATAAGCGTGTAAGCTGCAAAATATAAAAACAGTCGGATCACCAAAAACACAAATCGAATTTTCCATTTTCGCACAAACAGGCTGACACAACCAGGAAATACAATGAACGGGTGACGGGTAAGGCGCATTAGGGTGCTTTATATACAAAAATTTGGTTTCGAAATTTCGGGGGCGAAGGTACCAGGGTCAAAATTTGACTATAGAAAAATGCGACAAGATTTGTGAATTTCGGATGGGGTGGAAAGAGACGGAAAAGAAAATGTGCAAGATACATGGCATGTATAACTGAGCATGGTCGCCGAATTATAAAACTATATAAACTTTTTCTTGAATACATACGCGTGTTGACGAATGATAAACGGGAAGATGTGGATAGTTTGGATTTTCAAAATTTTTAAAATGGTTGTTGCTGTTGGAAGATGTCCATTCCCATATTGAAACCATTGTTGTGTGCGGCTGGCTGGGCTGGAGGATTGACCTGGGTGGTAAGCCCAGATTTGTTGAAGTATTTCTCAAGCTTCGCTGAAAAAAATAATTATTTTTAACTTTGCAAAAAGTTCCCTGCAATTCCCCTTCCCACCTGATAATTTAAATTTTTCTGCAAAATGATTGGCACCCAGCTGAATTTCCGGGTGCATTCAGCGGCAGCCCCGGTAATTGTTCCCAATTTTTCTGTGGCTTTCCTTCAGTGAAAATTGGATGCTGTGAAAATAGCCACGTTCTTTATGGCCAAAGATTGTCTGGTGTTTCCGTTCAAAAAATTAATTGGGGGTGAAAAGGGAATTACCTTCCTGGTTGGGTTTGTGAAATTTTTAGTAATTGGAGGATAGGGTAAATCTTACTAATAATGTGTTTTCCATAGTTGAATTTTTTGAGTTGCTGGATGTGGGGTTTGATGGTGAAGAGCATCTTTTTACGGTGGACCGAGTCGGCGACATCGAGCATTTTCTGGACGACATAGTTGGCATATTGGTCACGCATCATTTGCATCAACGGCGGATTGGGGCTGAAACGAATACAGAATTGTCTTGCTGGGTGACGTATGACTCACTCATTCGGCACTCCGCATACACTTGCAATTAGCATATTCTTATGTTCATTGGAGCAACAGGTTAAGCCCTTTTCGATAACGTTGGAGGCGAATTTGTGCTGGGAGAAGCGGAGAACATCTTGGCAAATCTAAAAAAGAACACGTTGGTCATGTGTCAGTAACACAAAGCCTACCTGGGAGACGATATGTTGTCTATCAGACTCGCTGCCGTGCTCAATAACATGTTGAACAACATAGTTTCCGTATTGGTCGGTGACGAGAAGTTTGATACTTTCATGAAGTCGACGGAGGATTGGTTCTTTCTGCTCTTCAGAACAATATTCAAGGACTCTTTGGATGACCCGGCAACCATACGGGTGGGTAGACAATTGGAACACCTAGAAAACACATTTAAGTTAACTACTTCAATACTTACCGTATCAGTCTGTTTGACAAAAGCATCAACGATAAACTGCAGCCGAGCCGGTTCAACCTTTTCAATAATCTTCTGTACGACGTGATTCCCGTTCTGATCCTTGACGCATTTCAACACTTGGCTTTCCATTTCCTTCAGAACGGCCAGCTGCTGCTGTTCGTCAATCGCTTCAAGCGCCTTTTGGATCACACGGCAACCGTACATCTAAATTTCGACATTTCCGTATATAAGAATGTGTTTACCTGCAGCGCCAGATCCATGACATTACCCCGAATGGCATCACAAAGCCGTTTCTTCTGGTCTGGCATTCCAAATTCGAAAAATTTCTGAAATTAGGTGCTTGAAGTTGGGTGTTTAGGAAAGGAACGTACCTGTACCACGTAGTTTCCAAAGACATCCCGCATCAAGTGGTGTACCTGTTTGATAATTTCTTCAAAAATCAGTTGTTTCTCTCGGGCCGGGGCTCGTTCGAGTTTTTGTTGGATGAATCTGGAGATAAGTTAGAGTTTTAAGTAGTGAGGATTGGGTACCTCGATCCATGTTGATCTTGTGCAAATTCGCAGACATGACCAGTGATATCGTTGATGGTGAGATGGGGGGTTCTGTTGTTGCGGAAATCATCGAGGAGGGCAGATCGCACGACGCCATCGGTTCCGACTTCCATACGGTTGAAACTACAAATTTGTATATAATTTAGGGCTATAGGATGTTTTTGTACCATTTTGTACTTTTAGAATGGATCTCTCTCTCTATCGCTGTCTCTCTCTTACCCTCTATTATTTGGTGGATGATACTGTACAGGATGCCCCTGCCGTTGCTGATTTGGCTGTGGTGGCGGTGCTTGAATCATTTGATGATTGATCTCGCTCATCTGCCCGAATCCATTTGCTGAAACTTTTTTTACCCTCTCGATTTGCGTCAATCACATCCGGGGTTTATAGCCGGCCAATTCCCCCAACTTTTTTCGCCAATTTCCATTCCGGGCACATTACGAAAATCCGTTCCCTCCGGAAACAATTTTTGCCCGACCCCAGACGTCTCGGCAGCCCCTTTTTGGATGTACGAAAATTATAGCCGGCAAAACCGGGAATCCCACCTAGGGCCAGAAGCAGGTAAAAATTGGATTTGCGGTTACTGTAAGCCGAATTACCGGATGCAGACTACGGTGGTATACGGTAGCACTCAGCTTTCATCGGGTCTGGCATACAGTACGATAAACCCGTTCCTCTCGGCCATTTGTCATGCAGATAATGGTCTTTTTTTGCAGACACTAAGTACAAGCAGTATGGCAGCGGATTTGGGGGGGTCTTTATGATTAAAAGGGCGCTCCACAAATCCCGGGGCCGTTAGTTTTTGTCTATTTTCCTCCCAGCGGCCAATCGTATCTTAATCTGTGGGGGGATGGTGACTGGGTTCCGGGGATATGAGAATCGGGAATTTTTAGGGTTTTTAGAGATGGTTACCGGGACTGGAAACCAACAAGCTTAGGCAACTAAAGCAACAACCAACTGTACAAAATGCTGATATTAAAAACATAATTTCAAAAGTTATACGCTTGCAAAAAGCCTTAAATTTACAGGGGAAGAGTTAAGAGAACAAATAAAAGGGGAGAAACGCAGATTTATGTTTTCACACATACCTAGAAATTAAACCAGAGGTCGATTAAACAATCAAAAGCATTGTAAAAAAGTTTTTAGCGTGTTTACATAAAATCTATGCATTTCTTTGAAATCACTTTTTACGGGAGTACCAATAGCAAAAGAAAAGTGTTCGGTATAAAAACCCATCTAAAACATACCCATATATCCATTCTGATTCCCTATTGGCGCAAATGGCGCATGCATATTGGGCATTTGTGGCATATTCTGCATTCCGTTCATCCCTTGCATTCCCATTCCCTGCATCATAAAGATGGGCTGCGTGGGCGGGTACATTAGGTTGTCTAAAGGGGTCTTTTTCTGTACAGATGGATGCTAACGTACTTGGAATCACTGGGGGTTGTTGATGGCCCAGTGTAAGGCCGCCGAGTGATGATGTCAAGTTCGTCATGTGGTTCGGATCGTAGTGGTTGGAGAATGGGGGTGTGCCGAAGAAAGTTGGAGATGGGTTGTTTAGCACTGAAATCAGGAATTAAGGTATTAAAAATAGGTTAGGGAATTCTTGGGGCTGCTTGAAAACTAGAGCAGAGGTTGATTTCAGAGGTAGAAGTCCTAGGACGCCAATTGATCATCAAATAATAAGTATAATAATGAAATAACGCGAAGCCCCCGAAAATAACCAATTGCTTTGTGCTTATATTTTATGCAAATGAATTCGATGAACTTTTCATAGCGTGAAAATTCTGGAAGTCGTTCACAACCTCACAAGCTGATTCACATGTAGTGCTGATTTTAATGTTGCAATTAGTAACCAAGAAAAAAAATTAGCAACCATCGACAACCCATGATTTTTTTACTCTACGCTCCAAAAAAGCACCTGCTCTTGACCGGGTACCTAATTGGCTTCCGCAAGAAAATCAGCAATCGTTTATTTACTTGCAGAATGCATAAAAGCCGGTAAGCGCTCATTTTTTTTGTTCCCAGATTTCAGTAAATAAATGAAACCCAGACTACGGTCTTGCAAAAGTCATGTTTAATATGGTCGGCCCTTGCCATTCCAGCCCGGAAATCAGCTTGAGAATGAATTTTTCGGCGACTGACTCACCTTGCTCGGGCAGGGGTTGAGCTTGGATTGGCATGGGATTCGTTTGATAAACGGGGCCCCATCCACCGTATCCGGTAGGTGGCGATGCCAATGCCATACTAGCATTTTCTTGCATTGGCACCGTGATGGGCATGGAATAGCCTTGGCTCTGAAGAGTTTCATTTCTCAAAAAAAAATCGAAAAATACCTGGTCTTCTTGAAATTCTTCAGCGACAGGCGGTGGGTACTGTGGGTTGATGCAATACCTTAAAAAATAATTACGGCAATATAAAAAATTTTCAAGGCTTTTAGAAATCGCCAGGTGTCCCCCCGGGTGACTGTTGTTTATCTCGAATTGGCCCCATAATAGAAAAATGGATTTGGCCCGACTTTTCTCCTTTTCTCTTCACACAGCCACCGACCGGCTTAGACCGCAACAATGTTCAGCGGCGCGTCGCGTCACCCCCATTTCTTCCCATGGCTACCATAATTACTTTCAGAACATCTTTTTACCGGAAATTGGCGGCCCGGCCTCTCCACACCTCCCCCAGCTGCTCCAATTACGAATTTTTTTGCGTGCATAATTCCGGGCTCTGGCTCCTTTGCGGTGTCGCCAATAATTAAGGCGCAAAAATTTGGTCTTGGGGGACTGAGAAAATATTCTCATTTATTCTATGTAGAGATTTTATGCATGTAAATTTGATATTGGGGATTAACGGTTAATTAGATGGAAAATATGCAGATATATCAGCTGCAATAAATTTTGAAGTTTGCATTTTCACGTTAATTAGCATATCGGATCTATGCGAAAAAAATCTCGACGGATGTAAAAAGCAGTTAATCGAGAAAGCCGCTTACTTTTGCATCTGCATTTGGTTGGCGAACACTTCTTGTGGATTCTGAAAAAGTGATGGTAATAGATTTTCACCTCTACGAAATACCCAATTATCCGTATTTTATGACAAATTCACACAACTAGTGCTTCAAATGATTGAGTCAAGATGGTGGGAGGAGATATTTCTGTGCGCGGCGCGAAAAACCTAATAATTAGTGGGCTATTGTGGATAAGTGGCAGCGATGGGGGACCAAAAATACCGGTGAAGACGTCGGTAGGGGCACCGGAAGAACAATGCCCCCCTTTGGAGGGTGGGGGCAAGATTTCTTGGTGAAAGCCGCCCCACCGAGTCTCGATTTACGTAGGCAACATTCGGATTAATCTCAGTTTACACACCGTTCTCCAGGGAGTGAGAGGGACCTCGCAAAAATTATCGAAAAAGTGCTTCCCCTGGGGAATCGGTCTCATCGCAAAAAAACATCCAAACAGTTTGGATGAGGGAAGATCTAATAAATCAAAAACTGCGTCAGTTCACCGTTTTCCATAATCTCAAAACTAAATATTTTTTCAAAATACCGTTCATTCAAAACAACAGAATTTTTGAAACCATGCTAATCCTAAAAAGATCTATTGTTTTTACCATTTGAGCCAATAAAACTTATTTTTTGACTTAAAATACCAATCTTTGATCAAAGCTTTGAAAATCTGGATTAATTTGATGGCAGCAATGAATAAAAATACATATTAGAATAAGAACATAAAAATTAGGCAGTTTAAATGACTACTCGAAGCTTAAAAAAACATTACATAGAAGCGTTTTCAAAAACCGACGCTAGAAAGAACGTTTTCTAGGAGTTCATCAAAATACGTTATAGCACTTACGTAAGAACTTGGAGATCCAGAGAGGACATTCTCGACTACTTGGTGCATAATTTTCCCGCCGAGACTCTCGCCAGTCGGTGTTGACATCGCTTGTTCTTCCTCATTTTGGCTATTCGGGATTGGTACAGCAATGGAAGCCGTCCCGTTTGACGGGTCTAAATTTTGTTGTTTTTATTGTCCTTTCGGCCCTTAGTTTCGCAATTCTGCGAAACTCAGGCGTTTCCACCTTCCTAACTTATGTTCCCAAATAATTCATAAGTCTTTCCTCCCAGCTAAAGGCGCGTAAAAAATTCAGGCCGGCTCCCAAAGGCTCTTGGGATACCTAAGGGTATATTTTGACGTGACTCTGTAATTTTCGTTTCGGTTTGTTTACCATAGGGGCGATCTGCAGCCGGTAAACAATGTTTTTTCATCGAGAAAAATAGGATGGAAAGTTCATTTTTGTAAATTTTTTAAGTCATATATTTGGATGAGTTTAATAATTTGAAGCTCTAGATTCAAATAACTTTTCTCGAATTTTGAACCAACTCCCCCCGGGACAGGGAGCGCTCACACAGACCCTCGACACACACAAAAAAAGTGAAAAGTGCAAAGAAACTGACTGTCTCTTCCGTTCCAAGCCCACTGTTTCTCGGCCATTATCATCCGACTTTTTCGTGAATACCGCTGTCACAGCGACCAAAAATAGATCAATATCGTCGTCCGAGGCAATAGAGCCGCGTGTTTTTGTGGGCTGTATGAGGGGGGTTGTGTTTGTTGGAGGGTTGGTGGGTGAATGGCAATCCTGTACAATGTTGGTGATGATGACCAGTAATTGTAGATGATAGGAATAAAATTCGAGGGTGCAGATTTACAGGGAACTATGATACAAAATATACAATCGTTGCGGCGTACCTGAAAAATGGGGGTGATTAAGAGCATTATGGCGGTTTAAGAGATTCGAAATTCAAATAAAAGTTCAAATAGAGCATGGCAATAATTGTTAATAAATAGTATAGAAACTCTTTAATTTGCACTGCAAAAAATCGCTAAAAAGTTGTAAAGAAATATATTCAATTTTATTACCGATTACCGATTACCGATTAAAAGCTGATTGAGTTGTTTTCTAACTTTTCAAGAAATTTGACATATTAAAATTTTTAAATGAAGTATTGCAAAATTATTAAAAGCGTATATAAAAATATATTTAATTCCACAAAAACAAGGAAGTTCAAATAATTTTATTGCATAAGAATAACTTTCGAAACGCAGCGCCACGAAAATGTGGCCGGCTCGTTTCATAATCGAAACCTCCCCACGAAAAGCTGCTAAGAAATCCAGCCAAAATGTATGATGCAACGCATTTGCAGCAAATTTCAACATTAAACTTACGAAATATAGCCGAATTTTTGTGAGAAAAGAGCCACATACGGCAACCCTTAGGGCCCACTAGCCCACAGAGACGGGCCACTAAGGGCCCCCAGGCAGATTTTAGTGTCGTCTGTGGTTTTGGGGGGTGGAAAAGAAAAAAGGAAAAAAGGGAGGCACACGTTGGTTGGTGGTGGGGGTGGGCAGACATCCGCCTAGAGAGGACCGAACGAGAGTATACACGCTACGGCGAGGGATGGGCCCAACCACGGGCAAGAAGAAGAAGAATCACAAAGAGATTGAGGGGGGGAGAGGGAGGGGGAGAGAGAGAGAGAGAGGGAGAGAGGGAGAGAGGGAGAGTTCACCAGGGTCAAACACTCGCTCACCACCCCCAACCATTCCCTCAACCCAACAAACACACACAACACACACAGACAGAGACACACACAACCCCAGACAACACCATTCAATACCTAGTATGGGCCGTTGCCAGACAGACTCACCTCTACCTTGCCTCCGGCTATTTCGCCACCAACCTGCCAGCTCGAAAATTACGGCCCAAAAACCAATTTCAACCCGGCTCAAAAGACCCACATTTCTCTGTGATTTATAGCCAATCTCCCAAGACCTATGATAAATTTGGTACCGCACATCCCAAGCATTTTTCCGGAATTTCGAGATTTTCAAAATGGCATAGATAGCGCTTCAAAAAGATTTACTAGAAAAAATCTGAAAAAACCATATCTAAAACTGTTTTCATGACCCTTTTTCATGAAAACTCTTATTACGATAAATTTTATACCCTCAAAGAGGCGTTACAAAAAATAAAGGTTTACTAAGCTTTATCCATCCTCATTTGTAGCCCACATCCTCAAATTTTGCGCTGCCACTCCCGGCTAATCCAAAAATAATTCTGCCACCCTCCTTCCTGCCGTCTTGACATGCGCAAAAGCAGCAATTAACGACCCAATAGGCTCAGAGAAATAAATGAAAGCTGGGACGTATTACAGCAGACACCCAACTTTCAATCCGTGACACACTTTCGAGAAATTCCGAGTTTTATATTCAGCAGCCCTTGAAATTTTGGCGCGCGTCAGGAGTGGGTACGAAATCTTGTTATGGTTTCATAACATTAGAGCAGTTATGACTGATTGGTCTTTTTACTCAAGAGAGCCTCAGCGTTTTTCCATTCCTACTTCGAGAAGCCATCCATTCCCACGATATTACCGGAAATAGCACTATACAGATATCTAGAACGGAAACACCTGAGAATCGCATCTGAAAAAATGCCCTTTCCGGTCAAAAACCTGTGGAAAGAAAAGCGTTGGGGCACCTGATGATGACTGAGAGCATCTGTTCCGGGCACACGCGGTTCTTTTCGGGGTCACGGGGGTTGTTTATGAGAATCCGTGAGAAACGCAGGCATTGACGGAACGGCCAAAAAAAACGAAATTAAAAGTCTCGACAAGATTGGATTCTGGGCAACCCCCTGAGCTCATAAAAAAAGGAAAAGTGGCTGGTAGCGACAAATATCAAGTAATGGTCTCGACCACCGAGAACTTAAATCAATTTGAGAAAAATCCTGGGAATCTGGGGAGTTATTTTGCACGGCCGACAAGAGATTAGCTGCAAAAAAGAGCTTTGAAAACTTAACGAAGGCCTATGGCCGTTTTTTGCGCCAAATCGATCGCCCCGATGCCATTTCAGCATCGCCAGGCCGGCGGGAGGGGGAAGCGCGTAGATAAAATGACCGAGGAACAACAATTGGGGATAGAACGAGGTGATGGCTATGTTAGATATTGGAGGATGGTGAGATGGAGAGGATCGAGGAGAAAGAGGCCAGATAATTGTGAGAATGAGGTAATATTGGAAAGGATCCAGCCTGCCCTCGCCCATCCCATCCCATCCATTCATTGCTGTTTACATTTCCAGCCCCGCTCCAAGGGCTCGGCGATAAAGGTGACAGAATGGAATGGCGGGGCTGGGTCGATAACGGTCGCAATTTTTTTGGCTGGATAATAAAACTCATTTTGGGTATGAGTCATAGTGAAAATCGGCACTGGTTTTATTTTTGGTAACTTTTCGAACAGGTATAAAGGTGGTTAACTGAAAAAAAACAGAATCGATTAAATCAATTAGATTCAGATCAATCAGATTAAATGGTAAGGATCTGAATTGCTAATAGGCTAAAACGGTAAGCTAAAAAAATGACAAAGGCATGCAAGACGTACTCGGACAACAGGCACTCTTCGGATAGATTCGCTCGAACGGACATTTCTCTCTCTCTCTCTCTCTCTCTCTCTCTCTCTCTCTCTCTCGCGCGCTCTCTCTCTCTCACCGTCTAGTTGAATTTTAAAAGAAAATCGAAGATGTCGCTGTCCCCTCCTCCCGTTTTCCTGTAGAGAGGAACGATTTCTCGCTCTCTCCCTCAGCTGAGAGTCGATCAAACTTTTTCCCCGGATCCCGCTGCTCGGTTATTTAAGGTGACAAAGCTCTGATTGGTCAGAGAAAAGCCTGAGAAAATTTGGTCACTGGTTCATATTGACAAGGGGTGCTCGGTGGACGGTCTGGAACGAAGGATCAAGAAACGAGACTTGTCTCGGGAGAATTAGCTGTAGGGAGATTTTATAGCTACAGAGGGTGAAATCGGCATTTGGCTTTTCCAGGTATGGGAGATCATGCATTTTTAGGATCAATGCTCAGTAGGGATGCGGCGCGGATTAACAATTGAAAGCGCCGGCGTGAAAAATACGTAGAGTGTGAATGGTGACTCGGAGCTTTTAGGGGTAACGCAGCAAGGAGGTGACACGCGGTACGCCATTGTCCTCTTGATTACCGTGGCAGAATTTTTATTTTATTTTACAGTACGTTAATTTGTTGTTTTTTTTTGCTTTATTACCCGACAAACACCAGTAGTTTCGAAGAAAACTGAACTTAATTTTTGTGTTTTTTTATGCAAGGCTTCTCCCATCATCAAATAGGCAATCCACTCTATTACGCATAGGAAGACTGCAAATCTCGCGCAAATGAATATCAGCTCTAAAAAAACGACGCTGGCCTCGGGAAGCCTTTGGATCAGAATCAGAAAAGGGGGAGACATGTGCCGGCAATGCTAGCGCTCAAATTTGCCAACCATCGGCAGAAAGGGGGGCCGGCAGCAAACTAGCGGTCTGTACAAATAGGCATTCTACCCGGGTGCCACAGCCCCCCATCCATCCATCTATTCCCTTCTATCCTCTTTCCACTTTATTATGATCAGCCAACATGGCCAAATCCCCCGGAATGACAACTCCAACGTGCATAAACATCTACAGCGTGCCCCAAAAAAAAGACCCCGGTGGAATTTGGCCGTTTTGGGGCCGAAGGATTTGAAGTTCTGTATAAAGGTACCAAAGGGTATTTAATGCTCGAAATTTCAGATTCATTTCAGCTACGGCAGTTTTTAAGTTCTTGCCCAAAACCAAGTTTTTTTTTAATTTGCGTTTTTAACAGGGATTTAGCCAGAATTGGGCGTCGCCATGTATAGCCAAAATGCAGCGCCGACTCTGTTTGCCCTGCAACGTTTGTTCGTTTGCAACTTTTGCGATCGGAAATACGCAATCTAATTGGAAATATCGTGTTTCGAGCTGGAATCCGAAGCAAATCTATGAAAAGTCCAAAAATATGCGGAAAAATGACCAGAGGGAGAATTCTAATTTTTGCAATAACTTAAAAGCTACTGTAGTGAGCGGGGTTGCAATTTTCCAGGAGCATTTTAATTACCCTCTCGCGCCTCTGTGCAAAAATTCAACTCATTGGGACCCAAAATTGAAAAATTCTACGCGTGTCTTTTTCTCCTCGGGCGCCGATATCCACACGCTCGCACGTTTTATTCCATACACATTACACGGGAATACAACCGGTGGTATCGATCTCAAAATGGGTGGCCGGGCGTCTTGTGGTTAGTGGGATTTGTGCCCGGCCCCCCGTCTCGCACCTCCGCCCCTCGGCCCCGCATCGACACCTAAATTTGCGTGGTAATTAAGGTCGCGTGACAAAACCTTGAGTTTTCTCTCGTTTCCGGCGCTTTACGGGGTGGTTTTGCCTCCCAGAATAGACCCGAAAGTCCCGGATTGGCCTGGGAACGGAAGCGGTAATTTGGCGATCAAGCGATACGGTTGTTTACTAGGGAAAATTGTAAAATTCTTTGAAATTAAGAGTTCAAAAAGACTTGCTTACAAGGGAAAATCGCTACGCAGTATACATAAATCGATGGGAAAGTGAAAACAAAAATACTATTTGTTTGGGGTACCCGCTAAAACCGTATACACATCTTCTAATGTATTTTTGGCCACGTTTCGCATTTTCTAACAAAAAAAATCGATTTTTCAGGCCGAACTCAACAGTGTAATCGTGTTCAGCAAAAAAATTCTAGGCCGGGCATAACAAAAAATATTCGCCATCTTAAGAAACCTTACTTCCACTCACCATGTAATGATGCTGCCAGTACTCGGGCAGTATAACAAAGTCCCATATAACCCAGCACAGCACCGCAGAAGAAAGCAAAAAGAGTTGGTGGATTAAACAGGCCCAAAACAGGGTAGAGCCAATAGCCATCCCGACAACGCACCCACAAGATACTGAAATTTTCACGTCCCATCGGGTTTTAGGACCCATCAAATTATACAAAACGCCTCAACATCAGAGGTTGATATTTGAATACAGAGTGGGTATTCTCATCAAGAAGCACTTACATAATAAAATAGAACGCGACGAGCAGGACTGATAAAACCCTAGTGGCGCGAAGGCTGGGTGGCTTACGATTATTGAGGTAAAGATCTGAAAATAAACGCTCTGGAGTCTCTACATAATGACATTGATCACCTAGTAATAAGTAGACTAGCGGAAATGTGTGAGTAACATGATTCAGCCATCCAGGAATCAATTCAGCGATCCAGGCGGGCATCACAAGTTCCGGTTCGATAGCGTAAAGTCCCCAGAAAAGGAAAACTGTTGTCTGAAATTGTTACATTCCAACAGTTAACCAAAAATATCAGCCGATTAGTAGCATTATTTTCCCAATCAAATATAAGCTGTTTTGGCGACCCACCATTCCGACCGGATAAATGGAGGTGAAATAACAAAAGTCAGATAATTTCCGAAATTTAGCACTTTCCGTTACCGCCGTCAGTAAGGACAATGTCGAAAATGCGACATATAAAACCTAAATATTCTTTTCTTGTTCCGGCACAACAAACTCACAAAATTAATATTGGTGAGCATTACTAGTTTATCCGTCCACACTGGACTTCCAATGCGCGGCAAGTGGTAAATGTCATAATATAGTGCTCCCCACCAAATCACCATCGAGATGGCTTGGAAGCCAATTCGAGTTGTTTTTCTTGCTATCATGTCTAAAATGATCATTCGAAAGAATTCTGTAAATCCTATAAGCTCGCAAAGCTGGTCGGGCGGTGGAATTTTTCAGTAAAGCCTGTCCAAAAATCGATCCCATCCTGGGTCAAGGTGACTGGGGTGTGAATGCCGCGGCGCGCGACAAAAGGTCTGTTCCTGCGCGGGGAAATGCCTCGCCATCCTGATATTTCGTTTAAATAGTTTTATTGCTCGTAAAAGAGCCAGGCAGACAGTCTCCAAAATGTGCACAATTTCGCAGCGAAAATTAATTAATGCTTCTTGGTCTTCTTCTTTTGTTCAACAGCATCGTGTGCGTGGGCTGTGGCCGACATCGCATCCAAGAAGACGAATTTGACGAAGAACACTAAATTATGGTTTGCAGCACAACTATGAAAAGTTACCTGAGGCGCATCCTATGATGAAAGCAGCCCTCAACGGGAGAGACAGTTGCCCCAAGATTGGATAAGCCCAGAAGCCAGTCGTGTAGTGAACATAGTGGATGCTGAAAATAAATCGTAGTTTTTAACGGCAGTAACAAAAATACTTGTCATTAACCGTTCGGATCCAGATTCTTTTTCAGGAAGCCAAAACTCACTCAATAATGTAGAGCGTGGCAAACGAAAGAAGTCCCTTGAAGGCAGATGATTTCGCCACACGCCCGTGATTCCAAAGCAGCAGGTCTATCAAGATCGTCACTGTTGGTAGAGTATGCTAAAAAAGAAAAGAATTATCTGAAACAAAGCTCGCCAATACCAAGCCGTGGTTGAACCATGCAATAGAGATCACACGTCGAGCATTTTCATCGTGGAGCAGGAAGTCTGGATCCAAGAAGTAGAGCGTCCAGAATAACGAGACAACCGACTAAAACGATGTTGGAGATTTAGCAAAATTACCATCCCAATTGGCCCGATGATGACTTTGGCGAAATAATGGAAGCTACGGCTTGGGTAGAAAGTAGCGACGAGTGCCCAAAGGTGATAGAAGAGCTGGAGATACTAAACCACACCTAATTTTTGTATTTAAAATCAATTCGTACCAAATCGATGACCGTCAACCACACAAACTTCGAGATGAAGACGCCCTTTATCGGCCAGAATTCAGCAGGAACAATCTTCGCATCGTACCAGGCAGTGTACCCGTAAGCTGCAGCCGAGACCAAATGGAAGATCAGCCTGAGGCCTACCATCTAAATTGGAAAAATAAATTACAGCCAATGGTCAGTGGACTAGCGCAAAAGGAAAGAGACACTTTTCGAGCGCGCGTATCTACCAGAGCCATCGCCCAGCAGGGAATTGATAAGAGTTTCACGGTGGATTAACGAAGAAAGACTGCGTGCAGACTAGGATTTAAAATACAGAGTTGAAAATCTTATAAGTCAAGCCAAAATCTAGAAGGGAGCTGTATGGGTGCCAAAATAAGTTATTGAAATGCCGTCCGCCACTGCTGGGAAAAGGCACATTCTTTGCTTTTCTTGAGAAAATCAACAATACAAGTTTAATCATATTCTGTTCGCTGTTTTTTTTGGAGAAGATCATCTAAAAAACCTCCCGTTTTGACCTCGCTTTTCCTCTATATTTCTTTCCCGAATCTAAAAATGTTTGAAAGAAAAAAAATCCGCGAGCGGTTCCGAGAGAATCCTTATTTCACCGTTTTCCTGCGCACACATCAATGAATCGCTGGAGTTAACAGATGACTTCATCGAGCGATGGCGAAAGTAATTTGGCTTGATCATAAGATTTGATAGTATTAATATAGTGGAGCTGATATTATATCCTGTGATTTAGTCGTAGCAGTTGAATGTACATTGTGGCAGATCTGCCTGGTGGCCTTCTTAAATATAATAATTAAAAAATTAAAAAAAAAAAAAAAAAAAAAAAAAAAAAAAAAAAAAAAAAAAAAAAAATAGATGAGACTGGGGTAGCTAGGTGTCTAGTGAAATGTTGTCTACGTTTGTCGCCCAAAATTAAGTGGATAGGACCCCTTATCGACTTTTCGGCCATCTGCCAAATCCGAGCCACCTGTGGCCACAGAGCGCGAAAAATCATAACGGACTTCAAATCAGCTTTCCAAGTTCCATCTCCAAACAAGGATTCCCGGTGATTTTTTCCTCCGCTTTTCCTGGCCTTCTCGCTCATCTTCCGCTCCTATTTACTTGAACTAAACAAATGATTTTACAGGAAATGGCTGAAGACCCAGAATTCGACGGAGTTCGACGCAGAAGAACAAGGTTCGCCGCGTAGAAGGCCTTCCTGCCCCACCCAAGCCCACCCTCGCTGACATCGCTCGGCGGCACAAAATCGACGCCGCCAAATTGCCGTCCAGACTTGGATTCGCCTGACTTACCCGCCATCGACTCCTACCGACCTAGGTAAAATATTAATAAGTTTTGTTGACACCGATCGTATTGTTCGTGATTGTCCGAACTCAAAAAGTGAAAAGTCTGCTGGTGTATCAACTCGTTTAGGGACCAACGGAACCCTTACTTCTACGGGCTGCACTTCACGCACTTCATGAATTGTCAGGCGATAAGCTAAAGAATGTAATCATGTTTCTGAATTCCGCAAGTATTAGTAAGTCTTACTTAAACTGTTCGGTAAGGTTGTTGGGCAAGGAGGGGGGAGGGGCAAATATTGTCTTTTATCAGGAACAGAAGGGATTTCGATGGCGTTTTGATATTTTTTTCGAAATTTTGTACACAGGATCTCGATAAGCGCAGCCAAAAAGATGGTGGTGGATTACTGCTTCCAGCCCAAAAACCTAATTGGAACTATCTTTAATGAAACAAAACTATGGGCTGGGATATAGCCTAAAATTGCGCGAAGACTGTTCTTTTTGGGCCTTTTCGGCCTTTTTCTGTCAGGATGTTGACTAGTTCACCGGAGAAAGCAACAACAAAAAATAGAATGCCTTTTGACTTTCGGCCCTAGATTCTTACTTTAACGTTGCTCTCTTTATTAACCTGAAAGGTTTATTACTTGAAAACCGTCGAAAAAGAAGTTTTTCGGGATGAAATTAAATAGCTTAGTATATTTTTGCTGATCCGAAGGCTTTTCAAAACAATACAAAAATATATTTTTCTTAAAATACAAAATTGTTGTTCTTCACGTTATATCCTTCCCCCGTCAAGCGACCTTTACAAATCGTCCTGAAAGTCTGTTTTCCTTCATTCCGTCGTTCTTTAGGTTCCGATCGCGTCACAGTTTCCATGGGATCCGGATATGCGATACCATATTCAATTCTTCCTTGAATGAGGGCGCCACCCCCGTTTGTGGGGCATTTCACGACCTTCCAGCTTTTGCTTGCTCAGCTAAAGTAGGACATCTGTTTGCGTATATATATTTTGTATAGAGGCCTGATTCCTTTCAACATCACGAAAATAGAGCTCGTGAACCTGGCCTCTCCAAATCCAAGATGCCGGTCGACTTGAAGACACAATTAAAGCGCTGGAGCCTGATCTAGGTGTAATTTTATTTCTCGTACAATCCAACATCATTTAGTTCTTCTTCGAAACTGCACCTACAAGGGTATTAAACCGGGGCTGGCCGCATCGCAATTTTTGAACGCTATCAACCGTGACAAGAAGACAATTGTTTGTGAATACGGAGAATATCGATCGCGCGTAAGTATTTAACAAGGTTTTTCAAAATATAATTCATCAGTTGTTCCTACACCCGGAAGAAGACACCCCGCCAAAAAGTTTTGAGTCCATAACGAAAAATATGCCGCGCTCTGTCCCGTTGGAAGCGCCAAATGAAGCCGCAGAAGCAGCACGAGCTATGAAGCTTAGGAAAAAGGTAAATATTTGTATAAGATTGACGGTGCTTACCCGGTATTGCGGGAGCGGTGACAAAATTGTCGCCGTTTAACCTAAGCCGGTCTTGTTATAGAATATAGTGTTTTTGATTGTTATATAGTTTTTTGCATATCGTGTTTTATGGGTTTTTGTTAAAATAGGTTTCCGGTAACCAAAAAATCATGAAAAAATCTTCGCGGATCCTTATTGGAGAAGTTGCTCAATTTAGGCCATATTACAAACATTTTGGAACCTAAGTCAATAACGTTGACGTTTTTATGACAATTATACTTCCTGGGAAACTATCATTATGCTTTACGTAGGCCTTACTTACTTTCTATGGTGATTGGACCGACGTAAAATACTAAGAAAATGGTTTTGCACGGCAAGAACCGGATATACTGATCGTTTCCGATGTAATTCATTCATTTTAGCGTGGAACAGCCAAGCGACCGGAAATAGGACGAAGGATGGTTACAAGATCTCAAACGAAGGCCCTGGAAGCCAAGGCGGCCGCCGAGAAAGCGAACCGGGGAGGGACAAGCTGGTGGCCGGCGAACAAGCGAAACGTTACCGGACTCGTCGTCGCTAACCAATCAGCCATTATCCGTCCCAGATTTGGTGTATTACTCCTATTGGTGGATCTTTGTAACAAGGATATCCCCTTTCACAATCTCAGTTAGTCTTCCTTCGTTGGTTGCAGTGGTCTCTTTCATCATCCCCCTCCATTTATGTACCCACCTAAACTTAAAATGTTGTTGTTTTTATTACTGGAGTCCAACTTATTGCGGGTGCAAATCCCAAACCGGCCAGCGGGGTTTCCAGGCGACTTACCGGGTTTTGCTTTTATTAATTTCGAACACTCTGCTGATCGGTAATTTGTTTGAGAACGTTGTACATTTGGTTTTTGCATACCAAATAATAATGGCCGATAAAATAATAACTTGCTGTGGTGGTTTCTCGTTGGAGTCTATGGCTCTGAAATATCGGTGTATGGCTTGTCCTCTCCGGACCGGTTTTTGAGTTTTTTTTTGGCTACGTATCGGGCTACGGATGCTAGAGATTCCATGACAGACCTCTGACGTAATTTTTAAAGAGCTCGAATTCGCAAGCAATGGGCAAATTGTTTGACCTTTAGCGCTTTACGATCATTATGATTGTTGGGCGATGGGAAGCGGCTGCGTATTCCGGGCAGAGTTCAGGGCGCGTGACGAGTGCCCCGAGGTGTTTTCCACTGTTTCATCGCTTCCTCACTTCTCCCTCCCCCATTGTCCCTGGCATTCGCTGCCATTCAGTCGTTGATTCGTCTCAAAAAGTCTAGCTTTTCCCTGCCCGCGTTATCACTACCCTGTTTCAGCATCGCTCCCCCCAAACGGAGGCCCGTAAGGCCGCCCAAGATTAACCGGAGATTGCATGCCGCCGAGCGAACATCTTTAGAAACTAGGTGAGCGAATATTGATCCAGTTGTTCCCCGCGGTGTCCACAGGCATTTGTTATTGTGATTTTATTGACATCGTCGAGTGGTCAGCGGGGTTGTAGCAACATGGCAAACAGAAAAACCTCGGTCGAATAAAAAATCAATTTTGCGGCGGATGGCACGCTAGGCTTCGTTTTTCTTTCATTGCGCGATATTTTGCCGCCAATAGGCATTCTTTTGAGTTTGGGAAAGTAAGAGTAGCATAGAATAACCGGTAAATTTGTAACTTAGATTGTCATTTTGACGATTTGATTTTCTAATTTTCAGGTAAGATGGTTGACACTTCCAGCGATCCGAACCAAGTCTATAGTCCTACGGTAACTTTAACTAGTCTCTTTGTTAAACTGATTTAGGTCGGATTTCTCTACATTTTTAATCTGATCGTCGGAACTGGTGCACTTGCGCTGCCAAAGGCATTCCAAACAGCCGGTTATCTTCTCAGCGTTGCACTTCTATTAATATCGGCGGCTGTCAGGTTTGATCATTGTAATGGATCTTGAAGTTATTTAGTTACATTGCGGCCACTTTCATCTGTGAAGCACTGTCGGTCGCAAATGCTGTCAAGAATAAGGAGAAGCGAACAGAGGAGGTCCAGTATGATGGTCAGTTAGCTTCGAATTTGGTCGAATGAATTTTTTCAGATCTTGCCGTTAGCGAAGCCGGCCCCTCCACGTTCGAGATCACACAACGGGTTGAAGTGGTATGGGATTTTGCGTGTCCTTCAATTATAGATTACTTTTAGTCGGCGATGGCAACATGTTCTTGACAAAACTGGCATCTTATTTTCTGCAATTTCGTTGAACGTATACTTGTTCGGCGACTTGGCAATCTATTCAACGACCGTCCCCAAGAGCATGATGAATATGATTTGGTACGTTATGCTAAGCCGTTTCGCTAATTCAGTTTAGTGATTCGATCAACACTTCGACGGTAAGCCATGACGATCCTTGCCACGGAAATTGGCCACTGTTCTTCACCCGATTTACTGTCTATAGGTGAGGAAAGCAATAATTAATAGTTATCTTGGCTTTTAAGGCTCTGTGTCTTCCTTTTTATCGCGCTGTGCCTTCCGATGATCGTTGCTGGGGTCACGAAGACGAAATATTTGCAACTCGCTACCAGTGTCAGTCGATGGACAGGTACGTTGTTTTCTGACTGTATCACCTCTATTTTTAGCGTTTTCTTTGATGATTGTGTTGGCGTCTATGCAGTTAGCGCAGGAGGGGCGGAGGCATCACCACCGATGGCGAACTTCCATGGATTCGGCTCGCTGTTTGGTGTCACAGTGTACGCGTTTATGTGCCATCACTCGCTGCCGTCGCTGGTCACGCCAATGAGGTTTGTTGATACAGGCACTATTTTCTTCAGGCGATGATAATTTGCAGTCATGCTATCATGATCATACCATTTTTCCAGTTCGAAATCTCGTCTATTCTTGGGAATGGGCGGAATCTACAGCATCGTCCTGCTCTTCTACTTCACGCTCAGTCTGACTGGAGCCTTCGCTTTCAAGCACGTCCAGGATGTATACACCCTAAACTTCTTCCACGATGACAATACGTCATTTGTATACTTCATGATTGATCATTTCCTGGTAACTTTGTCACGATCTTTTCGATTCTATTTCTAGGTGCTTTTCCCCATCTTCACGCTGACCACAAACTACCCGATTGTGGGCATAACTCTGATCAACAATATTAAAGTCATGAAGGAGATGGTTTTCCCAACTGAAAGGTAATTTTCCACACTAACTCCATTGTCTAATCAACATTTCAAAACACGGACTACCAACGGCTTGCTTGCATTGAACCAGCAGCGATTTTTCTCGCACAATGAACGCGCGTACCGCCACAAAATTCATGCGCAATTATAGCTTTACTAAACATTTTCGATTTTTGTGTGAATTTTTACTAATATTGGTTTGCAGAGCAGACACTGAGGAAGAAAGCTTGCTTGAAACGACTGACGACGAGCTTCCAGAACCGCGACCGCGTTCCAGATCCTTAAGGCTTGTGCTAAACATCGATTTTCGAAAGACTCGGCTTTAATACAATGCCGAATAATTAATAACTGTACACCAAATTTTTTTTGAAAGATTCTTTTAGGACGGTGACTGCGAAGGACTTTCTGATTCCGGTGTTGGTCTTGGGATTGCCGACAATGATCTCATTGTTCACTGATGACGTGCGTTTTTATTTAATTCGTCGCTAGAGACGAATAGAAAAGCCTATTTAGTCATTCCGTATCCATGATGAAATGAAAGAGCTTGTTACTAGAAACAGATTTTCAGGTACTGCTTCTCGCGGCGATCACTGGTTCATACCCAGGAGTTGGTGTTCAATTCATCATCCCGTGTCTACTCGTGCTCTCGGCCCGCCAACATGCAAAGACCGTACTTAACTTCCCCGTACCTAAGAAGCATCAATCTCCCTTCTCCCATCCTGCGTGGATCTTTACAATTATTGGTTGGGGAATTTTCTCGACCCTTATGGTTACCCTTAACATGTTTCACTTTGAAATCTAGTCGGGTTTAGCTACTTTGTGCAATATCGCCCCTCTGACGCGATAGTTCTTTTCTCCCCTGAATGACTGATTCCATTTTATCAAAAGTATGCACTCATTTTTATTCCTGTCCACTTCGAGACAGCCAATCCCTGTGAATATGTGATTGTCCCTGTGCCATTTTGCTTTCATTCGTATTAATCCCGTGTATTTTGCGATCTGGCCCCGATGGCTATCTGCATCCCCCCACTCACAGATTCGTTGAAGTCTAAGCTGACGGGTGTGTGCGCTTTTCACCATTTGTATTTTGCATTTTTTTTTGGTTGTAATCTCTGCTGTGAATTTATCAAAACATTATTGTGTTGCTGATAAAAGGATATTAATGCATTATTTCGTGTACAGAATAAAAGCCATAATAATATAATAATAAAAGCGACAGCGTTGGTTGGCTTTTACGGTATTAAATCATGAAAATCGTCCGATTACAACATTTCCAATCCTGTAAGATGTTGCTCTGACTTTTGATGTTGAAAACTACGGAAAACATGATAAAAATATGGTATCAGACACACAAAAACTCTCGTCTCTAGCTAGGTAGTTTTCCCCGATCCTCTCTACCCCTCCCTCCGCTAATAGTACAGTACCGAATCCTCGAACTAGAAGGGATACAAATTTAATTTTTTCAGGAGCCCAACATCAACCCTCTTCAGGATAGTGAATCGAGACAATGTTGGACTTTGGAGCAATCGAGCGAGATATCGCACCCACCTGAAAGCCCGTTTTTTTGAGGGGAGCGTGTGTTGCACGTCGTTCTGTTTGGTCCCCTGTCAACCGCCTCGACCCAACCCCAAATCCGGGCACCAACCCATTCATCGGATCTCACCATCATCCACAGACATTCTCTCACCCGACAGCGTTTCTCTATGAAGTTATCCGGATTCTTGCTATTTCTGGTGATTCCGACAGTAACCGCGAATCTATGGCTACCTTTTGTGGGTATTTCATTAGTTAGGGGGTTTTATCGGGTCGAAGCATCATGTGTTGACTGTCTAAGCACTTCCCCAAATTCAGGCAAACTTTGGGACGATGTTCGGTGCAATTAGAGAAGCAGCATTTGGTAGTCGCGATCCGGAAACGCAAGAATCTACCGGAAATCCATTAACCTACTTTGCGCTCGGTAATATTTTAAGCGAAAACGTTCGAATATATATTTAGCCGGTCGGGAACTGCTTCACAATCTACAGAAGATGTTTATGGGGGATGAGCATGAAGAGAATGGAACTGATTATGAGATCCCTGAAGCATTTAGGGAACTTCCGACAGGTTGGCTATACGCAATAATGGCAGCTTTTCCAGACCTGATAGTCCGTTCAGAGCCAATCGGCAAACGATCAAAGCGTACTTTTTTGTAGAATTTCCTGAAGAAACACTAACGACTGAAGAGCCCTACGCTGAGCGTGTCTATACTTTTGGACCCCCAACGACAGAAGAAGTCCCCGTTGTACCAAGGACTTATCTGCCCGGATTCAAATTTACATTTCCCTACACAACTCCGCACTGGATGTCGACCACTCGCTTTCCGACTATTGGCCCGATCAAGCCTCGTGTGAGCAATTTAAATTTGAATTTTGCAGGATATTAATATGCTGAATTAATTCAGGTATGGACGCGACCGATGCCTTCATCTACTTTCCCTATTACAACTACCACCACAACACCTGAACGTCAAATTTCCCAAGAAGAAACAACAATGTAAAATAAACCAATTCTTTTTTGAATGTTTATAGGAGGCCGGTTCCCTTGACGTGGACGCCTTATCCTCAAGCTTCAAAGTCTAGGTAAGATCCGCTTAAAACCGGCTTGTGTAATCAGTTGTTAAGTTAAGTCTAAGTTAAAGTTGCATGAAATCTGGCAGTGAGTCTACAGCATAGATCAGTAGGAAATTAGTTTAAGGGTATTTTTAATGGGTTTCTAGGTGCGTAATGGTCTCGCGATGGTTGCGTACACATATGGTTTTACTAAATTAGCGATTTTCAATATTAAAACTTTTTTGGAACCTTTTGGGCATTCCACCTTCTTTAAAAGACAATTTGTATGTGCGTTTTTCAACCAGGGGTTTAGCGAGGAAAAGATGGAATGGACAACGACAACTCAACCATCAACTAGTCCCCAATGGGCGAGGGTCGCCTGGAAAACTCCGGAATTCACGACACCAACAACGTCGACATTGATGTCGGTTCGGGAACGAATGACAAGACCCACAATTCGAAAGGTAGGTTTGTGGAAATCTTTGAAGACTGTACCTCTAGGTGACACCCACCCCTTCTAGCCGACCAATCTATCCAACAACACAGAAAGAGAAGGAAGGAAGCACCTGTGACATGTGTAGTAAGAGAATATAAATATGCATTTAAGTCGTTTAGAACCTGGGAGGCTTTGCAAGCTTCGGCTCCGAAGCTTCGAGACTTCGGATCCGGTTTTCCAGTATGCTTACAGCCACTCAACAATGATCGATGATAATATGCAAGGATTGTTGAGGGTATGTTAGCTACCAGAAAACCTTTGAAACTGGGAGATGATATCGTAAGACTATCTTTAAAGGAAACGCAAATGTACTACTTCCCTCCACCACTATCCTGGAAAAATTCTGCCTCGCCAGAAGTGATCCAGCTGACGCAAACTCTAATGCAATCATTCCGGCCTTCAAGGTGCCTCATTGCCGGAATGTTCACTGGTCTTTCGGTTATTGGTAAGCGGATTAATGATAGGTTTCTATTATTAAAATCCTCTTCTAAGGAATTGGCTCAAATATCGATTCTCGAGGGATTATCGTGGCACTAGAATATCCTGAATTCGTTCAATATTGGGAAAAGATTGGGATGAAGCATGCGCAGAAGGTATGCAGGTCATATTCGAATATATAAATCGAATTTAGCACAACCTAATGTCCAAAATTCAAGTCCGATCTGGGGATACGATTGATCGATCCCTGCAAAAGCTGGCCGCCAATGAACCGAATACTTTTGATCTCATCTTCCTGGTAGCCGAAAAAAAATTAAAGTTCGAAATTGCTTTAGGACGACTATCGCAAGCAAAACTATTTGGACGACTATGAATATGCTGTGAATTTGGCCCGGCCTGGAGGCTTATTGATCATTAACGAGGTGATTTTGGAGAAATTGCCTCGAAAGTAATACATAGGCGCTGAATGGCGGAAGTGTGATGAGTCCACAGGAGACAATGTCTGCGGACGCGAGCAGTACGAAATATGAATATCCGCATTAAACAGGATATCCGCGTTCGAGCCACACTGCTCCCGTTTTCTGGCGGAACCTGGGTGATCACCAAAGTATAACTTTTTATTTTCTGCTTGTATTTTTAATTTTTTTTCGCCAAATATGATGGTTGGTGCGTTGTGATAAAATCACGAATAAATTATTTTTAACATTTGCATTCCGATCCATCTGTCTGAATTTACTCGATTTAAAATCCCACAAATCGGTCAGACATATTTGAACATCTGTCAGTTGAACTAGACAGATAGGGTTCGGGCCGCATTAGTGCATGAAATTCCGTGGATAGGCGCACCTCGTAGTCCCCAGACATAAACATCAGCTAAAAGGGCCCCAAACGAGCTTTTTGGACCTCAAACTGGGCGATCATCAATTTCTTTTTGCTATTTGTACATTGTTTTTGTACGATCTGTCAAGGGCTACCGTAAAAGTATCCATATTATAGAACAGGGTATAGCCGATGTCTAGTCTGGAACCATGGAAAAATCTAAGATTAAGGTAATGATCCTAATAAAAGTTAAGCCCGCCGATTTTAGAAAAGACATTGTCACCTTATTTGATGTGCTATGCGAAGTGCAACAGACACCAACGGGCCCAAAAATTATTCGAAGCTTTCCGGAAGTAAGCTGGAGAAGGAGTTTAAAACCCGTTTTTAGGATTATGACGATCAACAAGTCTTGAAGGCGATTCCCCAATTCGCGATGCCATATGATTTCTTCGAGTGAGGGCAACAACTATCAATAATATAGGGCTTTAGATCGGCTTCGCAAGCTGTACAACATTTTACATTTGTCATTAGCCACCAGGGATGGCAGCACAATTTTGGGCATTGCCGAGTGTCACCGGCCACAAAGACTTGCTACGTCATCTTAAGGTAAGAATTACTATTGAGACGTTTTAATTTCCTTTTAGCGGGCTGCCATGGTGTAAATTCTTTGCCGAGATGCTGGATTTATTTTCGGGTATTCGGAGTTTTGCGACGGTTCGTTGTGCACGGTTGAAAATAAAAAAATGAATTTAGGACGAGGATTTCGACTTGGCATTTTGCGCCGCGTATCATTCCGAGATACCACTGCCTGGGACACAATTGAGTCTACCAAAAATTAATAAGCTTCCGGTAAGCGCAAATTTAGCTGAAAAGTTTTGTGTTTCTAGGTTGCAAAATGTATTGCTCCGGAATTGAAAGTGTTTCCATCGATGAGAGATGAGACGTATTTGCTTGAATTGTGGAACGCATTGTCACCAGATCAGTTGATAAAATTATATTGCAGGTATGGAACATTTCTTGACAACGATACCATTATATTTTAGCATTCTGAAAGAGCGGAATATCATTTTTACGGGTTCAAAGCTATCTTTGATTACGAATTGCGTTTTGGCGACGACGACGATGCTGTATCCAATGTATTGGTGCGTAACTTCCATTTAACTTTTTATCTTAAAAAGCTATTAAATTCAGTATTGTTTCTTTCATTGTATATTTAGGCAATACCTTCTAATCCCAGTAATTCCTCCGGATATGAAAGCGTTCCTCGGGACACCTGTGCCAGCAATAATGGGTGTTGCAAAACAAGTCGTTCCTCAAGTCGAGGTATTGTTTTTTGGTCTTGAAAATTTATACAAATATGACATATCGTGTTTTTTTATTATATCCAATTTTTTTTAGAAAGCGGAAGGCACAAACACGGCTGTCATTATTGATTTGGATGCAAGAACCATTGCAGCAATAGACCAGGATTATCAAGCGATGCCTACTGACGTGGGTCTCATTGTGAATGCAAGCCTCGTTTTCAATTACAGATCAAAAAGATGCTAATGTCTTATCTGAAGAAAATGAGCATGAGCGATGGATTTTCAGAAGTTTTCTATAAAGCAAACAGCCAAATTTTTGGCAAGTTTTTGTATGGAAGACGGGCGGATACACCGGTAATAAGCACAAATTTTGGATTTGATTTGACTTTTAGAGCGGCTGGGATCGAGAGCTTTTTATCTCAAAACATAAAGATTCGGAAATGAGGGATTACCTGCGGTATCTCATTGGCGACGGCGGTGTACAGTATTTGGAACGGGTATTTATAGAAGCTAGGTTATATAGAAAGCTGATCCCTTTAGTTTTGTGAGGAATATTTCGAAAAGGAAAATACCTTGGAAAGTCAAAAAAATACCGTTTACGGCTGAAGGAATGCCAAAGAAGCCGATGGAAAAAATCCAGGTGACGAATTAACAAGTAAATTAAAAATGTTAATTTAGGATAATGTGTCAGAAGTTTTCGGGACTTTTAAAGACAAATTTGGAAAGCTAAAGATTGGCGGTGGACGACCAGGCGCTAGCAAATTTTACGATGAACCAATTTCGAATTTGGACAATCAGCTATTTGAAGATTCACTTCCGGAAAAGCCAAAGGTATGTCGCTCATTTTTATAATTGTGGAATCCAGGAAATTCAGGAAGTACAATCGAGACAGCCAGAACAACAGCAAGTTGTGGTAAGAAATCTTTAGAATTAAGGACCAAGAATATAAAATTTATAGTATGACCTAATTACTTTTGGAAACGATGATCCGACTCCTACGGCTGAAACGCCGCAGACTAGAGCATCTTTTGGTAACCAACAAATTGAAAATTTATTTATTATTTTTTGCGTTCAGAGGACCCATTCGGAATCCGGGAATTTGAGACATCAACTTTCAACTCACATACGCAGCCATCCAGTAGGGGGCCACCAAGTAATAATAATTTAATGTTTTTAATGAAAAATTAGACGCCCGAGCCTCTCCGTCACTTCCTTCCCGCCCTCCGGTCACATTTCCACCATCGCAATTTCCCGGTAATGGCAACTCTTAAGTCGGAGATATTTTTAGATAATCCCTTTATGCAACCATTTCCATTTGATGCATTTTCGGGATTCTCGGCAAAATCGGATTCCAATTCTTTAAGCTGTAAGTGAGAAACTTTGCTTAAAGTTTAATTTTGTAGCGGCTGGATCCTCACCAAAGCTTCCGCCACGGCCCATTCACAATGTACAGATGAGAGGTCAGTTAAAAAACCAAAATTCTAACAAAAAAAAAATTCGTTAGGTAGTCCCTTTCAAGCCGGAGCGGCTGCACGTCATGGTATGATAAACCCAGGACAACCAATGCGAAGTGAGAATAATCCACAACTCGAAAAAACCCAGCGTTTTTCAGCAAATAGTGCTTCACCGGTAGTTCCGCAGCGACCCGCTCAACGCCCAATTGCCGATATCCCATCCCACGGTAGCAGACCGACCCCTTAATTAAATATTATTTTCCCAGGCGGCTCGGCACCAACTATGAATATTCCCTGAGAAGGCCCGCTCTTCAAAGCAGAGGTAAGCCAAAAGCCACCCCGCAAAAGTTGCAACTTCCAAACGTAGACCACCCATAATTTTAACATATTCCAGCCCCTCCCACCACTCCACAACCAACACAAAACCCGCCAACAGTTCCAGGACACGGATGGGTCAAATTCGAATAGTCGATTTTTTCAGTTTCCCTATAGTCAGAATTATTTCAATCCTCACTCACAAAAACTTGGTGATAATGGCTCTTATTTCCTTTTTCGACGGGAGCTCACAAATAGAGTTTTGTTACCTCGGTGCTACTGTCTTTCCAACAAAACCAGCAAATTATGAGAATCAGAATTCTATCGATATTCCTGCAATGTTAGAGCTTTTCGCCATCGTATGAACGCCAAATGCCTTGGTACTTGTTCTCCTCCACAAGATTTAAACGCCGTAGCAACTCCCGAATTAATAATAACAATAATGTCTTACCGGTCTATTAGTGCATTCCTTATTTCCTGAAATTTACTGTAGAAATGCGTGTGCTAAATAAATGCCTTTCTTGACTACAAAACCATGCACCAAATGATAAAATTGTACAATTAAAAACAAATTTTTTTTCTATGAAATTTCTTTTGCAGATCTCGTAGATTGCTGTATCTGAATCATCAACTTGCGATAACAAAACGCAAAATAAAGTATAGTATTTATTAGCAATACAGTAGTTATAAAAGTCATTGTAATCGTGATTCGGAAACTACTGTAGCTTTTGAGCTGTCGAACGCGATTGTCGTTATTTGGGGCATTTAAGGCGTCATCCGTGCCAATTTTCCTACAGATCGGATGGAGGTTGCTAAATGCTCAGGGCGTGCTTTTTTATTGTCCCAACATGTATCATACCCGTCCAGATGTTCCTCGTAAAGCAATATTTGCGCCAGCCTGGACGACAGATGTTGCGATTTCCGCTCTCCAGCTTCTCAAGATTTCGCCTGCTTTAATGGCTCTATACAATGTATGTTTCAGTTTTTTCGGACAGCCATTTCAACGGAACGCCAATCCAAATTGCATGGGCGGGAGGAGACGAAGGGTCGGGAGATTGTTGGAGAAGGGGCCCGGCCGGTGGGGAGGCCCAAAGTGGGGCCCAGGGATGGCCCCTGCGTTCGATTTTGTGCATGCAGCCGGCAGTACCCCTGGGTGCCCATCCACCATCCCTCTACCCTTGGCTAGGGCCATGATGGCCAATTATGTGGCCTTTGGGACAACCCATCCAGCTGTTCTTCTATAGAAGTGGGAATCGATCCAAAGGAGGGGGTTGCTGGATGCGTCAGATGCTGCTTTTGTTTGGTCATTTTTTCATCTTACTCTCTCGCTGGCTATCTCTCGATTACCCCCTCTCTCTCTCTCTCTCTCTCTCTCTCTCTCTCTCTCTTAAAAATTTGCATTGGAAAGGGGCTCAACTATTTCAAAATTTGCAAAAACGCCCCGTTTATGTCAAGGTTTCTGTAGGTCAAGGCTATAACTTACCGTAAGACGCTGATCTAAGCAGATATTAAATAACTTTAAAACCGAATGCATCCGCCCTCCCATTAATATCATCTATTCAAATGCAACACCACCTGCATCCCTCTCCAACGACCCGTTTCTAGTCAACACACCCTCTCCCATTTTTGCTGCTCTCCAACCATTATTTCAACACCACCACCCCCATTCCGTATCGCTACCCCGCAAAAAACTCCCCCGTCCCACAATCCCCCCCTTCCGCTTCCTCACCCCGTCCCCCTTTTTTTGGTGCATGCATTTCTAAATCCCATCCTGCCCATATATTCCGCACCACTTTTCACCCATCCCCCTCCAGCCTCTCTTTTCCACTTTTCATCGACTAAATAGCAAGGGGGATGTCAAAGTCTCGCATTTCGACTGGTTGGGCCCTCGGGTTGGGCCCTCTGCTGCCCTCCAGGCCCTGCTGAAACCCAAGAATAAACAACGGCTCTCGCCATTTATTGACCGGGCAGAGCGCTCGCCTTATTTGGGACGAGCAACCCGAGAAGTAAGCCGCTCAAAGTTGGCTGTCCGTCAGCTGATCTGCGGCAAACTTTATTAATTCTACTGTGGCTTGCAATTTTTTCTCTCTATAATTTCCCAATAAATTCTGCAAGGGTTTAGATGTTGTTCCATTAATGATGGACATTTAAGATGTGGCTCTTTCTCTCTCTCTCTCCCTCTCTCTCTCTCTCGCTCTCTCTCTTTATTTCGTTCTTTCTCTTTTTTTTGTCCTTGTACCTGTCTTGGTCCTAATGCCCTCAAAAACCTAAATTTGCCTTTCCTTACTATTTTTTCCCCGACTTAAAACACCCATGTCTATAACAAATTTTAAGAAATGGTAGAAGTTGTATTCGATGGCGGCCTCTGGCCAGAACCAATAATGCATGTCACACAACGCGAAATTGCCTTCTTCGACCGCAAACGAAACAACCCGGTCTATGAAGTCATCAATAAACTCGGAATCTGCTCAGCGAAGGTTTTTAACGCCAAATTTACAATAAATGTTCTTTTAGGCTCAATGTCTGAAAAACCCAATCACAAGCTGCGATCGAATTAATGCCACCGATGACCCGCAGGGGGTATATTTACATTGGAAGAAAACCGGAGAGTAAGCTCTAATTTCAGTTCTTTTACCGTCTTTAGGAAGCGCTCGGAATTCCAAGGCATGTTGAAGGTCGGCAGAAGAAGCTTATATCTGAGAAATCGGGACGACGTCCTATTCAATGAAACTATGCTTTGTGTATTGGATTTCTACGTTTGCGAGGGTGAAAGGAATAAGGGGATTGGCAAGGAATTATTCGACAAAATGCTTGAGGTATGGTTGAAATAAAATTTTTCATAAAAATTTAAGGAAGAAGATGTGCAACCGTATCAGATTGCCTATGATAACCCCTCGAAAATGCTTGTGGCGTTCTTGAAGAAGGTTGGATTGTATTTTAGCATTGTAATTGAAATTTTCTAGCACTATAACCTTGATGATCCGATCAAGCAGTCGACTGGTTTATTGGTTTTTGATCCAATTTTTGAAGATAAGGCGCCGTACGAGCCTACTAGGTAGCATTTCATTATCGATTACTTATTTGATACCTATATACATATAAATATAAACATTAATTTTATAAAATTCTAAAAATATTTCTAGCTCGAGGAGTATTTCGCGGATGACCTCTCCATCAAGAAGAATGTCAGAAATGGTATGTATTTTTTTGTTTTAATATTAGCAGTTTTGTCAATTAATGTCCTTAGAAATTTTATCATTAAAAATCGATTATTACGGCTAAAAATTAACTTTGAATTTTAGGTCGGAGTCAACGAAAAGGGACACCTAAGCGCTGGCACTATTATTCACGGTGACGCACCAGAAAACCTCAGAATCGAATACGACCCAGATACCCCAATCGGAATGAAACATCACAGAGATCTCGGCCATACTCCACTTTGGTAGTCTACAAACACTTTCTCATTATTACTGCGTACCCAATTGCTTGTTTCCATTCAGTATATTTGATTTCTTTTTTGGTGACCGTGCTTCCCCATTAATGTGATAACCCTGTTGTCAGCTTGTCAGCTTTACTTCAGAGATAGTCAAACACTTCTTCTGAAAACCGCATCACCTTGATCTCGCTTGTTTTTTTTGCCCTGTTTTTCAAGCATATACACTGGATAAAGTATTTTTGTAACCATGGCAACGCGTGCTAAACATTGTCCAACCACACAGGAGAGGAAAAGGAAAGGGGAAGCAGCTGGCGGCGGGGTTTGTGGGAATATTTTGACTTGCGAAAGGTCGTGCTTAGATTTAATAATTTTAGTTTAATTTTTGTTACGCACTAATAGATTGTATTAAATTTTGTAGTTTTAATCTCTCGAGGGCCAGAAATAGGCACAAACTTCAAAGCTAATATGTTGTGTTTGTGGTTTCGAAACCTCATTGTTGTTATTTTGTATTTGTTTATTCAATAATTTATAGGATGAAGTTGAAATACCAAGGACAGCTTCTACCACAACAGGTATGGATACATTACGCTATAGAGTCACGAAAAAGCAAAAGAAAGGATTCAGAGAAAAGCAACGTTCTCACATTGCAATATTAGAACTACTACGGATACTACTAATAATATTTTTCCATCTATTAAATCATGTTACAGGTGGGCGCAGCTAGGGTATGTGCCATAGCAGCCACCCCAAACGGCTCGAAAGTGGCCGTTGCCACTTCGGATCGAGCTATCGTGCTTTTTGACGAAAAAGGAGAACAACGCGAACGTTTTGCTACTAAAGCTATTGATGCAAAGGTATAACGTAACGTTATAAAAAATTGTTAACCGCAATTTTTGCAGTTTGGAAAAAAGAGCTACGCGATCCGTTCGGTATGCTTCAGCCCAGACTCTACACAACTAGCCGTTGGACAATCTGATCATGTCGTCTATGTTTATAAACTCGGAGCATCATGGTAGACAAGTTCAAAACGTTTAAAACTTCCATCAAATTTAGGGCCGAAAAGAAAGTGATCGTCAACAAACTACTGCAGACAGCCAGCATATCCGCGCTGTCATGGCCATTCGAGGACAAGCTTCTCATTGGGTTGACCGACGGAAAAGTTCGGATTGGATTGATCAAGAGCAACAAATGTTCATCGCTCTACAAAACGGAACAACCAGTTGTTTCATTGGCAACAAAGTAATTCGATTCGATTTTTGAGAGCTACGAAAATCTGGCTTTGTATTCAGCTTATGTTGATTTCGGAGTTCTGAAATTCGTGATTCTGATTTTCGAGTTTCTAAGAATTTCCCTATTACTTGATCAATTCACATTTAGCCCAAGAAAGACAGCATTTGTGTCCGGACATTTTGATGGAAGTATCATCCTCTTCATCTTTGCCAGCAAGTCCCAGGTGACCCCCCTATGCTCCCGAGTGTAGAATCTTGCGGTTTAGAGCAAAATCTGCACCCATCAAGTCACCCCATACTCTCTCGTGTTTACAGCCCATGGGTTATTGGTGGCGGGGAGCGATAGGAGGTACTAAAATCATCACAAAATAAAAATAAACATATAAATGTAGAATCTACGCTTACACGGAGAACGGTGTCGTGCAACAGCAATGGGATTTTTCCGATGAGCATGAAAAGGAGTTTTCGGCGATTTGTCGTGATCCGACAGGAACAAATGCGGTGGTTGGGTCTTATAACAAGTAAGACGAATCAATATATGCTAATAAGGATATTAGGTTGCGATTATTTTCGTATAATCTTCGTCGTGGTGCCTGGGATGAAGACGCGCCTTTGGTTATTAACAATATGTACACGATAACAGCCTTGGAATGGAAGGGCGATGGAAGTGCTGTGTATTCGGTAGATTATAATTTATAGACTCAAAAAATAGTGTTATAGGGAACCTTAAATGGTGGCGCTACAACGATTGACTGCTCATTGAAGAAAGGAATAATTCGGTCACGTTTTGAAACGACCCATGTGGCGCCTTCGCACGTCATTTTGAGGGACATTTCAAATGAATCGAAAACGAGCATCATTTCAAATAAGGGACTACAAATCGACGATATCAAGGTGATAAACTAATCTTTATTTTTATAATGAGTTAATATTTAGGTGACTGGCAAAGATTTATTTGTTTTGGCCTATACGGCTAGTACGTTGATCATTGCGGATACGCAGAGCGGAAGATCTTCGGAAATCGATTGGTTTAGTGGGGGAAATGAAAAGTAGGTATTTTTACTAATTATGATACAGAATAAACCTTAGATTCTATTTTGACTATCCAAATGTTGCGGTAATTGTAAATGCGGGAGAAGTTACAGTAGTGGAATATGGCATTGACGGTACCAAACAAATACCAAAATGTAGACTGATTTTTAGGAGCATTAGGATGGGTTCGAACTGAATTAGGATCAAAGCATCTACTCAGCCTACAAGTTCACCCTGATAAACATGGAAAGCCTATCAAAAAGATTGCATATTTGGCCGACCCAACTACAATCACGATATGTAAGCCAACCCCAATAGTCCAAACTCAACAATTTAGACAATTTTCTGACATCGCAGCAGGAAGCATTAATCGACCATAAGAACAAAATAGATTGGCTGGAGGTAATTGGACGTTGTAAATTAATAAAACCAAAATTAAGCTGAGCGAAGGTGGAAGCCGCTTACTTTTCCGTGATAAACGCTCCCGAGTGACACTCGTTGATTTGGAAACCGATGTCCGGAGTAGTCTACTCAATTTTTGTTCCTACGTTCAATGGGTGCCAAATAGCGATGTCATCGTTGCCCAATCAGGAGAAAATTTATATGTTTGGTATGGGAATTGACCAATAATTAAGTGAGATGTCTTTAGGTACAATCCTGAATACCCAAATCAACCGACGATCACACAAGTTCGCGGTGAAATCGAAGCGGTTTTGAGGGATAATGATCGAACGGAAGTGATAGTGCAGGTTAAAAAAATTGGTGGAAAACAAGTAATATCTACTATGTTTAGGAATCAAAAGCAAAAGTCGCATACGAATTGGACAATACGCAGATTGAATTTGCGGCTGCGTTGGAAAGCTCAGACTTTGAGAGAGCTGTTTCTTTTCTCGAGAAAACACCAGATCAGGATGAAGCGTAATAATTCGTTCCCAACGTTATAATCAAACTAATAGGTATTTGATGTGGCGTAGAGTAGCTTATTTGGCTATGGAGCAAGGAAAGCTTTTGATAGCTCAAAGATGCTTTGCTGCTATGGGCGATGTGCCGAGGACTAATTTTATGATGGTACTAAAAATAACTATAGCTTATGTTTTTAGGAAACCATAAAAATGGCGAAAGATGCTGCGAAGAGCATTGGTGGTGATGGGTCGGCCCATTACAAAGTCCGAGCAAATATTGCTAGGATTAACAAGAAATTTAAAGAAGCAGAGAAAATCTACTTGGAGCAGGTAGAGCTGTACAACAAAATCTAAAACAATTTTAATAGAACGATATTGATGAAGCAATCGGTATGTATAAATCGTTGCATAAATGGGAAGACGCGTTGGAGCTTGCTCGAGCTAGGGTAAGAAAGCATATTTCTTTACAAAAACAAAAACGTTTAGAACTATCCTGGCTATGAACAACTGCGAATTAGCTATCATAGAGCATTAGCGGAAACCGGACAAGAAGCTAAAGTGGCTGAGGTTGATCTTTGTTAAATATGTTCGAACCGACGATTTAGCTGAAAGCTACGGAGGGAGACCCGCGCTCTGCCATCCAACTTTTCCTCAAATCCAACCAACCCACAAAGGCATTGGCTGTATTGACAAGCAAAGAAGATCTAATAAGAGACAGTATTATGGTTGAAGATATTGCGACAGCCTTGCTGAAAAATCGGTTCTTTGAGAAGGTAGGGCAGCTTCGAGTATCCTGAATTGAGTTTCAGGCTGGGGATCTCTACGAGAAAACAAAAGACTTTGAGAAAGCCTTTGAAAGTTTTGTTGAGGGGAAAGCTTATCAAAAAGCTATCCAGGTAACGATCTCTATTTTAGGCACCCTAAATACGAATTTAGATTGCTAGATTTGCATTTCCGGATCGTGTGGTTGGGATTGAAGAAGAATGGGGAAATCATTTGGTCGCTCAGGGACAACCAGAAGCTGCCATCAATCACTTTTTGGGTAGGAAAATTAGACTTAAACTTTCGAACAGATTTTGAATTAAAAGAACACTAAAACCTTTTAGAAGCGAATTGCACGGAAAAAGCGGTTGAAGCGGCGATCAAAGCCAAAGAATGGAGCAAAGCTGTTCAGGTTGGCATTAGATAATCGGAAGGAACCTTTTCTAATAGATCGTCGATGTTATTCAAGATACCGAACGATCTCATACGTACTACGGACAAATTGCCGAGCACTATGCTTCTATTGGGGAATTTGATGTGAGTGGAATGGAATAGAGGAAACTAAAAACTATTTAGCGCGCAGAACGTCTTTTCATCGAAGCAAATCTACAGAAACAAGCGATTGCCATGTATATCAAAGGCAGCAGATGGGCCGATGCATACAGGGTTCGAGATAAGTGCAAAAATCAAATTAAAAATTTCAGCTATCAGAAGAGTTCCTCGGAAAGGAAGAAACGGCTCAAATGTATGATAGAAAGGCTGAAGAATTGGAGGAACAAGGAAGATTGGCTGAAGCCGAGCAGGTTTGGGGGAATGAAATTCATAAATCGGGTTGTTTTAGCTTTACATATCAATTGGAATGTCTAACAAAGCTATCCAGATGTATAAAAAGGCGAATCGTAATGAAGAGGTTGTACGACTTGTTGGGCAATATCACTCGGAGCATTTACTGGTAAGTAAAAAAATATGTAAATTCTATTTTCAAATATCGATTTGGTTTTGTAACAAACCGTTCCAATTTTTGAAATCCTGGCTAGCCCTTTTCCTTGCCGAGACCCCTCTTCCCTTTGGCCTCTCTCTGCCGGCCCTCCCCTCTCTCGGAATGGCTGCCCCCGAGAGACAAACCTCCCCCGCTCACCCACCGCCGTGCCGCCATAGCTCAGTTGGTTAGAGCGTGGGTCTAATAAGCCCAAGGTCGCAGGTTCGACCCCTGCTGGCGGCAAACTTTTTGCTTTTTGGAAGATCATTTCCGGGACTTTATTGTATCGTTATTATAAGAGCTAGTTTATTTTGCAGGAAACCCATAAGCGGCTAGGCGAAGAACACGAAGCTGCTGGCGATCTCAAGGGTGCGGAGGAAGAATTTTTGAAAGCCGGCGAATACAAAATGGCAATAGATATGTACAGGTGGGCTTCTATCAACAAAAATAAAGCATGAACTAGGAAAGCTGAACAATGGAGCGACGCGTACCGGTTGGCAAAGACGGAGGGAGGAGATACAATCCAGAAACAAGTGCGAATAAAGACTTTTCAGAATTGATTCTTTAGGTCGGCTTTCTCTGGGCTAAGAGTTTGGGCGGTGATGCGGCTGTGAAGCTCCTAACTCGATTCAATATGCTCAGTGATGCGATTGATTTTGCCATCGAGAATGGGTATGCAATATCGTTGAGTTTTAACCTATCTTTATAGAGCGTTCGACTTCGCGTTTGATCTGGCAAAGCTGGGAATGAAGGAAAGATTACCAGAGGTTAAAGAATGGGATGAATTTTGACAAGTAGAAAACTAGGTTCATACTCGTATCGCGGTGCAAATGGAGGAAGAAGGACGGTTAGAAGAAGCAGCAAAACATTACATTGAGGTATTGAAAACCCATCGGTTTCAAAAAGTATATTTAGGGCGGAAAGGCCGAAGAAGCGGTTGCAATGTTTATTCACGATCAGGATTGGACAAATGCGGAAAAGATTGCCAAGTGAGCATTTTTGCGGCAGTAAAACAATTTATTAAAGGGAACACGCACCAAACAGTCTGGCGGATGTCTATACTGGGGAAGCTCGAAAAGCTCTAGAATCTGGTGACCACCAAAGAGCTGAGAGCTTCTTGTTACGGTAGTTCAGAGATCCCTTAGCATTTTTTCGTTTAGTGCTGGTCGTCCTGACATCATTATGAGATATTTCAAAGAGCAGGCAATGTGGCCTGACGCGTTAAGGATTGCCAAGGAATATCTACCAAATCAGCTATCATCCTTACAAGTACGGATTTGGTTCAATAAAAACAACAATGAAATTTTAGGAAGAATTTGACAAAGAAGAGCTGCGAAGTGGAGCTCGCGGAGTCGAGTCATTCCTTGCCCAAGGCCGTGAATGGGAGCAAAATGGAGAATACTATCGAGCAGTTCAAGCGTTTTTGAAAGTAAGCCAAGCTATGATGGCTTGTAACCATTTAGATCTCCCCTGAAATGACAACAGACACCGAGCTTGTTAGACAGAGCGCACTAAAAGCTGCCGATATCGGGATGAGGTTCCTGATTGGCGGGAATGGACAGGAAATATTTAGCGAGATTTTACAAAGACTCAGCGAGGTGAGAATTGAGTAAAAATTGTCGAATGGCAAGTTATAGGTTGGGGAGCATGAGAAAACAGCGGAGCTGTTGCTGGCTCTTGGAAATACAGCTGATGCGATCCACGCGTTGTGCGAGGCTCAACAATGGGGCAAGGCCAGACAGGTTAAACAATTTTTTATTTTTGAAAAAGAGATTAGGTCGCAAATGAATTCATGCCCGAAGCATTGGCGGAAATTGATGCAGCTTATAAGAATAGTCTGAAGAGTGAAGGTCGCTTGGGGGAATTGATCGGTGGGTCGAGAAAATAAATTTAATTATTCTTCTCTAGATGTCGATGCTATTTCCGCTATCGATTTACTAATCGAGAGAGGGCAATGGGAAAAGGCCATCGAAACGGCTAAACAGCAAAAAGTAGGGAATTAACCCGCTTGCGTTTTAATTATGAATTCTAGCATGGACCGCTCCTCGACAAATATGTTGCAATGTATGCGTCGCATCTTATTTCCGAAGTAAGCCCAAAATACAAAAACAAAAAACAACATCGTATTTTAGGGTGATTACGTGAAAGCCTCAAAGCTCTTTGAAAGATATGGGGCTGCTGGAAACGAAGAAAACTTCAATATTTATAAGACGTTGTTCGACTCTGTAAGTCGAAGAGCTAACACGCTTTATGTTTTAAATTGAGGTCGTTGGTGTTCGAACCGACAACCCAGAAGAGGAATACGAGCGGATTGCCTTGATTCGAAATGTTTATCAGCAAATTGTTCGTGGTCTCGAAAATGGGAATAGTCGGCATTTCGATGTTGGTTGTCCCAGAAAATTTTGGAACAGCTTTAGTTCTTCTACCGGCAAATGTTGGCGCTACATATGATGTGTATTCGGAACGCAATGTTAATTGCCGATGAACTAGAATCGAAGAGAACCAGGCTGAAGCTATCAATTGCGTTGCTACGGTATTCCGATGTGTTACCCCCAGATCGTGTTTTCTACGAAGCCGGAATTTTGGCGAGGGTAAGAATAGATGTCATTAGAACGGCGAATTCATAAATATAGGATGTCGGAACGGAATATGAAGGATGCGCTTTCCTATTTCTTAACCATTACCTTGATTTGCACGAGGCTATTGAAGACGGCTCCCCAGATATGGTCGATTTTGCGCCATTTGAAGGAACCGAAATCCCAACCGAGGTCACGATCCCCGAGAAAACATTTCTGGACGTGAGTTGACTTTCAACTTCTTAAATAACTTCGTTCACAGGGCCCAGAGCACGAGGAGATCAAGGAATGGGTTTTGGCCATATCCGTCGACGATAGTGCAAATAAGAATTTGATAACGGACCGAAGGGGGTGCTTTGAGGCTAACCTGGAGCATAATGGCGAGGAGAAGCCGATGGACATTATTACAGGTAAAGGGGAAGCGTTAAGGGAGAATAAGTGGTCTTTAAGGTTATCCAATCCTGAATTCGATCGTTGATGTTGGGAATAATGTATATGCCGACAAGGAGGAGCTGAATCGTTATATGATAGCGTTGCGCAAAAATCCGACGGATCAACTTCAGGATGTTTCGAATTTTATTTCAAAACTGGCTAAGAGTTCGTTGGGTCTGCAACTATAGTAAATTACCGTGTAAAGGGTATTTTTAAAGGAGTCAATAAATAATTGTAGTTATGCAAATTGTATTTTTTATGAGCAAAAAAGTTGTTTAAAGTTAATTTTCTGGCTAGAATTTATAAAACTTCCAATAGTGCATGTTATTAGTAGCAATAGATTTATTAAAACACTTCGCTCAATAAAGGCACACTTTATTACACATTCAAGGCACAGTTCTGAATGAATGAGGCGACAAATTGGCAACGGATAAGGGCACAATTATGGTAGGGTATTTGTTGCAGCAAAAAAAGGGGGGAACAGACGGGAAATTGAAATGAAAGGCTGAACATCAACAAGCAGAGAGATCAGCAAATGCTCTTCGGGGAAGAGATGATCATTTTTGGATGGCCACCTGAATTCCAGGGCGGCATTTTTAGCGGCCGGTCGGGGAGAAGGAATGACATTGTGAGAAGGGGGTGGACAACGATGTATTTTTTGGAAAATTGGGAAAGATAAAGCTAAGATTTGTCGCTTTATAAGATGAGGATGGCACGACCTAGCTAGAGGGGTAAAGAACCGATAACTGTGGACTAGGGCCCATAGAATATGGCAAGACAATATGGGGACTGGAAATGAAGAAAAAAAAACATCTGAAAGATAATAAATGGCAAAAACTAGTCAGGGCACAATATGCGTATTCTTAAGGTACTGTTTCCAAGGGATTGAGCATTCTGAGAATTAAAAATATGCAAAAGTGAAAGCCCTAATGACACAAGGTGGATTGGGGGATATGATACTTAAAACTACCATTGATCATACGGTAGGCATTTGGTCTCATCATTGAGAATCGAATCTTGTTGCTGAGGAGCCAGACTCATTTGATCATCACTCAACTGATATTGACCACCCATCAACCCGCTGCCGTAGTCGAAATTTGGCGCGTATTCGGAGCATCCGGGTAGAGGATTGCATCCATTGTCCATCAGCTGCAATGGGAATCCCTTAATATGATGGTATATAATTTTGTTTTTTTTTAGTGCAATGCTTACAGGTGGCAAGAAGTTCCTTTCGAAAAATTCTCCGCATTTTCTTCGATAGTAACTCACCCCTTGAGATGGATAGGCGAGGGCCGAATGTGAGAGCATAATATCAGATGGCGGGGTGACGATATATTGTGGATGGCCAACAGAAGAAACGATAGAATCGTGGAGGGGGTATTCCATTGGGAGGACGACACCATTAGCCAGAGAGGTAGAGGAGAGATGATGGACGGAAGGCTGGAAATTTTGTTAATTATAATCAGCTAATTTTCACGGCTTACCAATTGTTGGGGACTGTGCAAGCCGTTGATTCGATTGATATTCATTAAATTCAACGGCAACTGTACATTGAGAGGAGAATGGGCCGACATCGAGGAGGACAGCAGATTATTTGGGTATTGGAACTAAAATATCGGGATTAAGATGATAATTGAGACGGTTGGTACCTGAATATCTTGGTGGTGGTGGAGAAGATTCAAATCCGGTTTCATATCACTGAATAGGGGGTTGGAGAGCATCGCGTTTGTGTCGTCCATCGAACCAAGAATGTTCGTGTTTCGGCAGTTATCCATATCAGTGCTAAAATTACATATGTATAATAGAAATACGTATGCGAATTTAGAGACGTGTTAATAAAGCTTTGAATGATATGTCTTACCTGCACAAGTGCGCCAACAAATTCTGGTTACTCTGCTGGACGAGGGTATCAAGTGAGGATGGGTCCAAGTCAAGAGGATGGTCATTTTGGGATAACATGTTGGTGTTCATCCATCCCTTTGAGGCCGAGCTCAGTGATGTCTGGATGTTGATCAGCCCTCCACTCGTCGAATGTTGATTCTGATTCTAATAGAATCTAAGGGACTGATTAATGTTTTTACCTTTCCATTCTTCTTTTTCGGTGACGCGGTGGTGATGAGGGGCTGAGAATGGATGGCTGATGATACGGCACTTCCAGAACCATCAAGCTGCCCTTCTTCAACCATTTGGATCTAAAAAATAAATATTTCATACATGGAGCTTTAATGGTTGATACCAACTCTATAAAAATATGAACTTACCAATCGTTTCTTGGCAGCTGTTGCATATGTAAGCTGCCGCAAATCGTTGTCCAACACCGTTGACGATTCATTTTTCCGCAAATGCATCTCCTAAAAAGCACTAACGTCAAAGCCATTCCACCATTCCCTGACCTTGTGACATTTCAGCGAATTCTTCCATTTAAACGTCATTTGGCATACGGTACAGACAAAGGGTTTCGCGTCCGAATGGATTCGTTTGTGATTCCATAACGTTGAGCGCCGGTTGAATCGAGCTTTGCAGACCTAAAAATACTTTTATGCTTTGAATTTTTTAAGGGTTTGCATAGGAATAAAGTGTGAAATTTGTAACGCTTACATCACATTCAAAGGGCTTCTGACCGGTATGGCTGTTTTGATGTTCTTCCAGTTCCATTTTCGACCCGAATCGGGATGTACAACGAGAGCATGGATAGGGCCTTTTCCGATCAGCAGTAAGGATTCGACCTATAAATTAACAATATTTATCCTACTGTATATACTCGTGTTTTGCGGCTTATAAAACTATGAAAAAACCCTAAAAATTCTCACCATTTTTGCTGTGATTATGGTTGACAATCTCATTATTATTGTTCGTCCCACCAGGCGCACAGTACGGTACGTTCAGCGCAAAATTATTAACACCGAATAACATCTGTTGTTCGCTACCTGAAATCAGGAAATTGGTACGGATAACCACCCAAATAGCATGCAAACCAAGAAAGATCAAGAACAGCAAAAAAGAGGAATTAACCAAGCGGCAAGACCAAATGATGGCCATGCAATTAAATGATAGGATTGTAACAGAGTTGCTCAATGGGACAGGTTGGTGTCGGGATTAGAAAGCGAACAAAAAGTGAATTAGTCGCAGTGCTGGTGGTCAAGCTTCACCTTTTTTGAGGAAGGGTAAGAATTCCGCGAAAACATAATAGGGGGTGGAAAACGGTTGCTAGTAAAGAAATAAAGCATGCGGATGTTATCCCACCACCTAGCTCACCTCCAGGGACCCCAGGGATATTCTTGACATCATCATCAGCTGTCGAGGGAATTTCGTGCTTGATTGTGGCGTAGATATCATGATGAAGAGCCAAAGGAAGGCCACCACCCATCGGCATTTCAGGGAGCGGGTCGAGTAATTTGTCGGCTTCTAGTCGGACCTCTTTTGTCTCGTCGAGTAGTCGTGATAAGTCTTTGATATCTTCAGTGAGGACGAGGTGAGGGACGGCGCTCTCGGTTGCCTCTACCGTCATCGCCTGAAGTTATTCAAGCGATTATAGCAAGCTTTTTTTGTAAGGTGAAGCAATGCGGAAAATGGAGCAGGAAAGGAATAAGGTTCTATTGACTAGGAATTTTGGCTGTCGTGAAACTTAGGGGGCCCCCGGTTGTCGGAATGGGGTAGAGAAACGGAAAGTGTCCTCTGAGAATGTTTTCGGCAATGGCCGTGGTCGGGATTGTCAATCAGGAAGGATACGACTCAACGGAAGGGGGGATCGGTATCAACTGGAAACGAGTTCTGTGGAGACGTTGTCTAGCAACTGCCTTATCAGGCGGCAATACTCGGAAATTTTGGGTGAGGACGTGAAGACTAAAATGATTTTTGCATATTTTAAAGACGATTATCAACTGTCGCAAGATCAAGAAACATTTAATAGCTCCATATAGACTATCCCAACCTACCACCACCAAAAAACACAAGCAAGTAATAGCAAAACAATCATCCAGCACCAGCACAAGCACTAAAAATCCTCACCCAGCGAAATTAGGCTCAATCTAGTCAAAAAAGGCGCGTTATTTGGAAGTGGGGCGCGCGGCCGGCCAGGGCTGTCACAAGTGACAATCTGGTAACCCGACAAAACAATGCTCTTCAGCCCTCTTCGAAAAGGAGGAGAAACAGATCGCCTGGGAGGGGCTCCAAATGTGGACAACCTGCCGCGGTCATCTAGGGATTTTGAGATGAGCTCACGGATTTGATGCGATTCAAATTCGGAAGCGGATGTGTTTACGTGGAGTGACTGTAAGTTTATCTGGGAAGGTTAGCAAGTTTATTTATTATATTCTTTTGCCGGGTTTCGAACTATAGCTTTCTCGGAACTATCTTATCGGTTTCTTCATACTTTTATCACAATTTTCAGACTTTTACTCAAAACTACGATAAATCAGCTTATGCTCTTGTTTTTACTAAAATTTTGAAACTTCGCTTTACTCCAAACTACGGTGAATCAGCCGCTTCAACCCAAACTTTCCGCTTTTACTCGCTGGTTTTTGTGGTGTTCACGATGCGGGGGAGGCTCACCCTCCCCGGACCATGTGGTTTCTGGCAGTGCGCGAGAATCAAATTGCGCAGGGCCCTGTCGAGAAATGCAACGAGCCAAATGTTGGGCCACGCCGGGCCTGGCGCACTTTTTACTTTCACGAGCCAGAAGGTCTTGGAGAGGGTGGAAGGGATGAGGGAGAGCAAGAAGGGGATGGCTGTCTACTTTGAGGGATAGGTTGTTGTATAGGATTGTTTGGAGTAGAATTTGGTAGAGCGCTAAATAGTGGGAATTGTCTTAGATCGGCACTAACGACTTGTACAACGATAACGATAAAATGAGATCTTTTAATGCTGGTTTTATGACGAAAAAGGTGTAAAAGACTGTTTTATGCGAGGTTTATATCCTTGTATTCAAAAAGTTCCGACTACCCCTCAAGTTTCCGGTGACTTCGAAAACCTCTAAGCTATCAGGTCACTCAACAATCCCCCTCTTGCTCAACGTCGGGGTACCAGGAGCCGCCTGGGAGGAGTCGGCGGGTGGTGGCAAAGTGACACTTTCAAGGCATATCCATTTTCACCCGCAGATTATCCACCATGGCACGAGACGGGCGGCCGCCTCGCAAGGGCGCTTACAGTAATTGGATAGTTTCACCTTGGGAGGATGAGGAGAGGAGGAGGAGGTGGAGACGCGGATATGAGTGCCCTTTAGGGAGAGTGGATTGGTGGAGGATTAACAATAAGAGCGGAATTGATTGAAGCGGGGCGAGGTGATGAAAGTACAAACAGGATACTTTTTATGGTAGAATTCTTCTAGCTGGAGATAATTCAGGCTTGGTTTCCGGAAATGCCAATAATTTTTCTTACAATTTCAGATACCAAATCATGGATTGAAAAGAGAGATGAAAGTAAAGGGGCGGTATTTTTAATGGTAGAATCTTAAAAATTCGAAAATCTAATAAAATTTGGTTTCCGGAAATGCAAATTATTGACAGTACCTACATAAAAAATTGCATAGAATAGACGATGTTTTTCTTTGAATTAAGGCTACAAAATACTTTCTGTAGTGATTTCCGTGTAGGAAAAGGGAATCTTGCAAAAAAGGCATAGCATCGAGCCAATCCTTATTGAGGGGTAGGAGGCAAAATACAGCAACTTTCTACAGGAACTTTAGCGTATCTTTAAAATAGTAAAAAAAACCAATGGTGAGATATAGCAAGCCACAAAGGGTACCCCGCTACAGTACTCTAACAAATAGCACCCCCGGAATGGAATAGACCGAGGGGGGTTGAGATGGCCGGTGTGGATGGGATGGCCCGGTCACTGGCTGCCCCCCATCGTTGCTTCGTTGCCGACAGTTGTCAGCCCCACCCCCTTCTCGAGCACCTCCTTCTCCTTCACCTTCTCCTCTACTCAATCCACCTCATCCTCCTTTTTCTCTGTCTATCTCCACCAGGGGCCCAGAATGCCAGAAACGGACATCGAGTTATGAATAATGATCGTGAGCAGAAGCCAGCAGAACTACCGGATTGACGGTCTCATAGCATCAGAATGAGTGATGCTTGGCAAGTGAACAGTTGAGGCAATAGCGGGGATGGAGGGTGGTCTCTACAACGAATTCATCAACTCATTTATGAGGCGAAAACGACACGTCGTTGATGAGGATATTTGTGGATAGCTGAGAAGAGGAAGCCAGGGTTGATCGATTTTTAAGGCTTCAAGTAAACTACGTTATGAACTTTTGCAGAATCAAATTAATTAACGTTGTTTTAAAGGAGTATGTATCAAAGCTGGCAAAGTAAGGATAAAATATATAAAAACAGTATCAGCCTAACCCAACTGGTGAAGTTGCGCCGCCAAATCTTGCGAGAAAAAGTGTAGAAAGATAAATAAGTGCACACATCACCGGATACCTCAATAAAAGCGGGGGAGACAGTATATACACACGGTCCCCGCTATCTGATCACAGATTTCAGGGGTAGATAGTGATGAGAGAGTGAAGCTGGGACAGCAACAAGTGCTTGATTAAATTTTTGGGGGAGAAGGGGATGATGGCACCAATATCGGGAGGAAAGGGGTTATAGAGTATTTTCTATCAAAGATGTTAAAAAACCTAGTATGACAGTACGTTCAGATTCAAAATTACATGTCAACCCGGAAAAATACCACTACGTTACTGGTTTTGTTGGTTGATACTTTGACCTAAACTTTTTAATCTAAGGAACTTAAACCCACTAATAACTCTTATAACGACAGAATCAGGTGCGGCTCGGAGATGTGTGCCATCCAGCGGATAGGCAGTTGTGGAAAGGAGCCCGGGAGGAGGAGGATGAGGGTGAGGCTAAAGGGGTCGGGAACAGGCGCGCGCCTCTGGCCATCCATCAGCCCCTGAGACATGGCTATGTCCACGGGCTCTCGCGCCTCCCCTTTTCTTTCTTGCCAATCCTTTTCCAGTCGAGACCCATCCCAGCTCTACTGTATCGCCTCCTCACCTCCTCTTGCTGACCACGGCCATCCTTCTTAACTTGACCTGGAGAAAATGGAGCAAGCTAGGAAGGGGGGGGGGAAGGGGAGGAGCAAGAGCAGGAGGCCCAGCTTGCTGTCAACAAGTAGAATTTGTGGATTAAAGGGGGGACTAGACTGTTAACGGGGGAAGCTATCTGGCGTATACCTAAAACTCTTAGAGTGTATAGGTCATTTAATAGTGTTTTTAGTAGATTTTGATTCCCAAAAAGTCATATAGTTAGAACATTTTAAAAGAACCTCGATTTGACCAAAATCAAAAAAATTTACTGATTTTAAAGAAACAATTTTACTGAAATGAAAGAGTATTCTATTTGCTTGGGACTTTAAGGGGCTACAGGCCAAGGTTCTAATTTCACCCCCGTTAATAGCACAGAGCCGTCAAGTTCAAATAGTGACTGCTCATCCGCTGTTCGTCCTTTTTTTTATCTGAAAAAATCTGCCTACGTATTTCCGCTCAACCCGAAAACCACAAGAACCCATCAATCCGTGTTGCTGACGGTCATCCCCTTCCACAATCCATTTGTGACAGATTCTAGAAGCCGATAATATGAGTCACTAAATGTTAGGGGGGCTTTGCCGAGAAAATGTCGACCGGCCAGCGGTGGCCCTTCCTTCCCCTCCCCCTCAAGAAACGCCATAACATAATGGACCGCCCCGCCGATTTTTTTTCATGTCTTATCAGGATCTCAAATCTATTGAGGGATAATTTGGGATGAAAATTAGTTCTGGTGTTTTTGTGTGGAATAGTGGATTGTAGCGGAATAAAGATTGCGGATACGGTATGAACGGCATAGGATGGGGTACTAGGGGTGGATGGTGTGAGGCTGGTCGAGCATAGGGGAAAGGAAGGTGATAAAAACCAACGGCTGTGGGTGGCAAGAACCGTATTTGGAACTTGATGGTTGAGGGATCTGGTGGCGGTGTGCCAATTTTGTGGCGATCGGGGGGGTATTATTGGCCGCAAAGTTTGGAGTTTACTTCATAACAATATATTTTGGGCTTCGAGCAATTTAATAACTTTTTGCAAGGACTGAACGAAAATTTGTAAAGTCAGTATAGAAACAAAACTACCCAGAGAGTCAGATAATTTATAAAGCCGTTTTTAAAATTGTAGCGAATATAAGGTCCTCAAAATAAAATTATAGAGAAGCAAAAAACACAGAGCCGAAAAAATGGAGCGAAAGATACTTTCAAAATTCTGGCGAACAACTTTAGTACTGTCAAAGTTATTTAGCCACAAAATCCGCCCAACCGCCCGAATGTTATTCGAAGGTGCACAAAAGATGTCACCAGATCTGACACACGATATAGGTAAAGCGCGGGGCGGGTGGAGGGATGGAAAAGCTGCGAAAAGCGAGTGAGAGGCGGTGAAAAGCCGGGCATGCCGGGATTTTGAGCGTGAGAGCTTCTCGTACCGAGGTGGGGGTAAAGAGGAGGAGGAGAAGGAGGAGCAGGAGAACGAAGGGTGGTGGC